CACCGTACTCACCGCCGCCCCCCCCCCCCCCCCCCACCCACACACAGGTACGCCGCGTCCCCGCCGTTCCAGCACATCATGTGGACGCAGACGCTCTTCTGGGCGGTCGGGTGCGTGATCTACGTGGGCGTGACGGCGGCGGTGACGTGGACGGCGACGTTCGGGTTCGCGTTCGGGTGGGTGCTCGGGCAGTTCTTCGTGTGGCTGCTCGTGTGGGCGGTCGCGAGCGTGTTCTTGTACTCGTACGGGCTGAAGCGGGAGAGAAGGTGGTGGGCGGAGAGGAAGGGGGAGAAGGCGGCGGCGCAGATTGCGTGAGGTGGAGAAGGGTGACCATCCGGAAGGACGATGTTGATGATTGATTGATGTAGTATACCGCTCTTTGCTTGCCCTCGGATGGTTTGGGGTTTGTATCGTTATTGTAACGCACTAGTTAATTGCTTTGGAGTCATGTATTATGAATAGATCATGTTTGGACGGAGTCGGAGGCGAAAGACGATGTGTGATTGACACGGGGGAGAGCATACATTCTTCCTCCGTGCAGGCCTCTCGTCGAAGGGTGAAGATGACAGTAGAAGTACATTCATATGCGTATGGTATACATGTACACATGGTAATACTAATAGTAATACAGCTTTTGTACACTGCTATGCGCCGACTACCCTGATATATATCCTGTACCGCGATTATAATATGTTTGTGTTTTGTGATTAGATCCGCTGCGCCCGCTGACTCTGTATGATATGCACACTGGATATGCATCGCGACCTGCGTGGTTTGTGCTCAGGGGTGTATATCACCGAGTCGCACCTGCTTCTACAGACGCGAACCCGGGACGAGACAAGTCGCTGCATGCGCTCACTGAACCATCCATCAGCACTCGCCACCTCGCCAAACAACAAAAAAGAGCACACACCTCGCCCAGGGTGATCTTCGCAGCGGTCGTGCTCGCCTTGCCCTCGAGCACGGGCTCCCTGCCCTGGACGCCGGGCGGTCTGTTCTTCTTGATCTCGCCGAGGTAGAGCTCCGCGAGGGGGATCATGTACCGCGGGCGGGAGGGCCCGTCGAAGAGGGTGCGCGTGAGCTCGAGCGGGGCGGGTTTGGGCGAGGGCGTCGGTGTCGGGGGATGTTGGGATTCAGGGAGCTCGGGCCCGTCGAAGAAGTAGGAGGTGCGGAACTCGGGGAGGGCGGTGGAGATGGTGTTGGCTGTGGTGCGGGAGGGGAGGGGCGTGGGGACGGCGGGGTCGCGCGGGCGGATGTGGCCGCAGACGCGGAGGGAGCCCTGCAGCTGGCGGACGTGCGTGGCCATCGTCGGGTGGGGTGTTAGGGCAGTCGGACGAGGCCTTTATGACGATCGGGCTGGGTGCAGCTGTTATCACGGGGAGGGAGTCCTGTCATGCGTTCCGGGGTACGTTCGCGGGGTAGCCGAGCCCCGCCGGCCGCCCCTCCGCTTTCGGCAATCCAGGCGTTACGAGGGCCCGCGACCGGGCTGGCCTCCGTGATTGAGTTGGGCAACTAGCCGGGACTGATACCGTATGGAACTCGCCATCGGTTGTATGTATGCATTCACATAGTACTCCATACAACGTTTACAGGCTGCGACCACCCGGATCTCATTCATACTGTGCGTTCTCAAGCACGTTGGATGTCATACGCAGCTGCGAGACCACTCCCCCGCTTGTAATTCGAACAGGCCGCGTCAAGGCGACTGGGGCGCCCGCGCAGACTTGGCGTCGTACTCGTCTTTGCCAACCGTCGGCGACGTTACCTGGCCACCTTCGCATCGAGGAACCCGCCAAGACGCGGCGATGCTGCTGCTTTGAGGCAGACAATAATCGCAAGAGAGGAGGGTGCTTCGCGCCATCCATCCTCTGCGTTCGGGAGGTGCTCGCCAGGCACGGCCGTGCTGTCTTCCTGGATTTACGCCTGCCTAGGTGAAGCTTTTCCGGTAGTGCCTTGCTCATACACCCGTCCTGTCTAGGTTCGAACGCGCAACTGAGGCGGCTCCGGAGACTCGGCGGATCCGACGCCCTACATACTCGTCTTTGCCAACCGTCGATGGCGTTGCCTACCTTGGGCTTCGCGCCGAGGAACGCCCCGCAGTTCGAAGCGCTGGGGCTTTAAGACAGACAGACAGATGAACGCAAGAAGGAGAAGCTTGCTCTTTATCTGCATGGCTTGGCGCGTATTGACACCATGCCTCCGGAGGACGGGGGAGCGTGCGGCTCCCATGTCCGCCCTCACCAGGACATACCACATTGCCTGGCCCGCGGCCTGTACGCCGCTTGTCACCTGAATTGCGCTCTGTCCTTAGGCCTTTGTCTCTTTATCCCTCCATCTCGCTGTCATATCCCCTTATGAGCTGCACGCTCTCCTCCAATCCCTACCTGACACCGTAGCCCTGTCTCCCAACTCCGCGGGTCACACGCGTGTATGGTCAGACATGGACCAACCGCATCTGTTCAGGAAGCGGGTTGCGCCCCGAGCGCGTGGGCGCACCGAATGCTGGCCGCTCAAAACCCCGGGAGTCGTCTGCATTGGTGCATGGGATTGCACTCTTGTGAGAACGGGCGAGTCTTGGGCTCTGACGACGGCGGTGTGCTCGGGTGGCACTCTGCCATTCATATCTCGAGAGACTTTGTAGAGCTGATTATCACTCTGAAGGGACTAGGCTGTTGTGTCGGGTTTAACGGCCGTTGCTCGCGATTGAATATTGGACCCCGCCCCTCTGAATCCTCTACTTGATCGCCGGGAAGACCCCGACGCGCGGGGATCCACGACTCGTCCGTCCACCGATACATAACGCCGTGGCCTCCCCCAGCACTGGCCGCCTTGGAAACACCCGCCACAACGCCTCACCTGTCCCGAAACGGAGAGCCTGTTTCCGTTCTTGGGTTGTCTGACTTGCGCTGTGGTGGTTATCCTCTCCCATTGGTAAATTCCACCCATCCCGGTCTGCTCGAAGGTCGGTCTTCCGGTACTCAAGTACCTTCGACCTTGCTTTGTTCATCGCGTCTCGTAACCAGACTCTTTGTAGGGAGGCGCACGATCTGACGCACGAACCTCGAATACTATACACTAAGCCCGTCATACGCATTCTCCCTTCCCGCCTTCCTCTCCGCCTCTCCTTCATGAGGCTGACATAGGGACTGGTTACGAGTCTAGCTGACTTGCCATAACCGTTCTTGACGACCCGAGTCCTATCTTGCGAAAGTGACCCGAGATCTGCACGCCCCCTTCCAACTCGTCCTCGGAGGATCCACGCGTCACGATGCTCAGGCATAAGCTTGTCTTCTGTCAATCGTTAAGAAAGGGCGGGTCTTCCGGAGAATATTTCTTCGCAGAATCTGCTTGGAAAGGCGTGATGAGCAGACGCCCGATGCTGCTGGACCATCCAGGGATTTGAAGTCTATCTCGCAGCACGGCCGATGTTGCCCCTCGGGGCACGCTGGGGTTACAGGGACAATGCATGATGAGACGAGCTCACTTGTGGATTACCGTAGCAGGGCTGTTGCAAAAGACGCGCCCACTCCCCATACTTGTTTGTCAATTGAAATGATACAGTGTCCTTTTGTAGTCATGTCTTGTATCATTCTCACTCGATTGAGACACAGCTTGAACTGAGTTGCACATCGAAGAATAGACTCGGTGCACGACAACGACCCAACAATAATAACGAAGCCACAGTGGTTTCGGAGGACAACATCGCAAGCGGCGATCTCGGGCCTTGCACAAGCGCGGGGAAGCCCGAAGGTCACGGGGTCGTGTGATTGCCTCGCGGGGGCGTCATTCTGGTCGTGACAGTCTGCAAGGCCACTATTATCATTGCCAACATTGAACCCGCCCCTTGCGCCCGTCGTCCCCGCCTCGACGATGCCCGACTCTATCGCGTCGTCCGAGCCGCTGAGCTCGCCCTCGCCCTCCCCGCCGCCACCGCCGCCACCGCCAGCGTCCAGGTCCCACCCCGCCGGCGCGGGTCTGGATAGCGATGGCTCTGAGCTGTCGGAGCTCACGGACGACGAGCAGGACAGCGAAAAGCGCGGGAGCGGCGCCCAGGACGAGGGCTCGCGCAGCCCGCGCCGGTCGGGCAAGAAAAAGCGTGGCTCGCTCGTGCCCGCGCCGATGTGGGACTGGGCGTACAAACAGCGGAAAGGCGTTGATCGGGGCGAAATGGTCGAGGAGGAGGAGGAGGAAGACGACGATGGCGGCCGCAGGGAAGAGAACTATCCGAGAGCTATGGAGGAAGAGGAGGACGAGGAGGACTCGCCGAAGGGTGAGAGCGCCGAGGATCGCCAGGACAGCCGCGAAATGAAACGCAGTGGGAGTCCCCGCAATGCGCTGGATCGATCCAACTCTGGGCCACGGTCCTGTTCAGCGACTCCGGATTCAACCTCGTACTTTGTTAGGAGAGCTTCTGCAGGTGGCGGCACCGATCGCCGGGAGAACGACGACGGCGAATCGGAGGCGGACGTAGAAGACGAACACGATTCCATAAAGTCCTCTAGGCCGTCTTCCAAAGAGAACTCTCCGGAACTCACAGACGACGAGCAAGAGGATGGCGACCCCAATGAAGAGGAAGAGGAAGAGGAGGACCGTCGACCATCGCCACGGCCCCACGTTGCCTCCATACGCGCAGAAGAGGAAGAGGAGGTCGAATCGGAGGACGCAGCGTCCGAAGACGATGCAGACGACGCAGGGCAGGCCGACGACCACGATGGGGCAGGCGACCAAGAGCGAGACGATCCTCCCATCCCAGTGAAACGCCCCACCCCACCTATCGTGAACTCTATGGGTCCCAGCGAAGATGTTACTGCGCCCGATCCCGCTACCGTGGTGCCCCTGCAAGAGAAGGCCGCTGCATCCTCAATTATGGCTGGCTCGGCTGTGATCGAGCCTCCTTCCCCGTCCTCATCCTCGTCCCCCAGCTCATCCCGCTCCGCCTCACCAGAACCTGGCACACAGTCGCGTCGACAAGCCAACCGAGACAGTAAGAAGGCCGGCTTGGACAAGGATGACCAAGCAGGTGGCACCTCCGGACCGCTGGACGCGAAAGGCAATGATGAGGACAGAGACAAGGACGGTGGCGACGGAGAGAATGAAGCCGACGTAGAAGTTGAGGCGGAAGGCGACGAAGTGGACGACCACGAAATGGAGTCGGATCTACAGCCCGCCCACAGAGCCGAAGCCATGGACGTCTTAGCGCAGATTGAGCTGAAGTTCGCTCTGCTCAGGGAGAAGCTGTACCTCGAGAAGATGGAGGGTCTCGCTTGGGAAGAGGCCTTGATTATGGATGGTAGGCACCGTTTACTGACCTCCGTGTTTCGTATCAACTCAATGCGCGGATTGCAATAACAGATAATCATCCCGAGTTATTGCACCTCCAGGCTGAATTATCTAAGCGCCGAGATATGCGTCTCGATCTAGCTGCAAAGCGACGATCCTATGAGGTGACGATGGTCACAAAGAAGCGGAAGGCAGACGAAGATGGTGTATGGAGTTGGTGGAAAGTACGTTACTCGCTGAGGGATGCGTATGGATTGCTTCATATTTCTATCCTAGTTCTCGAGGGATGAGCTACAAACCGACATGATATCTGAAACCAATAGGAAACGGAGGCGTCTCGAGAGGGCAAGGAGGGCATCTGAACGTCCTCAGCCTGGTGAGTGTATACCCTGGAACTACGAAACGCGTCTGTTTACGCTATGTCACTTTCTCCAGTGCGCCGCATCCCTGATCCACCAGTGAACATTCCTCCTGCACCGACGCTGCGGGATATCGTAAAGTCGACGCCTTTTGCGAGGCATTCCTATTCTCCCTCCAGCAGCAATTCTCAGAAGCGAGATAATATCCACGCCCGACCACTTGTCTATCCACAGTTGTCTTCACTGAGTTCCGCAGAGGTGGGCAATGACCTGGAGCTCATCTGGCAGCAACGGCGGAGACATGCGGATCCCCGTGCGCTGAACCCACCCATGGGGCCACCCCTCTCGCATGGGTATGAAGCGGGATATGGACCCATGGATGGACCTCACTACAATGGTTCCGGACCAAGCCGTGTCGCGCCTCCATTCCCGCCACATATGCAAGGTTACCCTGGTCCCAGTGTACCTTCGCGAATGCAGCACCATCATGCAGGGCCGTCCGGATTACACCAGTCCCACCTTCCGATGGACCAGGACATGGCTATGTCTTCTGCCGTCCCGCCTCCCTCTGGGCCATACACGCAACATCCTGCAACGGGTATGAGACGGTCGTTATCGCCGGTCCACGTGACCGCGAATGGCACGTCCGGGTTAGGTCCGTCCCAGAACGGGTGGTTTGCAGGTTCGTCGAGGGGCAAGCCGCCCGGGCAGCACGAGTGGATGAAGGAGTCCAGAAGGCCTAGCGGAGGCAAGGACGACTATGGTGACCGGGATAGGGAGCGCGAGAAGTGGGAGAGGAGCGAAAGAGAACGCGAGCGCGAGTGGGAGCGAGAGAGAGAGCGTATGGAGCGGGAGAGGTATCAGATGCAGATGATGCAGTCCCAGCCCGTTCGGCCTTCGCATGGTTTACATGCTGGACCTGGCCCTCTGCCTCACCCAGGACCTCCACACAACCATCACCACCACCACCACCATATTCACCACCATCACCATCCACAGTCCATGGGTGGCCCTGGGGGTCATTCGTCTTCTTCACTGAATAATACGCCGGGTCCCGGCGCGGGCAGTCCCCGCGTCTCTATGTTACCTCGCGAGTTCGATCTTGGTCGCCCGCACTCGGGTCCCCCAACTACTGAGATCATCAACCTCTCATCGTCTTCGACAAAGCGATCTCCGAACACGTATTGGAAGGGTGATGAACTCGAACCTGGTCGTGATAGGGTGCGACCGCCGTCAAACCAGCATCCTCTGGACGACCGACCGGTGCAGCATATCATGACGCCTGTGCAATTGATGACCAACCATTCTGGTCCTCATGCCCACGGGCCTCCTTCGGCGCCTGCATCCATTGCTCCCTCACCTCGGGGTCCATGGTCGGCTGCGGATGACACAGGGATGCGTCGTCCTTCATCCGCTGCGATGGGTCGCCCTAGTAACCTCTCTGGCCGGAGTTCACCAGGTCCTATGCACGGGTCAGTACATGGCATGCGTGGACCTCCGCCGTCATCTGGCTCGAGGCAGAGTCCTATGGTGACATCCTCGCCTCGTAACAATAAACCTCCGGCAACCACGAGCCCCCCGATGTCCTCATCCAATTTCCCTGGTCCCTTGAGATCACCTAGTCGCTCTTCACATGCTCTCCCACCCCCTCCTTCGTCCGGGCCTTCCTCTTTGCCTTCGATGACCGCACAACCGCCCCTTCCGCATGCGAGCAGTCCGGTTTCGAGACCATCCAGAGTTGGATCGCCCCCGTCGCTGTCTAAAATGATACATTCAGGCGGCCCCAGCGGTCCATCACCTCCGCTTACTGGCGCACCGAGACCTATGAGTCCATTATCGCGGTCAGCTAATGCCGATCCTCATTCTCATAGCCTAGGCCCGTCACCGTCATTCAATGGCACCAACAGAACCACCACTCCCCTCTCAATATACCCGGGGCACGCGCCGCCTCCCTCTAGGACTCTAGGTTCTGATCAGTCCTCGCCGCAATTGAGCAATAATGCTCCTCCTCCTAAATTGAATGTCGTTCAGTTAGTGGATGGGGCATAGCAGGACTTAGACGCTTTGTCCTTTTTTATTTCATAGGTCTTATTGTATTTTACCTCGCCATTGTGATTTATTGGAATGTACGGCAGACCACTGTTTGTGAAGTCACTCAATATATTACTGCGCTCCCGTCGGCTTCATATGAGCGTGTCTTCTCGTATCTCGAACAGAATGCATTGCGGATCAACGACCGAGCCATTAGAGTTGTATGTACAATGATATGATGATGATGAAACGTTTGCATGCTATAACAGAGCGATTGTAGCGTACACCGGCCAGTCCCATGTGAAGGTATGCGAATGAAGAACGCAGAATTACTAGAAGTCTCCGAGGTCAATCTCTATGTCGTTGAGTACCTGAGCAGCAAAACTCTTCGACTTGGTCCCAGGAGTTTGGTCCTGCCCAGGGAGGGCGGAGGGTGGAAGTGGCGAGACGTCCCGAGAGGTTGGCTCCGCGGCCAAGGTGCTTTGAAGGAGAGGCGTTCCGTGGCTATTGATGACAAGTCCAGCAGCACCAAGAGACAATAGGCCATGATGTCAAAAAGCAAAGCAAAGCAGGAGAAAGTTACAAACCTGGTCTTCGCTACTAGCACGGGTGTTGAAGTCCCAGACTTCGAGGCGGCAAGAGCCAGCTTGCGCTCTCGCCGCTTACGATCGGCCTCAGCGAGCTCAGCCTGGCGAACAGCTTCCAGGTTCGCTTTCCGGTTCCGCTCGTTCACCTTTGCCAAGATATCATTCTGGGGATCTTCGCTATCGCGGCGACGGGACTGGAAGTCCGTTGTGACAGCCAGCTCCTTGAGTTGCGCATCGATCTCAGTTACTTCCTTGAAGTCCTGTCGTCGCAGAGCGAGAGTCCTAGCCTGCGTCAGGCGCGACCGCTGGAAAGTGATGGAGGCATGTGAAGGTCGATGAGCGTTGAGCGCGTTCTTGCGGGCGAGCATGGCAGTAATATCGCTCTGGATAACCTTGGTTAGATACCGCGTCCAGTCCGGCGAGTCGCATCTCCACTCACCTCTGTCTTGGGTTGCGCGGGTAGCTTCGCTAACTGCTCGGCCTTCTTCTGAAGCTGTCTCTTGCTCGGCAGCTTTACCTTGTCTGCTTCACATGTCTTCACCAAGCGTTCGAATTCATGCTTAGGCTAGGCTCAGAACATCGTCCGACCGCAGTGCACAATAGGAACACCAACCGGCAGGAAGGCTGAGTTAGAGGTCCTATCCATGGGCCATTCCTTGATAGCCTTTCCGTGCCTGAGCTCGAACAGTTGATTAACAATCTGGTCATTCATAGGATACGGCTTCGTCAGGTCCGCGCCAAGATCTGAGGCAGTTAGCGCGAGGAACGACCGCCAGCTCATCAGCAGTAACGTACTAGTGATCTCGCAGATACGATATGTTGGCTGGCCAGATGGACTGCTGCCAATCAAGTACCGCACCCATGCACCTGCAGTCAGGAGGGCGAGAACTGAGCACTTGACACCGTCGATGGAGTGGCACATACGCACCTTTCACGTAGTCTTCGAACCAGGGGGCCAAATAATGTTTAGCCAGCAAGTCTCTCGATAACCTGACTTTCTCCAGATCCTCGAGGGTGATTGGCTCGTCCTCGGAGTGCTTCTCATCGAAGTATTTACGATCACGCTCTTCCTCCTCCTCCAATTTACTGATCATGCCCTCTTCCTCCTCTTCTGAGGACATCTCCATGTCAGTCGGCGATGACGATCGCTGGCGTTTCGGCGAACCAGTGGTCTAGAGGGCTGATGAGAGACCGTCGTGAGAGGCAGAACCGATTGAGCTCACTCGTTTCCTCTCGTCCTTTGCTCTACGTCGGGCCTTGAGCTCGTCGAGCTTACGGCTCTTCTCTTTGGTAGCACCCCGACCGGTGTGTTGCCCTGCAGAAACAAGACATGAATACCAAGCGACAGCTACAGCATAGGAGACGTACGTTTCGCAGCCCTCGCCACGGCATCAGCATCAGCGCCGCCATTTCGCTGTGCCCGGAGCATCTGATCCAAGTTCCTCTTGTCCTGGATCCTTTGCATCTCCTCCAGCCTTTGGGCCAGCACTTCTTCGCGTTCAATCTCGGACATCGATAGCAACCTACGCAGACGTGGCATTCCGTCAACAACCTGACCGCGGGCAGGAAACAACAACGTACTTCTCTCGGTCGAACTCGTCCTTATATTTGCCTTCGAGCGGGTACGGATTGGCCTGCTCGTCTTCGTCCTCGCTCTCCGGTTCCGCGTCGCTATCCGCGCTGCGGATGACAATTATCAGCAAGCACGCATAAATACCCAGACAAAGGGACAAAACAACAAAGAAAGAAACAAATGCTCACCCAGCCCTGCGCCGCTTGGTCGGCGAACCGTGGGCCGCCGACATCCTGCCCTGCCGTCTCTTTCGTTTCTTCTCGGTAGCGCCGGCGAGCTCGAGCAGCTCGTCGGAGAAGTCGCCGTCAGAGTCTGCCATGGCAATATGTACTCGAGTTTGTTTTGTTCAGAGTAACGGGGGGTACGGGGGTGACGGGTGACGAAGGCTAGGCAAGGCTGTGGCCACAAAACACTGATTTGGGCTACGGTGGGAATTGTTCGCAACGGCAAATGCCGGAAGGGCGCGGCCGCGTTCGAGTTCGACCGGGGGCAGATTGATGACAAGCAGATGAGTTCGCAGACGAAGAGAGCCTGTACTAGATAACATAGAATATTGATACATGAAGACCTGAGTAAAAATGTATCAGGATCGTGTCATTGGAAGGTACGCGCAACAGAACACTCACAATCCAAAGAAACACTAGCTCTGCTCTGCAATGACCACCTTCTTCTTCTCCGCCTTGGGCACACTCGCCCCCGCCCTCGTATGCTTCCGCCTGCGCTCCTCCTTGACCCTCTGTGCCTCCAACATCGTCCGCTTGAGCTCGGCGGCCTTGTAGACCGGCTTCGGCACATGGCGGCTCCTGAATTATACATACATGGTCAGACAGTGCGGTAGCACGCCTACACAAACGCACCTTTGTACCTTCCCGACCTCCGCGTCGTGCTTCCACCGCTCCTTGAGCGTGTCGCGGTACTCGATCGCGGCGCGCTCGCGCGCGGTGATGATCCCGAGTTTCTCGTGCGCCTTCGCTTTCCAGATGCGCACATTGCCGTCGTCCGAGCCGGACACCACGAAACGCGCGTCGGAGGTGAACACCGTCGACAGCACTCTGCAACGATGGTCAAACCTCATCAAACACCCATCGATGCACTTAAACGAACCTTTGCATCCGCTTTGTGTGGTACACCTCGGGCGACCTGCCCACACCCTCCTTCCATATTCTGACCGTCCGGTCCCAGCTGCCGCTCACGAACTCGAGGCCAGTCGGGCTCCAGTCGCACGACATCACAGCGGCTACATGCGCCTTGTAAATCTGCGTCGGCGAAGCCATCGACCGGATGTCGAACGTATACAAATTGTGGTCCTCGGACGCGAGGAGGACGGAGGTAGGGAACGTGGGCGACCACGACAGCGAGTTATTGCGCATCTGCATGATCGTGCGGCGCTCTGCCTTGCCGGTGCGGATGTCGTAGAGCGTGAAGGTCCGGTCGGTGCCGATGCTGGCGAGCACGGAGGGCTCGGAGAGGTTGAAGCGGACGGAGGTGATGGTTTCGGTTGAGGTGGGGAAGGTGAGGTCGGATATCGGGGCACTCCTGGTAGCGAAGGGTCCCTGCTTAGCGGGTAGACAGCTAGTAGAGAGGGTGTGGGACTTTACTTTGTCTCGTCCCAGATCAACACACTGTTCGATGCGGTGGCAAATAACGGGTCTGTCCGGTGATGGTCTATTGAGCTATATGAAACTGTGAGCCTACTGGCGAGAGATGGGACTGCTCGATACCCACTTGAAAACTGTCTTCCCAGGGAAAACAGATAATGGCTCCGAGGACTGCAATCGCGTCAGTCAAACCTGTCGTGTGAATGACAAGGAATCGACGCACACTCTCTGCATCTGTTGCACGCCACAGCTTTACAGTCCGATCCACTCCGCAGCTCAACAGTCTCTCCTCGTCAGCCCAACAAAGCCCTGATACTTTCCCCTTATGCGCCCCATTGAACCTCAACAGCTGCGTCCTCCGAGCCAAGTCATGTAATATAATCTCTACAAATTGCGTAAGCTCGCACCAGACCCAAACGAGCGACTGCACGCACACACCTCCGTCCCAGCTCCCACTCGCGACCGCAGTCAAGCTCTCCGGCTTCTTCGCGAGCACTTCCACGGCATCGATGTGCCCTTCCAGCGCGGCTACGAAGGGCTGGGCGAATATGCGCTCGAGTTTCGCGGCGTTCAGCGCTCGTTTGCGTTCGCGCGCTTTGGAAAAGGGGTGCATGGATGGGTCGAGATTCCGGGATGTGGGCGTAGGATCCCCCCGCCTCATTGGTAAGTGCGAGGATGGTGCATGCTGCAGCACCGATATTTTCTATGTTTGACCAATATTAGACGAGATAAGTCTGTGAACAACGCGGTAACGCACGACCATGTTTGCTCTTCCCCTCACAATTCAATTTGATTGGCCCCTTGTCTCGATATCCGTATGAAGAGTCGGATTACAGTACTTTTGAGGTTGTGGCTGAGAGAGAAGTCAGAATGATCGGGGAGACAGAAATTAGCACCGGCTGATCGATGTGCCGAATTAGCAGTGAAAGTATAACCATACGGCCTCAATCGTAGGATTCCTGTCTGCACTATGTAAGTACTGGCACACTAGGCTTCGTCGGTCTATTCCAATATGTTTCTGACATACGTGCAGCTGAGATTCGTCGAATGTCCGGTCTGAGAACGCAGGCCACCGCATTTTCGGAATGTTCTGATATAGAGTGGTTGTATAGCAACGGCAGCGGGAGGCGGTAACGGGTCAACTTCTGTGGCCGGACCACCTCTATCGTTGTGAATTCTCCAAGAGACCTGGTTAGTCTTGGTTTGCAGCCAGTCTGCTGTCCGTTCTTTACTTTCGTCGACGGTCTCGCACCCTTCGTCTTTCGCTTTGGATCTCTGGCAGGTCGCTCGCCCCGATGCTTGTGATACCTGGCTGATTCACCGCACGGAACACACTCGTCTTGGGCATTCATTAAATGACTGGCTACTGTCTTTCTCTTGCGCCTATCCTTCGCTGCGAATCGTTGACGAGAATCGAGTCCGAGGTCCTTATCATCCCGACCGCGCTTGAGCTTCTCTTCTCCTTCAGTTTGGTCATCATCAACTGGGGCAAGGGCAGGTGAGCAGTCCTCTTCTCCGGAGTCAGGAAAGCGACGCATGAAGTGAGAGGCGTCACGACCGAGCGGGGCAGGGGGGGGGGACCTTTTCTGAAGAGCGAGGAGGGAATGTGACACGAGTATTGCCGTCCGGTATGAGGAGGGCCAATCAGGTCATCTCTGTCTGAAGCGTTCCCTGCGTTTCTGATACTCCCTATGCCATGGCTCGGGTCGTCCCATCCATGGAGTCTCGGAGTACCCATGCTGATCCATGATTTAGGAGATCTTTTCTTTTGGCAGCCGAAGGATGGGTGTATTTCTCTCTGGCGTTGATCGACCTTCTCGCACACATATTCCCAGCCACACGCAACTCTTTCAATGTATTCCGGATCCTCGACATTGTTGTCGGTATGTCCTCGAGCCGTTCCCTCCTCACATAGATTGCCACTCACCTATCCCTCCTGTCCCTTCTAGGCGCAGCGTCCTTCCTACCCATCCTGTTTTACGTTCTCTTCCTCTTCTTCTCTCTCCGGTCGGATTTCTTCCCGAGCCTCCCGCGCCGCTTCCAGCGCATCGCACAATACACCCTCATGCTCTTCATACCCGCTTTAATCGTCGCAGACCTCGTCGGTTCCTTCATTGGCGTCTCATACAGTACGTACTCCCCCTCTCCCCCTCCGCATCTTCTGCCATTCCTCATGTCGCATCCACAAATGCAGCCTTTCTCCCAAATCCCGCCAACCCCGCCGAACGCCTCCTCGCAGTCGGCTTCGCCTCCGACAGAGATCAAACGCTCTGGAATTTCTTCAGCAGCTTCGCGCTCGCCTTGCTTACCGCCTACCAGGCGCTCGCCTTCTGCGTTGTCTTCTTCCGGCTCGTCAAGTCCTTCGTCGACCAGCGCAGCATCGAGACGTCCGGACAGGGGGACCACCAGGTCGTGCTGTTCAAGGGCCTCGGGTGGCTCGCGATCGGCCTGAAGCTCGGCGCCGTCGAGACGATTGTCGGGTTCGCTCGCGACGGCTTTGGTGTCCCACTCGTCAGGCGGATACTCAGATTCCTAAGCCGGGCGTGTATCATAATCGGGGTGGTTAAAGGGTAAGTAATATCAGGCATAGCTTTGTACGGCCAGTTCTGACTGCTTATTTTGTTACTCGCAGAATGGACATCCGGGAGGATTTCACCGTGTTCGATACTACGCGGCCCCAGTCAGAGGGACGAAGAAAATCAGCGCTCCGCATGCTCATCTCCAACCCGCGGCAGAGTACCTTCCGCCGCATGTCCGCGCCGCTCGACCCGCAGCTCGCCGCGGCGCTCGCCAACTTAGGCATCGAGCGCCCGAACGAGAAGTCTCAGAATCCGCACACCTCGTTCCACCAGCAGCAGCAGCAGCTCCCCTTCCCCCAGGCAGCCTACACCGGCGCGCCGTCCCCCTCGCCCGTCCTCACCTACAAACCCCGCCCGACGTCCCGCGTCACGGTCCTCATGACACCTGGCACCGCTCCGACGCTCAACTTGCGATTCTCCGGGCTCGACATGCCCAGTCCGACTGAGATCGCGCATATCGTAGAGGAGGAAGTCAAATCGCGACCCGACACGCAGGTCTTCGTGCGTTCCCACCGCTCTCGCTCGCGTAGTCAGGGCACGTCGCACCTCCTCCTGCACCGCGGTGACACGTTCGACACGCGCTCGTCGTTCTTCGAGACCACGTCGCTCGGGCCGATGGACACCATGATGCCTGATATTCCTGTTATTGCGAGGCCGCCGCCCATCCGGACGCGCAGCTGGCGGTATTCCGACCGGATGGATGACAACTACACGCCAAGCGACAGCGGGATTTCTGGGCACAGCATGACGGCGGATGCTTTGCGCGGGCTTGGACCGAGGCGGTCGCTCACCCTCGAGCAGGCTTCCTCGGAGAACACCACGCGCACATCCTCGTTATCTGCTGGCTTCTTCTACGAGCACGACAATGAACACATCTTGCCAGAGAACGAGCATGGGGGCGACTTAGAGCGCGGTCCTAGCCAGAGGACGTACAAGCAGCCGAAGCTCTCCTCGTCATCCGAGCGCTTCGACAGCGGGGACGACTACCCCGCATACCCGACGCCCAAGGCCGATAGGTTCATGTCCACAGACCGGCGCCCCTTCATGGTCCCAGACGGGAGATATTCCCTGTCGTCCCTGTCTCTCAGTCCCAGCACCATCGGCCATTCAACGCGTGGCGGGGCAAGCCCTGAGCCCCGACCTACCCTCTCTTCCCTCATCGCTCAGCGCAGCCAGACCTCCTCACCCTGGGTGTCCCGCCCTATCCCGAGCTCTTACAGGCCGGTGACACGGCAGGAAATTGACATGTACGACGGCGCGAGCAGTCGCGCGTCGTCCAGCCTGGACTTCTCGCGACCCAGCGGCGACGGACGGCCGAGTACTGATACCGCCGAGACGTCGCAGGTGCTACATGTACAGCGGCGGCTGATCAACCACGATGAGCGGTCGCCCCGGCCTGACCTAGTGAGGATTAAAAGCGTCGGAAGGGTACCCAGGAGGGAGACACCCACGCCCTCGGCGAGTCCCTATGTGGGCCATGCGGCGCCCGTCGGATTCGAAGACTTAGAGGTCATCCCGTCCTGGGAGGCGTACAGCAGCTCGACGCCCTCCACAGAGTCGCCCTCGTCAGCAAATATGACTGGCAAACCTGTGATGAGACACGACTCCAACGTACTGTCTCAAGAAGACCAGGAGCACATCAGGAACTCGATGTACGACCGAGATGAAGAAGGTATATACTGGGTCGGGAATGAGGCGCAGGCTGTGTGACCGGATGTGTCGTTTGTTGCTGTTACAGTGGGCTTGTTTTATTCGTAATATATGTAGATTAGTACTGGTGCATGGATTTTTCTTGCACCAACTGGAGGATGGACCACCGCAATCCACTTGAGTGTATAAAATTATCCGAAGAATGAGATGGACATTATAAATAAGAGAACATAGTGATACAAAGGAGAAAAGGAGAGCATATCAGTTCTGTAAAGGCAAGAATCAGTATCAGCCATCGTAATTAGTGCGGCCTCTTTACCTCTGGTATCCTGAAGATGGTGATTTCCTTGAGAAGTACGATCAGCTCACCGCCACATTTGCGCAGTCGGATGCAGCTTACCTGTTGCTTGAAGTAACGTCGGTTCTCCTCGTCAATGAGGACCAAGTTGAGGTAGTACCGCGTGCTAAACTTCTTATTTACGTCTCGGAACGTCGGTGTCAGCTCAAAGCCCCCGAGGAACAGACGGATCGGGATCGTCTCGCCTGCAATGTCCGTTGAATTATCCCGAACTGCTTGTAAGATTCAGACGACTCACCCCGAACAGGAGCACCATCCATGATTTCGAATTTGGTGATGGTCTCACTCTCGTTGTACTGGTTCGGCGGTGCGCCAGTGGTTTCCCGTCGGATGATGGACAACTCCATGTGTTTTATTTTTATCCGCACAAGCAGGAAGTAAATCTTGCCGACAATGACGTCCTTCAAATGGTATCTACGTTCATGAGGGCGGATAACCTGTGAGAAGTAGGAGTAAACGTACTTCGACTTGTTGTACTCAAATTCAATATGTAGGCAGTCCTCTATTCCGACCTCCATCTTGATGGAATTGTTACTATCTGGAGGCATCCGGAAGGAATGTACCCAAATGTCTCTCTCTTTCGTAATGTCCGCTATTCGCCGGGAGACAGTGACGCGAATGAAGTATCTGGGATTGCAAGTAATTGAGATGCATGCGACAACAACCACAGGACAAGGACGCACCTTAGCTTCACATTTATGCCCTGATAGCTTTCATATTGTTTCTCTACGTTCTTGAACGAAAAGTCATACGTCTGAGCTTGCCGCATCTCCCCTGGCGCGGCCAATTCTTGGGATAGTGATAGGAATTCATGATGATGACCTCTGTCGTAGAAGAGCTCTTGAAAAATCAGTCACACTCAGGCGAGCGAGCGGAACGGAATACACGCGTACCAATGCTGCCTATGAACTGGACGTTTACACCGTCGTGCGCTAACTTCTTGCCGTCCCGTACGCGTATGACCACCTGCAAACTCGCTCAGCTGGACATCAATTAGGCCATACATTGTGTCCAGAAAGTACCTGGCCAGTAACCGACTCTCCATCGTAATAGACTGGGCATGAAACGGCTTTCTCCTTCTCCACTTTCATGTCCACCTTCTTACGGACGTCCTCTCCATCGAGGCGGACTTCTATGTCGACTGGCGTGGCAAAGAAGTAGGCTGCCATGGCTCTAGAGGTATTGTATGACGGCTAGCAAGGTCTCGGACCACGTACGACACGAAGGACCGTCCAGCAAACCTCGAAGTGAATCTATCGAACGCAGCGGTGTCCGCTGCGCCGGATCCTACTGCAGCCAATGACGTTACTCCGGCGTGTGCCGGGCAGCTCTACTACACTGGTCCCCCACACCTACAGCCAGTTCATAGAAAACATACATGACATGGCAATGGTTAGCGAAGTGCATGGAACAATGTACATATCAATGGCGTATATAATGCCACTACTGATCCACCATACTCGATAGGATACTTCGGAGGACGCTTGGGATGTCTGCAGCATTTGAAACTCGGAAAGCACGCCCAGGCAAGTACTTCGGTATCCTAAGGAAGGCGCATCGTGATATGGGTGAGCTCCCTCATCAGGAGCTGTACGTATGCAAGCTTACCATTTAGCTTCGGCCCCCTCTCCTATACAGATCAGCGCAGCGTGCACTTTCGGGTTCCGGTTCATGGCCTTCTTGAGATCCTCGGGCTTGATACCGTACCTCTCAAAGTTGGCATCCGTTATTGCGATGACAAACCAGTCATCTAGTCAAGGTCAGCGAGATGAGCGCGGACACGATAGCTCTTCACCGCCTACCTGCGTCGTACTTCCCGACCTGCAAGACAGCCTTCTCAATAGCTTCGACTAAACGCAGTTTTCGTCACTTCTCTCTGCCGCTGGGAAGCATCACTCACCAGTGTAGTCACCCGCAAACGCATATTGCGTTGTCAGGTTCATCTTCTCTACTACTTTCCAGCGTTCATGCATCTCGGTCGGAGGCTTGTCCGATTCGACCAATGGAATGTCGGGAGAATCGCCGGACTACGAGCACAAAGGGCCGCTGAATATTACCGCATTTGAGCATACTGACAAAAAAACCTACATGACCGTACATCTGAGGGAGAAATATTTATAACAATGAAGAATTTCAGAAGGCAAGATCACTCACATCCCAGACGTACTTATCTTTCCGCGTCAGACGGTCGAATATTTCCATGAGCATAACGGCTGCAGCAGTTAGTATTGTCGTTGCAAACAAACAACAGTGTCAGACAGGTTACCTGTCTCCATACTTCTCTGCAGGCGACCGTCATATTGGAACCGGTACCTGCATGGGAGAGACCCCGTCAGAAAGGATGCGGAGCAAGCAACGGCATACTTACATGGACCCGCTGATGTCGAAAACGAATCTTATCCGCTTGGGCCTTGCAAAGAGGTACATAAGTCAAAGGAGGGCTGTGTACTCTTAGCACGTACTTGATTTGCGGACGACCCATCTCAGGCTTCTCCGTGCCTCGCCGCTTGTAAACGGTAGTCTCTCCCGTGAGGCCTTCTGTGAGTCGACTGTCGTCGAGCTCCCCATCTGTCTGCCGCTTAACCCACACCCTCTCCTCCTCCTTCGCGGACAAGTCTAGAAGGACATGTGAGCAAGCAATAAAAGGGAATCCAGCAGCTATCATCTCACTCTCTAATAGATCGTACAACTGAGCAATATGAGCCTCGACTGCCGAAAGCAGCTCCCCGTACCCTCTGGCTTGCCCTTCGGTCATATTGAGCTGCTCCAGCTTCCGTGCCAGTTCCTCCTTAGCCATGGCTCTCGCTTTCTCTTTGATGTGTTCAGGAACTTCGCGCTTGAGTTTGTCGGAGACTTGGTTGATGTTATGTCCCTTGTACAGCCGCATGTAACCCCCACGGCCCCCTAGGCCCGCAGTGTCCCGGCCACCAGTCTAACGTTTGTGAGAAAAATGAGACACATATTAAAGATATGTTCCCTACACCTCCAGCCCAAGTGTTCCCGCCAGTATGAGGTTCATTCTTTGGATCCTCCTTACCGTATTTGGGTGCACTGAGATCGGTAGAGCCCTTGGGTTCGAACCTGAGATCCAATACTTTCTTCTTTGCAGCCTCTCTTGCCGCCTCTAGCCCGAGCTGTTTCACAGCAAGTCTGGAGGATGCCTGATGAAAATAATGACGGACTGATGTATTTCTCAGACGAACCCGTGATGCTCCAGGATATCAGCTAGCTTGTCGATAGTCTCCCGCTTATAGACATCGAAATCGAAGACATTCCGTAGAGTATCCTCGAGTGAGTCGTTCGGATAAGCACGCATATGGCGTACAATATTGATTAGCTCTAAGGGTTCGTGAGCGTCTGTGATCATCACGAGTGGAAACGCGGCTTACCTCGCAAAGAGTAGGGGTAAGTCAGGGAACCGTCCTCATAGCCTCTACGGAGGTCCTGGAACGCAAATACCAAGCGACGGAGGACCTCTGGCTCCAGTTCCGGAGCGAGATCTGATAGTAGTTTTCGTTCCGACTCCGCATCTGGATTTGAGAGCGAGTGACTACAACGAGCAATGGTCTGAACAATGCGCACGTTTTCACTCGAACGGCACTCACCAGCTAAAGCTGTCTCCGAGGACTTGCAAGAAATGGTTGCCTAAAAACGCTGTCGTTGTCTATGAGCGTGTGTCCATTGAGAACAAAAATGGCACATACGATATCCAGGCCGGTTAGCTAGAAGCACCAGCCTGAAGTTTGGATTGACAACTATATCATTATCACGTTCCCTCGTCGGACGGACCCTTCGTCCATCAGATAGAGTAAGCTCCCCGTGCGAAGCCAGACTCTTGAATATGGCGACCACATGTTCCGGTGCCTTATCTGCTTCGTCTACTATTATCACCCTGCCATGGATAATGGCCCGTAACAGCGGCGAATCAGTAAACTTCAGCACCCCTCCTTCCAAAGACGTCTGGAACATGAGCTGGTTGACCGTGGTATCCCGATGCAATTGCACGTATTCTCGAGGGCGTCCGAGGAGCTATGAGGCTAGTTAGATTTGGCTTAAGGGAGCCTGGGTAGATCTTACTTGGCATAACCTAAGAGAATATCAGTTTATGGATGTTACATTTTTTTATTTCTTCGGTACCAACCTATCGACGATTTTGTTCTTGCCAACACCCTGGGAACCAGTAACTACCTCCTAAATTGGCTTTCAGCGAAGAGGCTACACACCTGATTACCAAGCAGAACGACGTGCTCCCTGAGCACCTCTAAATCGATGGCTAGGTCTCGCATTAGGCCGGTTTGTAAGCTGTTGTCGTAGAAGTGCTCCATGTAGGGTATACGTGACGCTACTCCTTCTGGGTCTTCAGCAGCATCGAACTGGTGTATAACGGTAGCCTCTGCCTGTTGGAGAGGATCGCTAACTTCTGGGAACACCAAGAGATTCTTTTCGACTGTGGGCGGTGGATTATACTGTAGATGAAACCGTATTAGCCCAAGAGATTCCCGTCTAATGGAGTCCATACCAGATATTTTGAACGGGATAAGCCGCATTCGTCAAACAGAGTTTCCAGGTTGATCTTCTCGGCAGCAGGGAGGAACTCCCCAAGAAGGGCTCTGTTGATCATAGCTCGCAGATCCTGGTCCCAGGGGAACTTGGCTACCCTCCTCGCTATCCTGAGCACAGACAATGTACCCAGCCTTCTATTCTTCTGTACATTATCAGAGGTCAGCGATTCTCTATACTTCCAGGCAAAGTCTAATAGTATCTTGGTGGTATTACTCGGGCAGCCAGTCCGTACTAGCAGAGTAGTCTCCTCGTGGCGGCTCATGGGTTCCGCTGGGATGGGGAAGAACATATTTGCGTGCTCATCAGAGAGCCAGTCGCGCAAGGGCTGTGATTTGGATGCAGTCGTAACTATTCGGAAACTGGGGTGTGATGTCCATAGCGTATCATTGTTCTGTGAAAGTAAGTAACCCGCGAAAACGACCAACATTAGAGCACCTACTTCTTCCGGTGTTTGAGCTGCCACCCGTCTACCTTCCCAGAGTTCAGTTTCACGGTCTTGGGTGAGCCGCGCCAAGGAGCCCGCCGTCGACCCTATAACATCCATCCCGGAAAGGTGCACTAACCGACCAGTCAAAGCTCCCTCAATCAAAGGACTTCGATGTGTCAATCTGTTGTTCCACTTCAGCACGCCTTGAAAATTACCTTGGCTCCCAGCTCGTAGCGCCGCCACTCCCGACCTTCCTCCTCATGACGAGCTCTCTCCCGCCAAGCTCTTTGTACATGTGCACTGTGTCACTGTCGTACCCAAGTATCTCACTGAATACTTTCACGAGGAAAGATGTTGAGCAGGATGCCGTAGATGGCATAGCCGGGGGTATGTAAGTGATGTCATAGTCCAGTGCATGCGCCTGTAAGAAAGATGTGAGGAGACCCATGAAACGGTTCGTGACGAGGAAGTCTTGCGACGCCTGAGGAGGGAAAGGTTGAAAGGGTTTCGGCCCACAGGGAACCTCCAGGGTGATCACGGCTCCGTCAGATCGCTGGAATATAACCTCTGCTTGGCCTTCGATGTCTGCCTTCGTGATGCTGATAGCACGAAAGCCGAATAATCCGGTATCGTCGCTCAGTTCATCCTCGCTGGTCATAGCAGCACTGCCCAAAGGTCCGAGGCCCGCTTCTTCTGTCTGCTGGCTCAGAAGCGCCCATGCCTGGAAAGGCGCGTATACGAGGGCGGGATGTAGAGTCAAGAATAGCCTACTAAGCTGCCTCGGTGTAAAGCGTTCAGGCGGCGGGAATGTGCGCACTAGACACGACATTTTCGCCAATGCAGTCTGAGGGAAAGGGGGGAGAGACGAAGTCGTGATAGCTTCTAAGGAATGCCTGGATTCGCTGGCGAGCTGAGTGGAAAGGATGATATTTCTCAGCTTATCGAATATCGAATCAGGGGAAGGTGCGGTCAATGCAAGCATCGAGCCAACGGGGTCTATGAACCTCGCTTGGAACCGGCTTCTAAAAGGTGGATCTAGAGGATATCCTTTGTATGGAGGAACTGGAGCAGCAATAGCTACCACACGGAAGTTCTTGTGGGCGGGGATAAATACATCTTTGATCGAAGGGCCGTCTTCAAGCAAGGCATAGCGATGCGGGTGTATTATGTGTGTTCCGTCGTCAAGATTCCTAAGGAAGCAATTTCTTAGTTCTTGTCTACCGGGTCATGCATCACAAAGGTTCGTTCACATCTCACGATTCTCCAACAAGTTATTCAATACCTATAGCGGGCATGGTGGGCGAAGGCAGTCAGAGAGGGATATATTCCAAGAAACATTTCCGCGTACAGGCATGATCCCTCTCTCAGCTTTCTCTACGCCTTCGATAATCAAGATACGGCCAAGTTTGACAGCTTGTACCGCCGGACTATCGACGTAGACGAGGTTACCTCCAGGTCTAATCTCCCTGCCTTGCTTTAACTCTGTCTCTCCGACGTCTCTATGTAGTGCGATATACTCATATTCGGAGTTAATCAGGCTATATCTGATTGAGTGGCTTAAATGCATGGGTGTCAGGTGTTATTCACCTACAGAATGTCATGGCCAGTCGTCTCGCATATGGCCCCGGCTGCGACAAGAGAAACACATCTTGTCCTAACAGATATTTCTGCAACATGAAGTGAAGATTGTTGAGGTTGACAGGGTCTGTCATGTCTAGCGCGTGGGTGACCTGGGGCAATCTTGCCACATCTTGGGCTGCAGGAACTTCATAGGTTATGTTTCCCAAGCGCAAAGTCCCTATTGACGGACGAGTGGGTGCGAGTTCGCTCAGAACCCGTCTAAGGCGGCTTTGAGGCGTCATGCGTCGATATGGCGGTTGTAGCCAGACCTTGAAGGTGAAGGTCGACCGGAAACCTTGCATGAAGGTCGCGTATGTACCGGCTTCGGCTATGGCTCGTTACCGGTCAACCTAAGCCGGGGACCACTTTGTAATAATACACGAAATGCAATCCTCCCTACAAAGTTGAGGACGCAGATTATGTAAGGGAGTCGCGCAGCGGCTCGCAAAGTGGACGCGGAGCCATTGCAGCGGATGCACCCAGACGGTTGCCCGACTAACCTATTACCTTATTGTTAAATATTGGTAGTGTGCCGCTAGTGCAGCGGTTAGTGTGACGGGTTATTTCAGATGCAATGATGGAAGGTTGAGGTTCAATCCCACCCATGGATGATATTTTAAACTTGCGATGATTTTAGTTGTCTTCACTCCGTAACGCAACTTGACGATTTTCTTTCGTTCTCTGTCTCATAATGCCGTCATTCCAAGGCACCGATATTGATGACATTGTGGCACTTTGAGTCCGGACAAGGGCCAATCTATACACAAAGCCTGCACTTGGTATTATACTTTGGGGTTCAGTTTGAAAAAATTAAAACTACATGTGTACTGATATAACAAACCACTCAACTTCTCATGATCATGGGAGGTGGTGTTACCGGTGTACGAACGACTTGCAGTGAGTACACAACCTCCTCACCGCCTTAGGACTCCCATTCCGAAGCGAGTCGCCCCGACTTCAGACGAAGTCCCTCGCGACGCTGCGGGGCTACCGCACAGTGCCTCGACCTTCCATTTATAGCGACTCGCGTCCTTAACTTTGTAGGGAGGATTGCACTTTCTAATAATACCACAGGTGAAGTTCCATGGGCAAAGGCTCGTCATGTCCCGCCCATACGATATAGTCGTTTACGGTGCAAGCGGTTTCACCGGAAAGTTTGTGGCGAAGGAACTCTGTTCTCTCGCTGCGAAAGGATCATTTCCTGGGCTGAAATGGGTACGCTCCCCAATAACTACCGAGAACCAGCCTCTCATTTCAATACGTCCATATCTTGCCCTGCGCTTGAAATAATTGTCGTTGGATTCGTGTTGCGCCGTCACTCTTGAACGGAACCCAGGCTATAGCCGGACGCTCGAAGGGCAAGCTCGATACACTCGTCTCCGAGATCTCCCAGCAGTACGCTGGCGTGGCACCTCCAGGAATAATAATCGCCGATGCCAGCGAGACAGATGGAGAGGGTCCTCTGCAGGCTGTGGTGGATATGGCTGCAGCCACTAGATTGGTCCTGAACTGTGTCGGGCCTTACCGCTTTACCGGCGAGAAAGTCGTACAGGCTTGTATCCAAGCGAGCACCGACTACCTGGACTTGTGCGGGGAGCCGGAATTCATGTAGGTATCTCGGTACTTATAGTACCGGGAAGTTCTACGTGTTGTCACTGATGTCGTCCCCGCAGAGAAAATATGATTCTCAAGTATCACGACACGGCAGCTGAGAAGAGCATCACGATCGTCCATGCCGCTGCATTTGATTCTGTACCGGCCGATCTTGGGGCGTTGTTTGCAAAGCGGAACTTGATTGAGAAGGGCGCAACACCCAGCTCAGTTGAGATGTACGTGAAGATGCTCGTCTCTGGGAACGCCAAACCCGGGCTCAATTTTGCAACCTACCAATCCGGTGAGCCATTTGCATTTGAAAGGGCATACCCTTTCTGTTCCTGAAAGTGCTCGTATTTACTTACTGCAATTTCGAACAGCTGTGGAGGGCTTCGGATCCGTCGGACAACTGCGTCAAGTTCGCAAAGCTCTCGCTGCAAAACAGCCACGTCCGGCGACTGTTGGACCCAAGCTTAAGCCTCGCAAGGGATTGCTAGGGAGATTCCCGCCTTACTTGGATCGTGTCGGCGGCTACCTGATCCCCTACTTCTTCGCCGACCCAGCGATTGTGCGACAAACCCAGATCCTGGAAGAAGTTCATTCGGCTGGGCTCCCGCCAATCCAGTTCGGCGCCTATCTTGTGATCCCATCCCTGAGGATCCTGCTATTGATGATATTTTATTTCACCATATTCAGCTTCCTTGCGGCTAGGAAGTGGGGGCGGGCTCTGCTCCTCCGGTACCCGAGACTGTTCTCTCACGGTACAGTTTACAAAGGAGGACCTCCAGTGGAGTCGCTCAAGCACTTTGCATTTACGGAGACGTTCGTTGCTAGAGGGTATTCATCCGCCGTAGATCCGAAAAGTGGCGCGCAGCCCGACGTGGAGGTAGTGACCAGAGTCAGCGGGCCCGAGTTAGGTTATGTCGCTACGTCCATCTTGTTCAGCTTCTGCGCCAAAATTCTTCTGGACGAGAGACGGCGCTCCGGGGATGGAGGCTCGATACGCCTGCGGCACGGCGTGCTCACGCCTGCTGTTGCTTTCGGGGACACCGGTCTGATTGAGGAACTCGATCAAGACGGGAGAGTCACGTTCTCTGTGGTCCAAGCTTAGATTTGTTTTGCTGAGGCTTTCTTGTATATTACTTCTGTAATACTCATCGACTGCACCACAAGGGCAACACCTATTGTCGGTCCCCACTTCGGCCGACCATCTCACAAAGAGCGGCGTTGTGACTTTCATCTACCAGAGCACGGAACATGCCCTCATCTTTCCGAAAAAGCAGAGATGGTGGTCCCGTCTCAACCTGTTACACGTCTAGATTAATTGAACTCGGCTCGGCGGTTAACCCGAAGACTCACAATACGACCTGCATCGAGCACAATCTGCGGAGGCACGTGTGAAGTGATAATTACCAGTTGTAAAGCGTGCACTCACGATCGTGTCTGAATCCATTATCGTTTGCGGACGATATGCAATAGTTATTACAGTGACATCGCTACCGAGTTTGATCCGCAAGGAAGACTGGATCACTTCCTCCATATTGCAGTCTGCAAGTGAATGGAAAATTAGTCGCACCACACTGTCTCCGCTGGTGTCGTCTTACCGATCGCTAATGTAGCTGCGAGCACATTGTCAAAGGGTTATGAAATGATTATCCTGTGGATCGACTCATCGAGAATCAGCAATTTACTCCGGCGGATAATGGCGCGCGCGAGCGCGACAATTTGTCGCTGGCCGATAGACAGATTCTGCCCCGCACTGGCAACCTGGGTATCCAGAGTAATTGTGTTGTTACAATGGTTAGCCTCGAGAGCGAAGAGAGCACAACCTGCAGCGGGCTGCACGACTCTATTACCACCTTGGTGTCACTACAGCTTTCGGGACGTGAGAGTGACGTCAGTGCATGCTCACCTAGCAGAAGAAAATTACGTCCGTCCGTGATATTGTTTAGGTCCGAGGTGACGAGGTCACTGATCCTGCCTAGCAGCTGGCCAGACCCTGGTGCAGACGAGCTGTCCTCTCCTTTAGAGAGTGTTTCTGCGTCCGCCTTCACCCTGACCCGGAGAGAATGCTCAAACACAAGGGCAGTGACGATAGCTTCGGAGCGGACTGCCACCGCATTCTGGAAATTCACATGTCGTATATCATCGGCCTCTTACCCTGTCATGGATAGGAGTGTAAAACACTGGACAGCGACGGAGCCGATGTCAGGGCCAAGGAATAACAGTGCCACCATAACCATGGCTTGATAGTCGCGCCGGGGATGACTATTCCCCACAAGAGCCATCCTTCAGCCTCGTCCGCCGGTTTGAGAGTATAAGTCACCAATGGATAGAGGTTACGATACGTATAGACTCCGAAGGCAACAAGAAGAACCGAGGCGAGGTGTCGTGAAGCTACGTGGCTCCGTCTACCCGACGAAGATACTGCCAGCAGCACAAGTATCGTTGTGAAGCCTGGAGCCGACGTTTAAGAGTCCCAATCCCGATGTATAGAGAACACTGGATTCGACTCACGTATCCCACAGGCACGGTGAATTGCAGGACATCCGGAGTGGGAACGGACCCCTCTTCATATTCAAGAATGGCTATGGATAACACGAGAACTCCAGCCGACGCTAGGAGTTGTAATATGCGACACAAGAGTATGGTATACCCTCCGTATGAGTCTACATGTTTCCCGAACCTTGCTGAGAGTGGCTCCTTGGTCGACCTGGTGTCGGAGGGGCTTGAGTTCCACGTTTCTGGGCTTTTGACGAGATTACTGACTAAAGTGAGAAATGACAGGCATGCCGCACAAAGTGGATACACCCGCAAATCCAACCACGGGCTGGCACGAGAGGGCGGCGACAAGTCAGAAGTGAGAGAAGAAAGTACGCGTGAACGCGTTCTTACGTCGAAGCGGTTGAGGTTAACATTGAGACAATTGACGCGAACTAAAGTCCCGTGGGTCTGTGAACACGGGCCCTTCCTACGACGCGTCTCTCGTTATATACCTGTCCATGGTGAGCCGAATCGGCTGCGATCCTACCTACAATCTCGGAGTGTAGTACTGCGGTTCAACGAACTCTTATCTCACAGCAGCATGATGGGAGACCTTGGGAGGGAACAAGCATTCAGAAGGGACAGGCTCGTATTCCGAGTACCGTACAGTGCCGTGAGAGGCGCGATTCGTCAGGGATTCCCGACTCGGCCGGCACTGCACACTGTATCAGGACCCCTGATAATCAGTATCGAGGCTTTATTTTAGATGCCCAAAATTCAGCGTCTTTGTCCGCGCCAAATTTCCCGATTTTACGCCCTTTTGTCCGCGAAAAATCAGGTGCCAGCTCGATTTGCCTTCCATATTTGGGAATTGTGGCGTGGGTAACGCTCAAATCTTCCCGCGCTCGGCGTATGCCGAGAAATCCTGCCCAAAATGGGCAGGTGATGTCCGCGGGAAAAATAAGGGTTGGCCGCTGGGCTCCCAAAATCGGTCGCTTTGTCCGCGAAAAATCAGGCCTGAGGGGTCTCAGATGGCCAACTTTTGTCCGCGTTTCCACAAAGCCTCGATACTGATAATCAGGGGTCCTACTGTATCTCCCGCAGATACGAATTGCGAATGCCGGCGGAGTCGGGTATCAAAGGACGATAGAGCGGCATTGCAGTTGATAGGGGAACGTTCAAGGCGAGTGAAGCGCCCCATGTGGCGCAATACAACCCTTCGAAGTCGCGACTCCGATAACTTGGGTTCTTGAAAGGTTGAAGCCACCTCTCGTCGCATATTCAGTAGAGCATGCTTCCCTACTATCATTGGACCAGTAGTGAATAATTATTCACTTCCCGTCCCTTTTGTGCACTGGGGACTTCGTGGCTACCCTATACCTTCGGCAATTTTTTTCTGTAATGATGGATATCTGCATATACCATGTCCAAGTTTGTATATGGAACGGAGGAGTGGTCATCGCTCAGGATTTAAAACTGTCTTGCATGTCCGAGGTCTAAACGTGACAGAGCGTGACTGCTGCCCCGCCACAGCTCTATTGTGACACATGTGACATCTTATTCACTTCCCGTCCCCTTACGCCGTACAACCTCTACACCCACTAGAAAAATCTGAGAAATTTACAGAGGGTGTAGAATGGTATCTGAACCATCCACACCAATTTTGGGGTACATACAATCAGAGGAAGATGACTTAACCAGTGAGCAGTTCAAATTATTCACTACTGGTCCAATGATAGTATGAAGACCCGTTGCTCGCCTACTCGGTCGAATTGAGGAGACGCCGTTCACAAGTCTACATGCTTCCGTATTTCTGCTGAATCGCATGCATTACTCCATCTGTAGTGCAATCTATTTCATCCGTCTATGTTTCCCCAGTAACTTAAACGCCCTTCCCAATGAGCTCTATCGTCTTCTCCACTAGCGCACGCATCACTTCACTCTTCTCTTTGCCAATTGCCAAAACCTCTTCGTGCGAGACCTCGACCTGAGGAGATGGCGGGAGCGGCGTCCCAGCGAGCTGCGCGAGGTTCAGCACACGTCAAATCGCAGGCGAGAGACAACGCACCTCCGCGTCAACCTCCTCCCTAACGCTCCTATATCTATCCGGAATGACCACGAAATTGGTCACCAAACTCAGCACACAAACTTCCACGCCCTCCTCCCGCGCGGCGAGCACCTCCGGCACGGTGCTCATCCCCACCACGCTCGCGCCTGCCGCGCGCAGGAAGCGGCCCTCCGCGGGGCTCTCGTAGGTAGGTCCCGACACCCACGCGTATGTGCCCTCGCCGACGGCTGACGCGGGCAGCGCGAGCTGGTGAGCGGCGTGGAAGAGCGCGCGCCGGAGGGAGTGCGAGTACGCGGTGGAGAGTGGGAGGAAGCGCGGATATTGGGGCTTGGCGGGCCCCAGAAGGGGGTTGAACCCTGTTAAGTTGGGGAGTGCGAGGTGGTCGCGGATGGAAACGACTGGGGGTGTTAGTTATAGTAGGATTGGCAGGTGGTCTAGGTGATGAGACATACTTGTCCCCACGGGGAGTCCAGGGTCGAGGGATCCGGCTGCGTTCGTGACTGTAATATGATTGTATCACCCTACTGCACGATGGGTACTGTATGGTGCCGCTTACTGATTAGGTTCTTGACGCCTAGTCGGGCCATCACTCTGACGGGGTAGACAACCGTAGACAGCGAATGGCCCTCATAGGCATGGAACTAGCTGGGCCAGTGAACCAGTCAAAATCCAAAGTCAGATGACATGACAGGTGTTCCCATACCCGTCCCAACATTGCAACTACGGGTACGCCATCAGCAGGACCCAAGAGTCCGAACGCCAGCGCGCTCTTATGACCAGGAACTATATTCCGTCATCATCAGAACCTTCTTCAGCGCACGATCCACCCCGCAACGTACCGGTGCTAGTCCCAAATCCTTTCAGCGATGAATACGGTACCTCAACACGTTCCCTGAAACTCGCGGCGAGCGTGCTCAGACCCGACCCGCACACGATGCCGACCTGAGGTTTAAGCAGCTGCTCTGGCAGAAGCGTCCCGAGGATGTCGATATTCGACGCGATGAACTCGAGCGAGGTGTCTTGCTGCAGGTCGGTCATGGCGGTCGAGGATAAGGTATCGATTCGAATCTACAGCAGATCTCCCTTAATTTACGGCTATTTACGGCCAACGAAGTGATGTCCGGTGGCTGTGCAGTATGTGATGGCCGGCGGAAATGCCACAGTTCGACTCTGCATGGCCACAGTACTGTACTCACTTGTACTTAGCGTATGAAACTTGCGTTTGAGCAAGGCTTTGTTTCTCCAGTAATCTTAAGACTCTGAAAGGGGGAAATTTTGGAATAGCTGCCTTTCGACTCAGACGCCACAGGCAATAGGTAAAATGAAGTAATCGTAATGATACTCGTGAGGACATCATGCTCTGCGTCCTTGGGAAACGACCATCAGCTATTACGGCGTCATAGGCTGATAGAACCTGAGACTCTTTCAGGGGTTTAGGGGCTCAAGGGATGTCTTACATCAATCTTCAAGTTCGTAGTTAGAAAGGAAATCGGCAGCGTTGAATATCAGCTGAGAATGTCATTTTCGGGTGGATCAGTGTAGAGGCGGGGTGAGGTGCCTGATCCGCTATTGTCCACGGGGAGCGGAGTGGCATTTTGGTCAGCCACAAGAGTAGGCTTCGACGCACCTGCGTGACTCGCTGCACCAGATCCTTACTTGAATCGACGTTGCGGCACGTACGCCACTCGGGTTACCGGGTGAGGCAGTACTTACTCGGGTGCCTGTCATCCTGTAAACAAGAGCAGAAGTGAGACAGCAAGCGTCTTTTCATGGAAGAAGACACCGAGAGATATCTCTAGACGGTGCACGTCGTAGGGGCAGATCCCCGCATGTAAGACAGACGGATGGCTTTGTCAGAGTGTTTCTTGGACGAAGCTCACCTCTGAAACCATAGCATCTTCTCGAAAGTCCAGTGCGCCATATATGCGAGGCAGGGGTTTTCCCAGAAGACAATAAACCTCAGGAATACCGGGCCTAAAACCTCTGCGCAGGGGGGGGCATAAAAGGGACGCGCTCTGACCCGAGGTCACCCAGGTCAAGTCCATCCAAGGAACTAGCCTACCTGCGCCTCTCGTTCTCAAGTCGCAGTCATCCTCGCACCCATGGACGCGTTCAGCACGACAGCACCCACCGGCGAGGACGCGCCTCTCACAGACGAGGAGCGCGGAGGCGGCGGAGCGTTCAGCTACTGCGTCGTAGCCTGAGGATAGTGTCAAAGGTGAGGTCTTCAGGCCGCGCGATGTAGTGGTCGGAGGGACTTACTTATATTTTCAGAGGATCTTCCGCGTTTCGTTGATCTGCGACGCTAGGGTTTCTTCCCAGCGATGCCCATCCAAGGTACGACCCTACGAGAGCTCGGTGTGGTATTCAAGGGGAGTACTTACATCACTTCCAGAGCATCTTTCACCTTTTATGATCTGTAACGCTGGATAGACAACTGGTCAAACAGTAGGGAAGTCGTAAGGGCATATACTCTAGGACTCCTACCTTGTGTTGTCTTTTCGTATCCGCGTTCGTTAAGACGCATTTACAAAATCGCACCTTTATTGGTAGAAAATAAGATTGCCAAGGTCGACACGTACGATACCGAGGCTCAATTTGAAGCCGAAGGCCAGTGGAACGTACCTCAGACTGAGAATGGCGGCGTAAGCCATCCCTAGAGGCAGAACAGGAAGTATACAGAAACTCGGAAAAGTCATACTTCATCCGAATAATCCGACGACATAAGCATGAAGGAATCGGATAAGAGTCCAATGAACGAACTTGGCGTGCCGCCGTCATGAATTGTGGGTGTGGCGCGAACACGAGGCCATGCACACTCACGTGACCGCGTCCAGATCGGCTCCGAGTCCTTATGCAATTTAAATTACGTCTACCTTTCCCAGCTTTGTGGTCTCCGTTAGAGGGCACTACTAATCACGCGCCTACATTTAGACACAGAGATGGAGACACCCAGAGGAAGGGGCAGAGGGAGAGGTCGCGCGCGGGGTGCAAGAGGTGGTGGCCGTGGCCGTGGTCGAGGGAGCGGGAGTACAGTCAATGGCCCCGTTGTGGAGAGAACTGGCTTAGTCGTCGGTATGGCTGATTCTCATGTAACATTCCTTCAACTTTGTTCACTGACTATATGTATAGAGCACCCAATCATGGACACAACTGGTTTGGCAATCGGTATGGCCGAGCATCATATTACGATCCCCCAATCTGGCAGCCTGACTGTATGTGCGTAGAGGAGCCAACAATTCCTAGAACTGGCTTGTTAATCATCGGTAATAATCGAAACTTAACTCAATTGTCCTGCAGCTTTGCCTGCTGACTGTTTGCGCACAGAGGAGCCAACACGCGCCAACGGCAGATCAGATACCGAAGACGGGAGCACAACCGTTATCGACTCAGACTTCGATTCCGACGCGGGGAGCTACGAGAATCTGATGAGGAGGATGAGCCTACGAGATGACGCCGCCGCACGCGCCTACTTCGGCAACGCCCCCCTTCGCCCCGCCGCCGGCCCCCCTCTCGTAGTGAAAGAGAGCATCGGAGGGGCACTCGTACAAGATCCCACGCGTGACCCGCGGCTCAGCGCCATCCTCCCCGGCTCCATGTCCTTCGCTATCTCTGTCCACCCGCTACACATCCCCAACGCGCGCGCCATGTGGTCCACGGCATCCAGCACATCGATCATAGACTGGCGGTTTGTGCGGCTGGCAGGCTTACTACCGCAGATGGTCCCCCTACGCCATGGCATCGACCGTGTCACATTAACAGGTATCATGGGGGCATCCCCGATGAAGGTCTTCGGCCGCGTGGACGTGCTCTTTGATGCTCTTGGGTACGAATTCGAATTGCCCTGCTGGGTGACAGATATCGGCTTTCCAGTGGAAATGGTACTGGGCAACGACTGGGTAGAGAAGTTCGATCTGGTATATATGGTAGGAGGAGGTGAGATACGCATAAACGAGGCAGATGCCAGGAAGACCAGAGCAGTGGAAGATAAGTATCGCACGAGATAGGTCGTCAGATGGGGCATTGGAAGGTAACAGAGGTGTAAGACGTTATAATATACGAACTGGATAGAGTTGTGGGTCCTTGTGGGCGCGAACGCGAGGTTATCGCGCCACATGTATATAGAGGCCCTAATTGGTTAAATCACCTCTATGATCCTCCTCTCTGACGTCCGTTGGGCGACCATGGAACGTACTGTACAGAAATATACAAATACCGGATTCTGAGGCTGGAAACGGTTTCACAAGTCGCTGTCGAGCACGGCCAGCAGAGATGGAGCCTACACCCAGAGGAAGGAGCAGAGCTCGCGGGCGAGGTGCAAGGGGAGGACGCGCACGCGGTCGAGGAGGCGGGAACACCGCAACCGGTCCCAAAATCCATCAAACTGGCCTAGCCATCGTCGGTAAAATCAAGCGTTGCTCAGTCACCGTGCGGCCTGGTCTTGCCTGCTGATTATGTACGCACAGATGACCCATCGCCGCCGCTTGTACTCGGCACTGTCATGGAGGTGCATTCAACCGCCCTAGTAATCGTTGGTAATAGATCCATCCCCTGCTCGATAGTCCTGCCCTTTGAGTGCTTACCGTGCGCATGTAGACCCACCAATCAACAGCACGGACACCGACGACGCGAGCAGCACCGTGATCGAGTCGGACTCGGACTTCGACGACGGCGGCTACGAGCGCATGATGCGGCGCATGCGCCTCGAAGACGACGCCGCCGCGCGCGCCTACTTCGGCGACGCGCCCCTCCCCCCGCCCACCGGGGCCGCTCTCATCGGCAAAGAGACCATCGGCGGCGTGCTCGAGGAGGACCCCTCGCGCGACCCGCGGCTCAGCGCGATCCTGCCCGCGTCCATGTCGTTCTCCATCTCCGTCCACCCGCTGCACATACCCAACACGCGCGCGATGTGGTCTAGCGTGTCCACCACCTCCATCGTCGACTGGCGCTTCGTCCGGCTCGCGGGGCTGCTCCCGCAGATGGTGCTCCTGCGCCCCGGGATCGACCGCGTGGCGCTTGGGGGCGTGCTGGGCGGATCGCACATGGACGTCTACGGCAGGGTGGACGTCCTCTTTGACGCGCACGGGTACGAGTTCGAGCTGCCCTGCTGGGTGGTCGACATTGGGTTCCCGGTGGAGATGGTCCTGGGCCATGACTAGATCGAGGACTTCCACTTGCACGTGCAGACGGGAGCTAGGCCACTACGCGTAGCCAAGGCCGACGCAAGAAAAGCCAGAGCCGTCGAAGACGAGTACCGCACGAGATAGGCATTCAGGGCGTGATAGACGGCAATAGAGCTGTAGCAGGCGGAGCAGCGCCGAATGCGCAAGAAGTAATAATATCTTGTACAGCAGTGTGAGTCAGTATAGTCAGAATGAAGTCGTGATTCCACGACGGCAGTTCCTCGTAAGCACATCCCCGGACCCTTTTGAGGCTCCAATAGCCATGACTCACGATTCATACGGCAAGCAGATAGAGTTCCGCATCCCAGCAAGGGCGATGTATCATGAGATTCGTGGATATATCCAAGATACAAAATGGGGCGTATATCAAGCACAGTGATACTCACGGGGTATACCGTACGATCGGCATACCATTAGTGCGGCCCAGCGCTGTGACCTGAACAGCCGGTGGATGATACAGTAAGTACCAGACGTCTACAGCATCTTAGAGCTTCGCGCCCCGCGAAGCAAGCTTGGAGTTGAGGCGTTTCTGCACGATCCCATGAGTTCGCCGGAAGCTCCCGACGAGAACCAAGGCAAAGACTCACCCCAACAGCATCCATGTACTCATTCGTCAGCACCCAGTGCTCCCGCTTCATATTTTTCCCATGGATCGCCAGCGCAAGATCCTTCGTCATAATCCCCTCCTGGTCAATCACCTCCACGCATGCCGCCTCCAAATCCTGGCAGAACTGGCGGAGGGCGTCGTTCCCGTCCAGCTTCGCGCGGTGAATCAGACCACGCGTCCACGCGAAGATGCTCGCGACGGGGTTCGTCGACGTCTCGTTGCCCTTCTGGTACTCGCGGTAGTGCCGCGTGACCGTCCCATGCGCGGCCTCGCTCTCGACGACGTCGCCATCCGGTGTTATTAGCTCGGAGGTCATCATGCCCAGGCTGCCGAAGCCCTGCGCGAGGATGTCGGACTGTACGTCGCCGTCGTAGTTCTTGCACGCCCAGACGAACCCGCCCGAGGACTTGATTGCCTGTGCGACCATGTCGTCGATCAGCCGGTGCTCGTAGTAGATGCCGAGTTTCTCGAATTCCGACTTGTATTGCCTAAGAGGTTGGGTTGGGGGATGAGCTATCTGCTTCAGAGGGAAGACTCACGTGTCGTAGATCTCCTGGAATATATCCTTGAAGCGACCGTCGTACTTCTTCAAGATAGTATTCTTCGTCGACATGAACTATACCCAGGCTCATGACCATTCATTGTAGGCATCGACCCAATTCAACATACCAGCGTCATCTTCTTGGACAGAGCCATCTTGAAGGAGGAGTGCGCGAAACCGCTTATTGACTAGGCACATAGTGAGCGATAATTCGTCGAAGAAAGGTGACCAGAACTCACGTCGTCAGTGTTGTACATACTCAGGGCAACACCTTTGCCCTTGAAATCATAAACATCCAGAGTCGTCTTCTCGCCTCCGTTATCCGGAGTGAAGACAAGCTGGAGTTTCCCGGGGCCTGGTGCAATGAAGTCGGTTGCACGGTACTGACAAACGCATTCAGCTACCGATTTCATAGAAGGATTGGGCAAAATATACCTGATCACCGAAAGCGTGACGTCCAATGACAATGGGCTTGACCCACCCAGGCACGGGCTTGGGAATCTTCTCGAGGATGATGGGTTCACGGAATACGGTACCACCGAGAATGTTACGGATCTGCATCGCGTTGAACACAGCATAGCTTGGGGATGCCCAAAAGTAACACGCACAGTTCCGTTTGGACTCTTCCACATCTGCTTCAGGTTGAATTCCTTGACACGAGCCTCGTCGGGGGTGATGGTAGCGCACTTGATACCAACCTTGTGTTCAAGGATGGCATTTGCAGCGTCTACCGTTACTTGGTCGTTCGTCTGTGGGAATTCTCAGTCGAGAACCGACCCCCTGAGTCTGGTGAACATACTGCATCACGGTATTCCAGTCCTAGATCGTAATACTTGATATCTAGTTCTAGATAAGGCAAGATGAGCTGAAGTAGACCCAGTCAGTACGAAATGAGGCGAGTAGGACATGCGAACGGACCTCCTCTCGGATCTTCTTCCATATGATCCTTGTCATCTCATCTCCGTCTAGCTCTACGACCGGGTTCTTTACAGCAATCTTCTGCTCTGAATTCAATGCAGATCATGAAGCTACTCCATTCGATCTTCCATGAAACCATGATCGACGTACGCAATCTAGCCATGCTTGTTGCAAAACCTCTATGCAGCTGTCCAGCAGAGGACGCAGCCAGCCACGCTGACCGCTTGTGAGTGGAGAGGAGCGTTCGTGACAGCATGTTTGACGGCGCTCCGACGGGTGGGGTAGACCGGCTTGGGCAATGTATCTGCCCGCTTTAACGTCGCGGTCGAGCAGAAAAGCGTGAAAGTGCGCAGGCTGCGTTAAGTACCGCGCGAGCCGTACTCAGGTCTGCGAAAGTCGTTAGAAAGAACAGGGGACGGCAGAACAGCGGAGTAAGCGTTCTCGAGGCAGCTGACCATCGTGCATGTCGGCGGTGGGAACATACCCGTTTCGGCCGAATTTAAGAGGCTTTGCATATGTTTTCTCTGTACATGTTGCTCGCTGCCACAATCTCTAGATCTAGTGGCCATGGAGGGTTTCCTCATTTTGCTGATCTTTGTCTTATATGAGGTGACTCATTGCTTGAGGAGATAACATCGTATATTTATTGCCGGAGGTTTCTCCTCTTTCCACGCTGTCTGCGCTGGCTTCTCACCGGATTTCGAAGCGTGGATTCTACATGTAAAAAGACTGTTGCATCAGTTCTGGGTCGGATGCACGAGCAATATAGATTCCTAAGCGGTATGCGGACCCTAGAGTAGGACAACTCATCGGGATGACAGACAAGAAATCCCAGGATCTGCCTATCCGGTAGCCTCGCAGCAATTCCACGCGTGGAAGACTGAGACGGTCTCGCGTACGTGCTCAGGACCGCGTATCAAGAGCAGCGTCTTGAACTGGATTCCAGTCTGTTCTTTGTGGATGGTGCTGATAGAATGTGACTATACCCGCGAGAGCTGTATTGGTTCAAGTGCAAGCTTTGAACCCAAAACACCCTCAAAAGTGGCCGACCGCTGAAGTGAGTCAAAGATTTCGAGCAGTCGGCTAGACCGGAGAGTAGTACCCGTAAGCTATGGCTTGCGCATAGCATCCCTCCACTCTAGCCTTCTGCCCGGAATCAATGCTGGCAATGCTTCACGCAATTCCTGAACTTTGGATTTGCCTCTGTCCTGGTCAGTCTCTTACTTCACGAAAGCAATGCTAGGGCACTTGCCGTAGGCTCGCTGTTTCTTGGGCCATCCCGGAAGACGGTGTGCATCACTCCTGGTTCCGCAATCACATAGTCGTGTTTATAATGCACTGGTCAAGCGACTCCTTCGTTGGTGTGTGTCTACAGATGAACCTGTCACTACTCCCTTACCGACCATGCATTGCGATCGGCAGTGTAAACAGGCGAGCTCCCTCGCAGTATGAAATGTTCTGCGAGTACGACCCGAATTTCGACACACGACGTCCGAATGATTTTCCAGATTTTCCCATTTCTTACAACACTGCAATACACATATAGAATACAATAACGAAATCGAATCTTCTGCAGACCAAGAATACATTGGTTTCATCCACAACCGAACTCCTCATATCTGCCGGTAATCGTGCGTTAGATCCCGCACACTGTGATTGTCCACTTTGGCATAATGATGAAACGCAACCTGGAAACACGGTGAGCCCCTTCAGATCTCCGTCACATTACTTGGGAGGACTCACGGTTGGGGGAGTGAAAGTGCGAGCGAGTTCAAGCTACGACGCAGTAGCTCCAGCCGCCTCCGCCGCCGTTCTCCTCGTTAACAGGGCCGGTGATGACGGGGGCGTCCTCGATGATGGGAGCGGTGGTAGTGAAGGCGTCCATTGTGGGCGGTAAAAAGGTGAGGATGGCGAAGGACGAAGGGAGGCTTGGGTAGGCAAATTCCTGGGTTGGATTCGACCTGGGGGAAATGAGCGAAGTCCTCCTCCCTTTTATCCCCCGCGAGAGGACATGTCTCAGACACTGTGTGGCCGACAGCGCCTGCCGCTTGGTGTCGGTGTGGCTTATTGTCTCCCAGCAGCCCCAGATGTTGCGTTTCACAAGACATTCTGGATTGTCGAGTTCCGCGCGGTATCTTCGAGGCAGAGCTCGTCGGTGAGACACGGGTTCCAATTTCCGGACAATTAACGACTGCCACAGGCCACATCGACCTTCTCATTTCTCGTCCTGGGTACCCGACTGTGGCTGTCTTTACTTCAGCTACGGCCCTCCCTTGGGCACAATGTCTCATCTTTTCTTTGTGCGCTTGCAATCTACGAGGACAGGCACCCGAATAACCATCGGGTGATATACCGTTCACCCGCAGCTTGCCAGTTCAGTGAGAGCGGGATGACATTCCGGCTCCAATCAACAATAGTGGTCCAGGCACATAATTAACGGACGTCAGCATCCACAACCCGACTGACTCTGCTTACTGTACTCAGATGGCAATATCGTGGATTCTTCCCCAATTTTGAAGACCGATCGAAAACATCATCTTACCCCTAACCCCTAGATCTACTCCGAGCAGCCTCTGTACGGTCCTGAAATTCCCGAACGAATCGATCACTGGCGTACTGCTTACTGTAGCAGAGGGCCGAGGCTGTACGTCGGGTGTGGCCACCTCTACTCGAGTTCAGACTGCATGCCTTCCATACATTACACTCAATTCCCACTAACTACCAAGACCAGAGATACAATGTAATGGTGGTACAGAGGTGTAATGACTCCTCCACGAAACCATCACGACACGCGAAACGAACTGCCTACAACTTGGCCTGTCGTGAATTTGAGTATTTGCCCTGTTCGTACAACTGCACTTCTATCCCTTTGCAGTCCTTGAAGAGACGTCGCCTGGAAAATACGCGGAAGTGAGCGGATGGTATTGTCATTCCGCAATTTAGTGCATACAGGATCTTTCCCGATGGGTTCTTGGGCACCTGGTCTATGAACAGGATACCACCCTTCAACCTAATCCAGAGTCCATGTTACCATCATCCTCAAATTCACAAAGCTGCACCGCGCACCATTTATACTTAATCAGCCTCGTCTCAACGCGTTTATTAAGTTCATCCGCCAATGCGACAAGTTCAGCGCATGGCTTGTTGCTCTTTACCGACTTCTCCAAGAGCGATCGGTCCATAGGCACGACATACGCCCTGGGGTATTCCGTGGCATCCTCAGGGCTGTAGATAGCGCCGACGGCGACGTCTGCAACTTGTGGGTGGCCTGCTAACACGCCCTCGATCTCGACCGGCGAGCACTGGAAGCCAGAGGATTTGATCATGTCCTTCATGCGGTCCGTTATTTGACTGCATGGAAATCGTTAATGCGGAGCGGGAGATGTGCAAGAAATGAGGTACGCACAGGTTGTCAGACTTGTCCAGCTTACCGATGTCGCCTGTATACCAGGAGACCAACTACCATTAGCGTCAGCCTCATTTCCTACGAGCCCTACATACCGGAACGATACCACCCATCCGGCGTCAGTGCCTCGCTCGTGGACTCCGGGTCATTCAGATACCCTGACATTAACGCGGGCGACCTGGAGTAGTCCATCAAAAGTCTGTGAGCGTCCCTCCTAAAACCCGAAGTCGACACTCAACTTACTTTATCCAAATTTCGCCCTCCTCTCCCAACGGCAATGCTGCAGACTGCTGTTCAGTGCTGCACTTAAGTCACTCAAGAGTAGACGTACTTCGTCCCGACCCTTCCGCGTCGACGATCTTGACCACAAGACCAGGCGTGGGCTTACCAGTATTGCCCAGTAACGGTTTGAGTTCCTCCCATGTGTCAGCGTACTGCGCCGTGATCCCGCCTGCTTCGCTGGACCCGTAGCCAAGTTTGATCATGACTATACCCAAGTCAGTGAGGAGCGGTGCTTGTAAGACTGAGAGACGCACCGCCCAGTCGGTCGTACACTGTCCGAATGACGTCCGCTGCTAGAGGAGCACCGCCTGAGGAACAGCCTCGCAGTGAGGATAAATCGTATTTTCCCACTGAACCCTACGTGAGCAAGAGGGGCGTATAATTGAGTTCAGAATCACTGACACAGGGGGGTCTTTGCTAAAGCGACCGCAACACTAAACAATATTGAGCGTTTCTATTGCGCGGGGAAATTGCACACTGCAGACTTACGGTGGGGCCATGTGGATATATGTAGCTCGATGCGCTTCCACCAAGCGGAGGAAGAGCTCTAGCTCGAACTGAATAGACGTCAATATATGTCCCCGAGGGCTTGAATGCGAACTGAACGACGAACACGAGGAAGAACCACGATAGAAACACCCATAGCCGGGCCGAGCAAGGCGACGCACGCCAATCCAAGAACATGGAAGAAAGGTACAACTGTTCCTTAAGACCGTCGAGCTCTGCATTTGCGCAATAAGAGGAAATATACGTACACGCGACTTCAACTTCATCCGGCCCCATCCATTGCTGTCCATACCTCTGTGTAACAACCCCGGCGCAAACAGCTCTATGGCTCAAGACAACACCCTTGCTCTTCCCCGATGTACCGCTCGACCAGAGAATGAAGCATACTCTCTTAGCCACCTCCTCCGGCGACCATCCGTCCATCTGGAATCCAGGCTTTCCGAGGAGCCATTTCCAGTCCGCTGTGAGCCATCCGTCATGGCCTGACTTGGGCGTAACGGTCTGAGGGTTGCCGTCGTACAGCCCATAGTCGTCATGGGTTACATCTACGATGAAGACGCGCCCACATTCCTTGTAAATGCGCGCCTGCTCTTTGTCATCCAGCTGTTTCGCTGCCTCTTTCAGGGTTGAAAGTCCAGTTGGCGTGGTAATAATGACAGCTGGGCGGGCTGTGTGCAAGACATGGAGGAGTTCGCCAGGTGTGTAGAAAGGGTTACACATAGTCCTGCAAGGAGGATGTAACATTATGGACGAGTATTGGAGTACGAACGATCATACGTACACAGTAAGCCCTGCGGCAGCTGCCCCCAGCATTATCGGAACATACGGCAAGCAATTTGGCAGATGAAGCAGAACCGGCGAGGATACTGTGTACGGTGCGTCTCCCTTCAAGGGGGAGGGCCTCAGACCAACCTTACTCCTGAACCCATCCGCGAGCCTCTCCACGTCCTGCTTCAGCCGCAGCCAACTGATCTGCGCGCCAGTATGCGGGTGAATGAAAATCGGCCTTGCTGGCGGTATGTGATGCTTCAACCCGGCTTTCCGGAGATACTCTGTCGGGGCATGGGTAACAGCCACCTTCGACTCATGGAAGGGGTTGCTGAAGACGTATGACACGACGTTCGTCTCAGGTATTGGCACGTTCGCGGTTTCAAGACCGGCGATGGATTCGCGAGACGTCGCCGACATGGTTTAGAACACAAGGCAGACAGTCATGACAGCCCGGTGAAGCGGACGACGACATTATAGAACTTGCAGTGTCGAATGTGGGGGTGAATTGGGTATATAGTTTATCCGGAAATTACCCCGCACCCCGCATTCGATAACTCAGACAGTGCGCTTTCTGCGATGATATGCGTATACCATGCGTCAAAACAGACTCTCCATACGGCTTACACTGGTACAACTGGAATGACTGCGACGAGAGCAGCCCAAGCAGCCATCAATATGTCTGGGACTCGCTATGTATACGTTCTCATGTTTATAAGCAACCCTCAGGCGCTTCTGCTTCCCCAGGTAGAACATTTAGCAGCTAATGCACCATCTGGACCTCATGCACGTCAGCTCGCAGGAGTAAATGCTGCGGGGGAAACGGACACGTCTGGTTAAGAAGCACTGATGGCGGCCGAACATCGCAGCGACTATACCTTTTCACTCAAGTTACAAGTCAGTTGACGCTTCAACTAGTACCTAGGTTGAGTGAATGCACCTGAAGGCACATCGGATTTCCCTATGGATGGACTCACGGCTGATGTTCCGAAACCCTCCACCACTATAGCGGATACGGCCTTGCTCCAGTCACGGCCATGTCTTTTTGGCTCAAGCTTCGACCAAACAGGAGCGTTGTCTTGATAGCAAGACGCACAGGATCGTCTTCAGACTCTACCCGGTTGAGAGGCCTGCATGGAGCTCGATAGCCGCAAGTGACACATCCACACATCCGGAGGGACGGTGTCCTTGGACCCGACCAGCAAGTCTAGCGCAGTCCGTGCGTCGCAGAGCGAGACAGCGGTGTGCCTTCATCTCGGAACACCACAGGCAGACCTACCGTCTCAAAGACATAGTCAAGCTCGGTGCACCAAAAGCGGTAACGCGCGGTCACCGGCCCTTCCGAGACGAATGTCGCCCGATGGCAACGAGGTGGGCTGTCTTCCATGATGAATGGTATGATGTCCTTCAGCAAAGCGCAAATGCAACGGTACGCACCGTGGCGAATGTATTTCAGGATAAATCGACACACTTGGAGTGGAGACCTCCCCTTCACGAGGCTCACGCCTCAACTACGAAACAGCGGGACCATATTCCGGGATCGAATGTGCGGTATCCACTGCGGAGGATGCACTTCACATTATCAGGAATATTGCTTCAGCGGGGAGAATGTGTCGGCAGATTAAGGATCCCAGGGGCATCGCGGTGGGCCGTGGCCAAAACCCATTCGACCGTGGCAGCCGTTGTATCACATTGGATGACAAGAACTCAAGACGGAATTGAACTGTCATAAATTCTCTGCCAGGATTGGCGACGAATGTTGGCAGGCTGCTGACCCAGTGATGAACGCCTAGTGGCTTACGATCATTCCGGGATGGCAGGGAGCTGCCGTTGGCGGGTATTCTCCGAGTTACATTGGAGTTCCTGGTCCCCACTCTGCCTGTCTTTGCGGCAGCAAACTTTCACGATGAAGGAACACCCCTCATCCTGTTAGAACGGATCGAGCCCACCGAGTCTGACTCCCGTGCGCTATCCAGGAGCATTACAACAAAGCACTCTTGCGATCTTTTATCCCATCTTCGCCTTCAGATCCCTCCACAGGGTCCTGAACATGACGCCGCCAATCCCGACCACAGCAATCTGCAAGCCTAAGCAGTCAGGCATACCTACCTTCACGCCAGCGCCTCCCCACACAGCCTCCGTAACCCGCCCAGTGTAATTACTGTACTGGATCGCGAGACTGATACGACTATTCCACTCCCCGGGAAGCTGCTTGGACAGGAGACTGAGCGTTCACGTGCTAGCAATATTGAACCCGAGCACGACAAGGAACCAACAGAAATATACGGTCCCGATCTGCACGTTATTCCTCTTCAGGAGGGCGATCATGAGCAGCAAACCAGCTAGGCCGATGGCGGAGCCCACCGCGAGCGTATGCCGGTCCTGCACGCGTCGCGCGACGAACAGGTTCGCCAGTAGGAACGGGAAGGTGGTGATCCCGCCGAGCGCGATGAGGTTTCCCGCGGAGAAGGGCTAGTAGGAGAAGGCCTAGGCGGTGTAGAGTTTGCTTCTTCCCAGGCCCCGAGGATGAAGCTTGAAGAATTGAAGCTTGAAGTTGAAGGGCTGATGCAGTCATTGCCACGATCTCTCCAAGACAGTGATGCGCGTCGACGTCTATCCGTCCCCTCACTGGCAGTCTATGAGTTCTCGGTCGACCTCCTCGAGCTCGTCGAAACTGTAGTTGTCTGTGGTTATATGCGTATGATGGGTGTGTGCGGAATACGTGGACTCCTACCAAAAGGGAGGAACTTGGCTTGAGCGGAGGGCCGACGACATTGGATCAAAGCTCGAAATCGCTCGCGTCTTGCATTTTTTCCTGCCGCCCAGCGAAGGGTGAGTAGGAATATTGTAGGAATAAAGCAGAAACCAAGATCGTCGAGACCAAGGACGGCGAAAAGTGTAAGGACTGAACGTTCCTGGGGCTGAGGTGAGACCGAAACCTATGATCAGCGTGGGGAAACCAACGCTTCTCGTTTATCCATACCGCGGTGCGTATACACGAGCAGGGAGCACTCTTGTCATTTACAGTTAGACTCCTCCGCTCGGTGATGCGAAGGCTGGGATCTTCCGCAATAATGTAAGGTCGGCGCGGTATCCCTGCTCCGACGCTCTGTCGGTGATAGCTATCAGCTGTAGCTACTATACTGTACGTCCTTGCTCTCTGCCGTGATTTTTCTATTTCTCACTAGGCTCCAGGACTATGCGCCAAGTCAAAATTTGCGGCTCTGCGCTGCCTGCTGTAATGTCCGCCGACTGACATCCACCAGAGCCTCTCGGCCTACTACCACAGAGACCCAGCCGACATCGCTTCGGAGTGCCTCCCCACGTCAGCGTGTCCATGGAAACTCCCAGGGAAGTCCGGGAGAAAGCAGATAACAGACGCCCTGGACCTATGCAGTGATACCACCTATCGGCGAGGTACACAGGAACCTGGATTCTGCATCCTCCGTATGTCAGCTGGTCGGAGCTGGAGCTCCCAGGAGAAGCCGCCGGGTGTGAATAGAGATCTCTCTGTTCTGTGCCAGGTTACGGGACCACTACAGCGTCTGGCTGGCAAATGTCAAGCAAGCACCTCGCTGGATGGCTTGCTATCATTCATCTCCGCGCCCATGAACTCTACGTCTGGTTCCGACATGTTCGCGGTCCGTGGCTGTTCCGATGCATTCGGGATGATAATTTCTGTTCCTGGCATTGACAAAGAGGCATGCCGTGTAGAGGCATATCTGTCGCTCCCGAAAGTGATGTGTGTATGTTACTCCGTCGTCGGCCATCGGTCATTCTGATATGACGGCCCCGGACTGCGCAAACGCCTGCTGGGACGGTGTTCTTGCTTACCTCGGCTTTGGTGTCCCGTCGCCGTTCTGTATGGCGCACGTTTGACCGGAGAGGCCTCTGAGGTTGTAGCACGGGCGTTACTGGCCTTAGCGTGTTGTGAGTATTTCTACGGTCCAGCAGGAAACTAGCGGGACGCATTGGGCAGGGCGAGGGAGGTACGTACGACCGCTGCATGTACTACCGTTTCTGGGCCAAGTGACCTAGGCTGATCACAGAGGTAGCTGCTAGCCAGCCGTAAGGAAAAGTCTATAACTCAAAAACTTGACAGGACGCTATACCGAGTGTGGCAAAGGGTCAAGTAGAACGCGTAGTGGCCGACGGCACAATCAGCAGCTACATATACCCAACCTAGGTTTGGAATACGTGAAGTCAATGTTGGCTGAGGCCGATCAGTCATTGACATGCCCTGGATGCTCAGGATACGAGAGGGGGGCGCTTCGGTTTGCATCGTGCACATCGGAGAGAAGCCCAGCAGGAACAATCGTCGCCCGCGTTGATGTTTCGGACGGCGAGACGAGTATATGTACATCAACATGAGGCGCAGTGAAGCCTATGCAATGAATATGCAATGTATACGGTCCCGCCTGCTGTTTCTGAAACCTGACTACTCGACGCCTGGCCGGCGTCCACACGCACAAATATAGTCCGTGGGAGCATTGGCACACGATGATATCGCCGGATAAGGGAATTGTGGACGTCTCGACCCTGACGAGATTCAGTTGCCCAGGAATCAATCGTACTCGGGACGAAGCGCCTTTGCTTCTTCTCTCGCCGTCGTACAGCCGTTATTCGCTGTGTCCCAGGATGTCGGATTCCCTCGGTTTATAACCCAGCGCTGTCTGCTCCGGCACCTGGGACACGTCGCTGTGCGCTCGTTTATCGCTGCAAATCAGCCTCGTGGCTCAATCAGATTTTTAATCTCGCGGAATCTCTGCCATTCCGTGCGTTCAACTTTCGTCCCGAGCCCGGGTATAAAAGGTCCTCGGCGCGGGTCTTTCTTGTACGTCGACTTCACTGCGACGTCGCGGAGAGAAGAACTGGACTGACGGACACTGCTTTTGACAGCTTTCTTCTGTTTCTAGAACTTGATTCGCAAAGTTTGTTTGTCCAAGCAGGTGAGTGTGGGCGCCACTTGATGTGCAGGACTATGTTCGTCTCATGTATTGATCCTACAGTGTAGCACCCTCCAAATTTTACAAGACACCCTGTTCGCTAGCCCACTCACCTATTCGATATTATTCGGCCTACATCTATCACACCCCGTCAATCTATTATTAATTCCTGCGAATCACTATATCTATCAAGTATTGACGTGCCGGATCCTTAATGCGACTCTCTTCACTGCCAGCAAATCTCGAGCCGTTGGAGTGCGTCATTTCTCTACGTCCATGTATCGCGAAGTGATTGAGGGGAATCCCTTCAGGGCACTATGCTGCTATCTGAATGTCCAGAAAGTGTCATTATCTCCAGAAGATCCCGTCCCACCAACAATGGATGTCCCCGTCGTACGTGAAGGCACACGGATGCCCACCCACCTCTTCGTACTATCGGACGGCTCCTCGTCAGGCCTGACATCCCCCTACGTGCTCGCCCCCGTCCCTGCCGACCTCTTTGCCCAGAAATTCCGCTCCGAAGCCATCCCCCCGGTTCGCCCTGATTCTCCATCCCCCATTCCACGCAATGAGCCCTCCTCCTCGAAACAAATCATCACGCTCCCCGTCATCCCCCTCACCGTCCCCCACGCACCATCCATCCCATTGCTCCTCCTGTACGCCCTCGGCTTGCCCCCACATATGACTGGGATGGCGACGCACCTCCTCCCGCTGGAAGCCATTGAGGAGTTCCCCTCCGCCGCGGCGATGTCGCAGGCCATGGCGCGTGTCTGCGACGAGAGCGAGCTGCGACGATACGTCGCGTTCAACCAGGGCTTGTGGAAGAATATCCTCGCACTCGGCCCGAAGGACACCCAGGTCATCGAGTTGGTGCAGACAGCGTGGAACGTCACCGCCGAGGCGAGGCGGATGAAGCGTTTATGATTGACGGTGACACGTTTTATTTTTTCTTATTTTAAAGCGTATAATTGCAGGCTACGCCGTCGTAATCTCCCTTGGCATTTGTTCTCCTAATCTACCAGCATAGCGGCCTTTACGGCCGACCACTTTGTAGCGCAACCTTCCCAATACTCCTCTTAATGACTTACTACTAGTACTACGTCGAACGTCCCAGTCCTGTGTCATATCTGTAATGAGTTATCAACTCCAATATTGCTTCCGGTCCTGCGCCGTTGCTACGCACTTTCTTTCGGACTCGTTGTACATATACCATCGGGGAAAGCACCCTTTCCAATCTTTGCGACCACGATCTCAGACGACTCAATCACACTGGAACAGCCCGAGTTGAAACGCAGAAGGATGTCCAGCCACAGCGGCCTGAGTCGGCAATTGCCGAGAAGATCAAAGCCTCCGGCCAATGCCGGTGGCCTGAGTGCACTTCGGACTCGCTTTTAACTTGTGCCGCAGTGCCTGAATGCAGGGAGATGCAGCGGAAGAGTGGCAGTTCGAAAGGTAGAGTCTGTGGTATGCACTTTGTTCCCATTGATCTGGTTTATATCGCGATCATTCAGGGCGACTCGGACACCCCAGGAACATGCGTTAACCCCGTGTCCCTCAGGGTAAACGATTCACTTTTGGTACAGCACGGCCACTGGCAGTTAGTACGGCAGATGTGACGAGGCAGCACCCGACATCTATACTTCCTTCTTGCCAGGGTGACCAACGAACGGCAGGCCATTGCAATAGGAACAGGCCGTCTCGAAGGAGCAGAAATTCTCTGCTAAGCCTGGCTGCGGAATATTCGGTATGCTTGTCTGTCACGGTGGGCCGTAATCTTCCCAACTTCCCTGGATTACGCCCGAGCGTACGCGCCCTGCCTCCACGGGATTGGGGTCTTCAGGATTAACCCGAAGCGAATGGCACGACGGTCGGTATCGACGGGCGCCGCAGCTGCATACAAACTCGGAAATTCAGGTGTACCCGCACTCTGGCTCACTTCGTTCATACTCGAAGCGATGGAGCGCCTCTGCCAGGTCAACCCAACAGTTGTAGGATCTTCCGGTTTATAGGCTAGCCTGGACGGTACTAATGCCTGAGGTCGCCAGGTGATCTCCGGGTAGGGATTACTCACGTTATAACGTACTCGCATGTCCATCTGTCGGATCGTCCAACTCGGGGAGAGTTGGAGGGCAGCTTTCTTGCTCTACCAAGCATAATCTCCATCTAACTGTGCTGAGGAATATACTCACGTAGGCATGGAAGGTTGGGTTTCCTGAAGGACGGGCGATCGGACCAGTTGGACCTGATATATGGTAACATCTGCCTCCCAACATCTCCTCATGCAGATATGGAAGTTTAGGATTCCTGCAGGGCGGACCGTACGGACCAGGTGGGCCTGATGTATGGAGACGCCTGGCTCCCACCGTCTCGGGGACCGTCGGTTTCAATCCCTCTTTCGGTCGTAAAGCAGCCGCTGACGGGAGTCGATACCCCATGGCTGGGAGATCGCCTCGAAACCCCGTGTGCAGCACCGTTCATCCGTCGAACAAATCTGCTTCAAGGGTCGCTGTCTGTGCCATTTTTCCTGCCTCCTCCCCTGACTCAGGCATACTGAATCCTGAAGCCAGGACAGCACTCGGAATGCTCGTGTCTCCTACTGGCAGGCCGTATTAGCGTCGCGATGCACCGGGAGTTTAGCCGACACCTATCGACGTGCTCGTCGTTTGTGGAATCCAGTCGAGTAGTCTCTCTCTGCGCGCATCGATCACCACGTCTCTCCTCTTTGCCGTCGGTTCTTGTCCCGACGGGAACTGCCACACACGGTCCTCTGCTAAATCACTCGGTGGAACGAAACCAACCGGCTTCGAAGGAATATTAGACTCTAGTGTCCTGGGAGTAGAAGGCGTATGAGCCTTGACGGCGCGTGACGAAGTCCGCGGACCTACAGATTGTTGCTGGACATCTTTGGAACAGGATTGCACTGTCCCGAACACGTCCACCTTTCACCCGTGTTGCTGTTCTTCGGGTACACCCGCTTCAAAACGGCCCTCCGTCGCCTATGTCGATCTTTAACCCTGAGGGCATGGAAGCGATGCATCCAAATCATTCGGTGTAAGTATCAGCAGTCAGTCAAGGCCGATCCTCTCTGCATCAGGTTACGTCTGCTCCCGCCATGTCTGCTCTTCGGTATCCATCGCATCCAATGCTTCTGCCGTCAGGGATCGCTATTCTGTTCTCACTACAAACAGTCTGGTACGACAACTCTTTCGGTCGATGCTAATGCCTCCGGATCGAGGGACCGGTCTCCGCTTGGTAATGGCATACTGATGGATCCGTTGGTTACGGCCTCGTGCTTGCAGGGATAGATCACGCGTCTCATTGGGGTAACTTCGCCCTGAACAGTATGCAGATGCCAGAGTTCTGGGTAGCTGTTAATGCATTCCTCTAAGTGAGTCGAGTTACTCCTATCCGGCGAGGGTCGTCTTGACAATGCGGTCGAGTGCTATGTTCCCAGATTACCGTTATGTAAAGCCGGGTGTAGCCCGAGACTGCTCCGTTTCCTCAGGATTTAGCTTGCATTCGTACCGCTTGCGTCCTATGCCGCATGATGCAGATTCTGACGATCTGTGGCCCATCAGCATGACGCATCAAGGTGATCTTAAGCATTCTCGGGCTGGGTCGATAAGACGGGATGCCGTCTTCACCTAAATGGACCGCACAGCCTCAAGCAGTTCACCTGTCGGGCCTTCTAAGTCCGACATTTAATTTTGACCGCGTTCTTTTCCCGCGGAAAAGGAAACGGTATTTCCCCAACGCTGGGGGGCATCACTCAGTTTCGGTGCGTGCCCTCTCTACGCTCTGTATATAGACGGAATCCGCCATCGCCGCACGGTTCTCGTTTCAGGTTGAACTTCGTGATATCTTGCAGGTTGCGACGGGACGTGGGCTTTTATAGTGGGTGCATCCAGAGTTTAAGCGGCGTCGGTGTGCACCCCTCCGGATGGCCCTATATCCCTACAGGCCATCCATTTCAACATATCGCACAGATGACGGGGAGCAGATCATCAGCCAACTTCCCGTGAGGGATAATCGCTTTTTCGTCCATAGCTTCGCCTGATTGTCGTGTTACACAGCCCATGACTACGCAAGAAGACCTTTTGCAAGAACGGGGACTGTATGACTCGTATTTATATCCTGATCCTTATCAAGGAAGTCCTTATGATGGTTCCGGCTCCAATCAGCGTCACAGCGCCCTAGCACGGGTACTGAACGTGAGTTGCTCCTACGTCCTTTTACACGTGCAAGTTGAAACCATGTTTAACCTTGATACAGAACATGAGAAAGGGCATCAGGCGGGGTTTGAAGAAACTGAAAGAATCATTTAAGAAGTCGCGGTAGCATCTGTACGCTCATGAATCATGTTCGCACCCATGCAAGATGTAAGAGGTGTTGATGCTGTCAAACATGCTCTGCTAACAAGCCTGCCGTATTCTCACAACCTATGACCGGGCTCATGGCAATTCCCCTCCCCTGATCGCCCGATCAGAGGTGGTATGATTCCTTGTCAGTTACACATTTGCAATCCACCCGCCGCAGATCTGACTAGTATGGCTATTGCATGCCGGCCACGAAGGAGCTCGTCTTTGCCTCCCCAAGCCGCTCTACCTTTGACGTAGGCTAGGGTCCTCCGGGCGTACATCATCAGTAGGTCATGATACTTGAGCAAGTTGCGTGTAAGAACGCGCGGCTCTATGAACAACTTCACTTCCATATGACACATAGAACAACTTCGGATTGAATCACCGGGAATACGCATATATTGGAGAGGTTCGTGCCCTGCACGTTGTAGTCATGTTACACAGCAGATATTTACAGTGTAGTATTTACACAGCTAAAATCAACGGTGCAAAACGACTGGACTGGGATAGCAATTCATATGACGGACGACGTGCATAGAGATCAAATCAAGACACAGCAAAAGGGGGAAAACATACTGTCCATGGAATATACAATTGACATACGAACCTAGGCTTCCACATCCATAGATCCGGGAATTCGCGCCGCATCGGCGCCTGCTGCGTGAGCGTTTACGTTCGAGACCTTGCTCTTCCTCATAGCGAACTCGCTCTGCCTCGCCTTCTTCTTCGCACTCAACATGATGCCCTTCCCCGCCTTGACCCCGCCCAGCGAGCGCCTGGACGCAGCGACACCGATGCTGGACCGCTTGCGTGTGGGATTGACGACTGGCCGCTGAGAGCCAAGCTTAGTTATGACGCGAGACCGAGACAGGCGGGGCTTGCGGGGGATGAACCCAGTGCCCTTATTCGAAGCGGCGACAGTGGACGACGAAGACCCAGCAAGATTGCCAGAGGGATCCCTCACAGGAGTGGGAAGGAGCGACCCGTCCACGGGCGCGAGAGGCTTGCTGAAGATCTTCGTATTCTTCGGCGAGAGGAGCAGCTTTGTCGGACTAGGTTTGGCGACCTTGCCCCTATTAGCCAGTGCGCCTTGGTTAGCCTTCGCACTCTGCTCCAGGGGACCGGACGGCTTCCGCGCGGGGATACTCGACAGAGACGACGCCGCAGAGTGGCGCGCGCTATTCTGCTTCGCGAGCGAACTCGCGGTAGGCGCGAGGAGCGTCGACGAGCGCTTCGCGCCCGTGCTCGCGGGCGCCTTGCCTGTCGCGTTCGTCCGCGTGCCCATGGACGACACGCTCGAGCCTGAGTTCGTCCGCTTGTGGCCCTTGTCGGGGGCCGTAGGAAGCGTCGATGGACGCTTATACGGGCCTGCGTTCGTAGCGGCGGACGCCGTGCTCCCGGCCCTCGGGCGAGACGCGCTATTGCTATTTACAGGGGCAACAGAGAACGTGGGGATGGGCGGTCTCGGACGGGCGGAAGCGGGCTTGGAGGAGCCGCCCGCGTTAGATGACAGGGTGCTGGACGTACGATCTGACTTGGCGGACGAGAAACGACTCGCGGAGCCTGCATTCGATGACACTGAAGGGGGCGCCGCCTTGGATGCGACCGAAGCAGGCCGAGGAATCGCGGTCTTGGAGGAAGTAGTGGCACTGGGCGCCGCCGCGGGTTTCGCAGGCAGGCTGGTAGCGTTCTTCGAGCCTGAGGCGATACCAGCTCCCTTGTTCCAAACGTTTTTGACAATGGACTTGGCGGAGGAGAAGAACCCGAAACGAGACGTGCTCGCTTTCGCTGGATAAAAGGACGCGCTGGGTGAGCACACGGTCCGGGAGCGTCAGCAAATACATGTACTTACGTGCGGGCTTGACAGGCGGTTTCGCGACGCCAATACTCGGCCTGCCCCGGCTACTCCTCCTCTTCGCCTTGTTGATCGCAAGCCTCCGCTTAATGGCCTCGCGCTCCTTCTCCTTGTCCTTCTGCGCCTCCTTCTCCTCCTTCTGCGCAGCAGCAGAGGTATTTCCGGCTACCTCCTTCACCTCCTCAGCCATCCTCGGCCTCTTGGACGACCTTCTCTCACCCTCATCCTCGCTGCTCGCAGCCTCCGCCTGCACCTTCTTCCGGTTCCCCACGCTGATCACCCGCGCCTTGCTCGCAGGCGCAGGGGCAGGCCGGCGCTCCTCCATCGCCGCGCTCTTCCTCTTCCTTCCCGCGTGGCGCGCCGCATAACTCGCAATCGAGGGCATCTTCTCGAACTCCCTCTGATGCACCTCGTCGAACTTCTCCTTGATCTTAAACTTGCCGGGGCTCCCCTGCTCCTCCGGCGCGGTGCGATCTGCTGCGCCCCCGCGCCGGTGCTCGAGGATCTCGAGCCCGACCGCGTGCTCCCCCGCGAGCCCCAGGCGGCGGTTCATCTCCTCGAGCACCGACGCGGCGGCCGCCTGGAACTGCGCGTTGCTGACGCGGTGCTTCGGCGAGGGCGAGCCGAAGATGAACGGCTCGGACGGGCGCGGCGAGCGCACGTCCGCGGGGGCAGGCATCGTAGTGAAATTTGGTTGATGTGTTGTAGTCGTGTTGGTGGTGGTCGTAATCGAGGGTGTGGCTGACAGACCCTGGGAACTGTGGCACGCCGGGGTGCCACCGAACCCGCCGGGCATGTCCACACTCATATCCATCTCCACATCTTCCTCCCCAGGCATATCAAACCGCGGCGCGCCCAGGGCCGCAAACGGCAGTGCAGGATAGATCCCCCCGCCCGGCTTCTCGGGCGACGCGGGCCAGCGCGCGACGCCGGGGCTCGCGGGGAGGAGGTCGAACGCGGTCGCGAGCGGCGCGAGCTTGGGCGGGGACGGCGCGGCGCGCGTGTACGCGGTGGTGATGAGCCGGATGGTCGTCGCGTCCGCGCCGGCGCCCATGCTCAGGCGCGCGGCGTCGAAGGGCGCGGGGCGCCCCGGGCGGTGCTCGTGCCCCGGGACGGGCGCGCTGAGCGACTTGTCTGCGTCCTCGCCCTCACCCCCTAATTCGGTGTGCGCGGTGGGCGGGCTGGGCGGCGGGGTGGAGTAGGAGAACTGCTGGTGGGTGGCGTGCAGGGGTTGGGGTTGCAGGGGCTGGACGGGCGAGGGCGCGGATGACTTGGTGGGCTCGGGGACGGGGACGAGCGCGGGCAGGGACGCGCTTGGGCTCGCTGGCGCGGGGAATTTGGGCGAGCTGGACGTGGAGAGCGCGCGTTTCTTGGACGAGGCGCGTTTCAGCCCGAAGGAGCTCGCGAGCGCGCGGATGGAGGAGCTCACGCTCGATGCTGCGGGGATGTGGGTCAGTTATAAGTGTCAGATAGGCTGATGAGAGGGAGACGCGTGGATCGGGTGGATAAAGAGTTTGTTTCACCCGGGAAGGTGAGTCGCGGAGGATGAATGTGCAGACGCGACGCGTTCGGATTCTCAAGCAGTATAGTATAACGAGCACGAAATGCATTTTGACGCGTTGCATGTAAGCAGAGGACGCATATACGCACACTTTGAGCTGCCAGTGCCAAACTCGCCAGCGGCGCCTCCCCGCGCGCTCTTGAGCGAGTTCAGCGATCCCTGGCGAGACGCGCCTTCTTCCATCTCCTCGATCGTGTCCATCATCTCCCACTGCTCGCTCTGCCGCGGGTTCATGTTCGTCTTCGCATTCACATTCATATCTTCATCTTCGTCCTCATCGTCGTCTTCATCGTGTTCGTTCCGTGCGTCGTGGTCCCCCGCGGGCTCGGCGTACAGCGCCTGCGCATGGCGCTTCAGCCGCTGTATGAGCTCGTCGTTGCGGCCCTGCGCGCGCAGGCCGTGGCGGCGGCAGAGGCTGAGCAGCTGGTCGCGGCGCAGGGCGTGCAGCGCGGGGGAGTTGAAGAGGATCTGCGTGGCGGTCGTGGACGTGGACATGGCCGGTCGTGAGGTCGTGAGGTCGTGAAATATACACAAGGAGCCTGGTTCAGCCTCAGCTGGCGAGGCGTTCGGTTCGAGTTGAACTTGGGGCGAGCGCACTCCGACGCGTTGCGAGCCCCGGTCACGTGCCACGCGAGCACCTGGGAGTTTGCCTGTCAGATTTAAATTCGAAACGCCGTTAATTAAATCGGGACCCGCGATACCCGAGGCTCGCTACTTTGTATTTTCAGAGCATGCTGAAAGACAAGGCAGATGAAGCGCAAGGTCGAACCGCTCTCTTCTTGCAGGCTGCAGGAGACAGTGCCAAGGGAACAGAGTTGTCACAAATGGCCTTACCGCTATTGAACAAGGCTCTCTCGTTGCCGAGTGCAAAACTCTCATGTATCCCAATCGAGTAACGGTCCTTCCGTATCGAGCTTTGTAGGTCCCTTCGGCAGCCTCCGAGGGTCGACACAGCAGGACCTCCAGCAAGGCAGAGCATGCAAGTAAAACACTGGATGACTTCCCGTAAGCCAAAATCCTAGATTTCGCAGTTCTAAACGCCATCAGCGTACCTGGTCACACTCGCTGCCACGGTGAAATGGAAAAATAGAACTGTTCCTCCCATCCGTAATGCCAGACCAACGCTCGACGACTGCAAGTCACGACCATGAGGTCGCTTTCCATTTATGGCGAGCGGATCGCTCAATTTAGCAGGTGCTGATGGCAGGTTTGATATGCGGACCTCAACCGAGGCTAAGCGAGCGTTTAGAGTCGTCTGGAGATTTGGAAAGGGGGGTCGACCCCCCTGCTAGATTTAAAGTTTAGAGACGGTTTTTGCTCGACGAGCCTCATCAAAACTTGGTCTAAGCGAGAGCGTGACAAGACGGCATCTCGGCTTGATGCGTTTAGAGATTTAGAACTGCTCAAAACACGTTCTAAATGCTTACGGGAAGTCATCCACTCACCAGCATACAAAAACCAGCTAAAATAGAAAGAGCACCCACCATTCTCGCGGAACTCGCACACGAAGTCCCTCGGGTCCGGCCCACGATCAAGCTGTCCGTTAATGCGTCCGAGTGGCGTCCGAGCAAGGACCCGCTCTCGAAAACCACATCGTCGAGGGCGACGCGTAAATGCGCTGGAGAGCGGCAGGGCCCCCAGTGGGGCGGTGGACGCGTCCAGCGCGTTTACGCTTTGTCGCCCCGCCTCCTCTGCAGCAAGTCCAAGTAGGTGAGCGGGTGTGGCGATGCTGCACGGAATTCGCTACTCGGCCGGGAGGGAGAGAAGGTCGAAGAGGTAAGGGGTCATGTGTAGGTGAGCTGCAGGAGCTGCTCCGCGAATGCAGAGCCGCGTTTGGCGCCAGGAAGGTGTAGGACTCGCGTGAGCCACTCGCGCGTAGCTCGGGTGGAAGAAGTTCGACTTTGTTTGAGGAGAGCGAGCAGAAGATCGCAGACGAGTACTTCGCTTCGAAGATGATACGCCGAGCTCGTGGTCATTGTACATGCACTACCGTCCAGTGGACGTTACGCGCAAGCGCACTGTGTGGCTGTCAATGGGCCAATGCGAGATACAAGGCGGAACGTACCTTTACTGATACGACCTGGAGCAGGGTGAGCATATGTTTTGACTTGCCTGCATACCGAGCTTGGCTGAATCCGCCACACATAGCAAAGTGAGACCTGCCATCTGGAATCTGGATCAAATCGCAAGGATCGCTACTGGGCGTACTCGGGTGCACACCCTTGACACATTCTGCGGCAACCGGGCGCAGCGTACCACCCGCTCACCTCGGGTGGCACGCCTCCGTCAGAACGACGCACTAAGAACTGTCCTCGATATTGCGGTTTCGAGCGCGCTCGCGTATCGAAGGAACCGGCGACGCACCTGGACCGAGCTGTGGATTGTTGGTTCGCTCGGCCGTTAATGAACGTCGACCGCGGGATGTCGTTACCCGCCGATCGCGTCGATCCGCGTTCAAATTCTAGCGCTCGCGGAGGTCAACGCGGGGTGCCACCGTCCTTACCTGTCAAGCTCTCCAGTGCAAGTCGGGGTACGGTGGTTGGCGTCGAACGTCAAGCGTCCTACGAAAACGAAAACAAACGCAATGTGCCACTGGATGCCTGGGTCAAGGGCGCAGCAACCCGAATACAACGCGTCCCATTGTCCGAGTGATGGTGGTTGAAAAGAAGCGCAGGGACGCGCGAGTTCCCACAGAACCCGCTGATGGGACTGATGGATTGCTTTCTTCTCTGTGGGCTTGTGGGCGCACTCCTCAGTTTGGGAATATACGTTTGGCCTTGCCTTCAGACAACTGCCCAAGGTATGTCAGTATTTGTTGAACAGGAGGACGTATACTGACCTCAAGCAATTGTTGAACAAGTTTCAGAATTTTTACCCGCTTGACAGATTTTACAGGAATTTTCCAAGCACCGCGCGTTGGCGTAAACACGGACCCACAGTCGCCTACAAACACGGACCTACAACGGCCAACACCCAAATATGGTAATTTTGGATTGCCTGCGCTCCCGTTGATTGCGTGCAGGTCGACGCCTCTATATAAGACGGCCTGCGTCTCCGCCGTCCCCCACTTCCGCCTTCCGCTGCCTGCCTGCCACTCACCCTCAACACACTCAACCAACATGGTCTTGCAGAACCGCAACGTCTCGAAGCGCATCGACGCGGAGAACACGCCGCCGCCTCTGAAGCCCGCCGCGAGCGAGGAGGCGCGGCTCCCCAAGGCCATCCGCGAGGCCTCGCGCCGCCGCCGCGCGCACGCCAACGGCACGCGCACGAGCAGGTACGCCGCGGAGCAGGCGATGCGCCGCAGCAAGACGCGCAGCCCGCCCCAGCCCTTCCGCATCGAGCTGCCCAAGACGCCCTCGCCCGCAAACGAGCAGGCGGATGTGGAGATGCGGGATGCGGAGCCCGTGCAGAGGACGAGGGAGACGGTGGCGCTCCCGCGGTATTTGGAGAGGCCCGAGTATAAGGAGATCCCGTCGCATAATATTGTGGATATCGAGTTGGGCCTCGCGGAGACCCCTATTGATTATATTCGTGATGGCTTGGAGGTCGAGGGACCGAGGTACGCTTCACTTGGTTGTTCGATTTCTTCGTGACTCTAATGTTTCTTTCAGAATGCTCAAGTCTTTGAATGCGATGCAACCCGTCCCCCTGACCAATGTCCTCCCCTCCGAGTTCGAGGTCGTCATCAACGACGACTCGTCCGACCTCCCCACGCACATGTTCGCCGTCTTCGGCCGGCAGCCCTTCACGCACGGCCCGCCGAAGCCCAACCGCCAGAAAGTCACCCTCTACCCCGTGCACGACATCGTCTTCGCCGCGCACTGCGCGCACCTCCCGCGCCTGCGGCCCAACAAGCCCTCGCGCTCGTCCGTCTCCGAGCCGATCAAGCTCCCCGTGGTACCCGTGTGCCTCCCCTCCCCGCAGACCTTCCCCATCCTCTCGTCGTACCTCTACACCAAGCGCACGGACCTGCTGCTCTCCGCGCTCCTCCCGAGCGTGCCGATGTCGCTCGCGGGCCCGCTGGGCCTGACGAGCGTCGACGAGACGATCCCGGACGACTTCCACAAGGCGCAGACGATCGCGTTCGCGCAGAAGATCGCGCGGACGTTCACCGCGCGCGCGCTGCTGCAGCACGCGATGGTGATCAACGGCGTGTGGCGGAACGTGTGCGCGCTGGGCGTGTTCGAGGACCGCCTGTGGAGCGCGATGGACTTTGCGTGGGAGGCGGTGCTCACTGCGCTCGCGTTCGCGACGGGGAACCCGAAGGCGATGGTCGGGAATCTGTCCGACAAGGAGTACGCGTCTGCTGTGTTGTGATCCTTTATTTTGTTCTTGTTTCCTCGGGACTTTCTCTCAGGATTATGTGGATAACCTCTCCTTAAGGCGCCCATGATATGCCATATGCCCACACGCTCACATCCTATGCCGCTCCTTTGCCTCATTCTCACCATCTTATCACGTATCATTATTCTTCCTGTGCATTGCATGTGTCTCGTCGCATTGTATCCTACTGTACTCGAGCATAAGTACCAGACCGTAGAGTGTAGCAGCAGAAGAAATCAATCTTGTAATTGTTTTTGGACATATTTCCTTGTGTGAACAGAAACATATCCCGAAGTGGAGATGACTGGCTGACGTAATTGTTTTACGGTCTGTCGTATTGCATCCTCTGCAGCTGCGTCCGCGATGGCAGCCGGGTCGTCTGTCGCAGGCCCGTCCAAGCGAAAACCGAGCAAGAATGCGCACGGCAAGACCGCCCCACGCCACCCGTCCAAGCTCAAAAAGCTCACGGAAAAGCAGCAGCTCGCCGCGCTCGAGAAAGCCGTCGAGGCCTTCGTCCGTCGCCCTCCCTCTTTTCCCCTTCCCGCGCTCATCCCACGCCCTCCCTAGGAACCCTCCGACGCCCTCGCGGCCTTTGCGGACCTCCCGCTCTCCGCGCCCACGCAGCGCGGGCTCAAGAAAAGTTTCTTCGTGCAGATGACGCAGATACAGAGGAAGAGCCTGCCGGTGTCGCTCAAGGGCCGCGACGTGCTCGGCGCGGCGCGCACGGGGAGCGGGAAGACGCTCGCGTTTCTCGTGCCGGTGCTCGAGGTGCTCTACAGGCGGAGGTGGGGCCCGCAGGACGGGCTGGGCGCGTTGGTCATCTCGCCGACGAGGGAGCTGGTGAGTCGCGAGCTTCATGCCGGAGGAGTGCGCTGAGCGTGATTGGTGGGCAGGCGGTGCAGATATTCGAGGTGCTCAGGTCGATCGGCGGGTACCACACCTTCTCCGCGGGGCTGGTGATTGGGGGGAAGAGCTTGAAAGATGAGCGGGAGAGGCTGGGGCGCATGAATATCCTCGTCGCGACGCCCGGCCGGCTGCTGCAGCATATGGACCAGACGGTCGGGTTCGCGTGCGATAACCTCCAGATGCTCGGTGCGTGCGGGTCTCACATTACACTGCTGCAGTTCTAACGCAGGCACCGCGCCGACAGTCCTAGACGAGGCGGACCGTATCCTAGACATGGGCTTCGCCAAGACCCTCTCCGCCCTCCTCTCCCACCTCCCCAAGTCGCGCCAAACCCTCCTCTTCTCCGCCACCCAGACGCAGTCCGTGACCGACCTCGCCCGGCTGAGCCTCAAGGACCCCGTCTTCATCTCCGCCGACCCCGAAGCCGCGGGGCTCGCCACGCCAGACTCCCTGCAGCAGCACTACACCGTCGTCCCACTCGACAAGAAGCTCGACGTGCTGTGGAGCTTCGTCAAGAGCCACCTGCAGTGCAAGACGCTCGTGTTCCTGAGCGCGTGCAAGCAGGTGCGCTTCGTGTTCGAGACGTTCCGCCGGCTGCACCCGGGCGTGCCGCTCCTCCACCTGCACGGGAAGCAGAAGCAGGCGACGCGGCTGGCCGTGTATCGGAAGTTCACCAGGAGCAAGCACGCGGTGCTCTTCGCGACGGATATCGCCGCGCGCGGGCTCGATTTTCCGGCGGTGGACTGGGTCGTGCAGGTCGACGCGCCCGAGGACGCGGAGACGTATATACACCGCGTGGGCCGCACGGCGCGGTACGAGAGCGCGGGGAACGCGCTGTTGTTTCTCTGCCCGAGCGAGGAGGAGGGGATGTGCAGGGCGCTCGAGGGGAAGGGCGTGACCGTGGAGAAGACGAAGATACGCGCGAGCAAGACGCAGAGCATCGAGAATATGCTGCAGAAGCTCGCGTTCCAGGACCCGGAGGTCAAGTACCTCGGGCAGCGGGTGCGTGTCGCGTGTGCTGTTGAGGAGAGTGGTGATGCTGATTTTGGGTTACAGGCGTTTGTGTCGTACATGCGCTCGGTGTACCTGCAGAAGGACAAGAGTATCTTCAAGCTGGAGGAGCTCCCCGCGGAGGCGTTCGCGGCGTCCCTCGGTCTGCCCGGCGCGCCCAAGATCAAGTTCCTCAGCAGGGAGATCGCGAAGAAGAAGAAGAATGCGCAGCGGATCGTGCCGGGGACGGATAATCAGCAGGTATCGGAGGTGGCGCCGCATGAGAGCAGTGATGAAGAGGAGAGCGAGGAGAGTGGAGACGAAGAGGAGGGGCAGGAGAGCGGGTCTGAGGCTGAAGGGAGCAGAGCGTCCAGGCCGCCGGAGGAGGCGAAGGGGTCTGCAAAGCCGTCGAAAGTGAGTCTACTGACTTTCTACGATAATGTGCCCGTACTGACGGAGCGGCAGACAAACGGCGTGCGCACAAAGTACGACCGCATGTTCGAGCGGAAGAACCAGAACATCCTCTCCGCGCACTACACCAAGCTCGTCGACCACGGCGCCGACTCAGAGGAAGAAGACGACTTCATCACACTCAAGCGCGCGGACCACGAGCTCCCCGGCGCGGGCCTGCCCGAATCGCACAACCTCTCGAAGCGGAAGCTGAAGGCGGGCGAGTCGAAGAAGGCGATGCTAAAGTACAAGGGCGCGCCGACGAAGCTCGTGTTTGACGACGAGGGGCGGGCGCATGAGTTGTACGAGATGCAGGATCCGGAGGAGGTGTTCAAGGGCGGGGAGCGCGAGGTGGCGGAGGCGGGGAAGAAGTATGTGCAGGAGGAGAGGGGGAAGTTGATGGAGAGGGATGTGCTGGATAAGGCGGAGGCGAGGGAGAAGAAGAGGGAGAAGAAGCGGAAGCGGAAGGAAAGGGAGAAGGGGGTATGTCGGCACGTTTCGCTGTTGCCTGTGATGTTTCTGACGTTTGTCTTTGTGGAAGGCTCCCGGCGATGATGCCTACCTTGGGCCTTCTGTGCAGCCGCTGCCCGAGGACGATGGGTATGAGTCCCCCGAGTTTGAGCTCCCGTCTGCAAGTGATTCTGAGGACGAAGCGGCACCGCCTCCGCCAAAGCGAAGTAAAAAGGCGCCGAATTCACGGCCAGAGAGGAATACGAGCCCAGAGCTCAATAATCTGGAGGACGAGGAAGAGCTGGCGCTTCGTATGCTTCGTAGCAGGCGCTAATCCTTGTATACTAGACCCTCACTAATTGTTGCTATCAGTTGTTGGAATTCTTCCGCATCCACGAATGTCATTGCATCGTTGTCGACGCTTCCAATTGACTCGTAACCTGCGTTTGGGGTTCGACCCGCCAAGTTGGCACCTCTTGGGGGGCTGAGAACTTCGATATTTATGTCGCTCCGATTCTCTGTACTACCAGGGCTATGGTCCTTGACTCTCGTATGCACCCCTGGATTGCTTGAGGTACCTTCTCTACTGAGGGATGGCAATCGCTGTGCGATGTACCCTGCTACTCTATGGAATAACCATGTCGCTCCAGGGTACACCGCACAGCGTACATGTCATCCATGTAACATCTCATAGCTCCTGGTGCATGCTGTGAGAGGATGTAGCGTCCCCGCCGGGCACTTCGGCCTTCTGAGAGGGCGTTCTCACAATTGTTGCCCCTTGTGCGGATCCCAAGGCCTTGGGACTCTCGATGCCACAAGATATTCCTTTTCAAATCATCGGTGATATGGGATACAGCCTCGGTGCGTGTCAAGCCTTCTTTCTTTCTTGATGTGCGGCTGTGGCCGCCTTTACTGTCATTGTACTACAGATGGGCTTACAGGCCACCATGCTCAGTGGCCAATGCTACCGTGCGAAAGCTTAAACCACCCACGCCGCCCGTGCACGAGACTGCCACAGTTGTCATCGCCACTTCTGCTTGTATATACTCAAAGCTAGCACGAAGGCGTGTTTGTGATATAACTTCCAAGTCTTCGACGGCCACACCCTCCGCACGGCATGGCAGATGAGTCTGGTACTTTGCCACTCACGCCCCCCAGGGTCCTGTGGCGTTCGCGCTTAATTACCTCCGGTTTGCCACACCTTGCCCACTGGAGACGCTTTGACCTGACACTTTATTGGCCATCGTATATAAGAGGCGAGTGACATGTGGACATTCTCCCAACACTCATTTTCGCAGAGGCTCGCAGACAATTGGCTGGCGACCGCATTCCTTCTATCATGCATTCTCCAGCCAACGGACGCAACATGGTCCACGTCCATTCCTACATGAAGAAGTTCGACTGTCTCAATGACTATGCAAGGCATGACTGGATGGAGCTCGCTTCCGAGCTTATCCCAGTGATGCATTGGACGCGGCTTCACGGGGTGTCTCACACGGTTCGCCACGAAGTGATCGATAATGATCTCGCTTCTCCACCCTGGGAGTTCAAAGGGAAGTCCTTGCGCCAGGTGAGGTCAGAGCTGCGTAGGCAGGGCCCGAAGTGAGTCTTAAACGATCAACAAATATATCGCTGCTCCAGGCCGAAGTCTGATTGACCGCATCGTAGGTTTATGAAGGCTGCAGAGTCTGTGGAGTATGTATGGCCTGAGTCCCGCGCGTTTACATCGGCCACCGCAATCGTGAGGGTCTCTTCGGAACTCGCAGACTGGGGTCCAACACATATCGTAGCGACGCTCGAGGGGGATACGTATCCCGTGTCTCAAGTCATCTTCGCGGCTTACTGGGCCTACTGGCGCCTTCCTCCTCCCGCTATGCGCTACACGCCAACCGCAGATGGTTCAAGTTCTATGGCGGAGCTACAAGTCTGCTCATCGGCCAACTGTCCCCCGTATTATTCCAGGGCCTTCAAGCAAGTGAACAGGTTCCTGATGTCCCAAGACGTCCAGGACTTAGGTCTACTACCCTTTTATTCCCTCATGAAAGACCTCCGGACGACGAGGCACGATGAATCGATCTACAAGAGCCCGCTGTATCTCGACGTGGTATTGAGGCACTTGAGGAAGTATTGCATCTCCAGCGACGGATTACTGCGAGAGTATATGCAGCATGTATACTCTGTATGGCGGATAGTGGAGGACTGTGGCCTGCATGCTGAATCGTGTGTTTGGGACGCTTTGGAAACCGTCTGGCGCGCGGGTATGCAAGTCATGATGGAACGCAAACTGGAGCACGAACATCGCAAAGGGTCGATGGTCAAGGGTTAGGATTATTGTTGACCAAGGGAATGGCGCGCTCTCCTGTACTTAGAGGGGCTAAATGATTATGATATATGTACAATCACGAGATGACCGGATGTCAGAATACAGTGTGACTAAGATATACTCCGCAGAACAGCAAACGATGCGAACCCAATGGACAGCAGAACACACAACAAGAGAGCAAAGAACACAAATGGGGGCACACACCGCTAGGTTTGAACGAACGAACGAAGAACTCATCTATTACCAGGCAACCACTGCTGCACCATTGCAGACCAGTTCTCGTGCAGACTGTAATTCGGATGGACCTGCACCGGCTCCTCCGCCGGCATACCGCTCATAACCACGCCATGACCGTCCCTCGCATAGGGGTGATCGACAGTCTGGGGCAAAAGCATCGGACCCCCCGTACTCACGTAATGCTGCTGCTGCGACTCCATCCTAGGATCCTGGGCGTGCCAATGCTGAGCATGATGCTGCTGCTGCACTTGGTCACCAGGAACCGGCTGGTAGTACTGGTATTGATCGCCGTGTTGCTGATAATCATGAGCATAAGCGGCTTGGGGCACAGGCGCAGCGTATTGCTGATGCTGATACGTCGGTTGTTCAGGCTCGTAACTCGGGGCTGGCTCAGCCTGAGGCGCATAGTAATGTTGATGCTGTTGCTGCGCCGGTATCCCAGAGTTGATCTCATCCACCCATTCGCGCATCGACGCATTGTTGTAATACGTGTCATGCATCTGCGCATTCAGCTGCCCCTCGAATCCACGCAACTGTTGCGCGAGAGCCGGGTGGACATGCGCAAACGGCTCCGAATCCGTAGAGTGCGGGGACTGAGTTGGATCGCTCGCCGCAGGAGGGGTCGACGCGTTGGATGTGCCTTCCATCGGGCTGGAAGCAGAATTCGAACTCGAGGTAGGCGCTTGAGATCGCCGGCCGCGAGTGGGGGGCGTGGTGCTGTTAGATTTCGTCGTGACCGTATGCGTCCGGCCACTAAATATCGACAGCTCGTCCTTCTTCTCGTTCGGACGCGTGGGGGTAAAGATATCTTTGCGTGGAGCTTCAATACCTTGTCGGATATTCACGTACGTCTCAGTTGCGTTGTTATGTAGACGTCGGATGATGGGCTGCAAATATGTCAGCGACAGCTTTAAGACTTATGTGATCATCCGCACCAAAAACTTGACTGCCCGGCCTCCATAGGGTGCTGCTCGCTCATACAAGTCGCAAGCAAGGCGCAGCTCCATCAGCGCCGCCTGCGCGACCTTAGACCTCGTGGCGTGAGTGACCACGGATGAAAGCATGATCTGTCAATCCCAGCATCAGCTCTCGCAGTCATACGCCCAACTCGGAAGCACTCACGCAGCATGAGAAGCCGTGAGTAAACAAAACCCAGAAACGTGCGATCTCCCTGGGGAACTGCTCGAAAGATTCTCGGACAGACGCCAGTAACTCGCATGCGCTCCTGAAACCAGCCAGGAACGACGGGGAGTATTGACTGCGCAGGGGGTCGTCGGGGCAATCGTTGAGCGCCTGGGCGAAGAAGGTGCGATGCACGTATAATAATGCTGTGCAGCATTAGTACGCTAAACCGGTGGAAAGCTGGAATGCGGCGCACTTAGATGTCGATAATTGATGGGCATGAGATGCATCATCGTCTCGCCGAGCCCACGACCGGTAGGCGTCGGCCCTTGCGCATACTTCGGCAGCTCCATCTCGCGGATCTTGCGATCCAGGTCGAGTATGATGGAGTACTTCGGGGAGCGTGCAGTGAGCGTGCCCTGGACGACCGCAGAGACGCATTCCTTGCCAAATTTTGCCTTCCAGTACGGAACTAGGATTGGTCGAGTTCAGTCAGGAATTACAGAAATGCAGGAGGCAAGCGCATACAGCTTGGTATGATCGTCCCGTCGTCTGCCATAGTCTGGTCAATGTCCTGAGGCAGCTCCGTGTCTACGAAAGGGAGGGAGAACGTTGGCAGTCGGCCGGTGGCCAAACTCTGGGATACAACATGATCCGTGAGACTTTGCACGACGGAAGAAGTCACACATACACCGACCTGCCAGCAATCCGTGATAAACAACTCCCAGAACAGCGCACGTCGCTTCTGCACCTCCCCTGGAGAGAGCTTGAACCGCGCACAATCCCGATCTGAATCACGCGTCATTAAAACCAACACTATCAACTGATCCTACTCAATCACTCACGGAGACCAATCTAAAATGCACTTATCAGATAGAACGCTACAGCCAACGCAAACAAAATCAAATTACTCACACTCTGTGCGAGTTTCGACGCAAGGCCCCACATTGCCCACGTCGTCTCGATACTATGCTCCCCGCTGCACATCCCCTGATAAATCGCCATCAGGCTCACCGTCTGCACAGTTGCGACGCTCGGCGGCTTCTCCAGAACGGGCTCCAGGTTCAGCGCAGCCCTTGACAGCTGATAGTACAGCTCCGCCTCCTCGTTGTCCGGGGCGGCGGGCATGTTCGGGTCCGTCAGCGCTCCGAAGCAGAACACAACGAACATGAGCGCGAGCGCGTGGGGGCCCGCGTTCCCCTCCGCGCCCACGCCCTTCTGGCTATCAGAGGAAGTTTGGCTTTGGCTTTGGGAGGAGAGGGAGAGGTGGTGAGGCGCGGGCGAGAGCGCGGCGCCGCCCTGCTCGATGGACTCGGGATAGAAGTACGGGAAGAGCTCCTCGACGAGCTGCCGGCGCGTGACGGCGCCGTAGTGCCAGCATTCCTGCTCGAGGTAGCGCTCACAGAGCTGCCAGGCGCGGTCGTACGGCGGGAGGTACCGCTCGATGAGCGTCTGCAGGTCGGTGATGCCGTATTCGGACGGCTTGGCGGGGAAGGAAGCGGAGAGGCTGGCTATGGCGGGAGGGAGGTTACTTGCGTTCCGCGGGGAATCGCGGGAGGGTGTTTCTTCTTTTCCATGGTCCTGACGATGCCAAACGTCGGGAATGCTGAGATAGGGTTATATACATTCGTACTCACAAGCAGTAAACTCTGAGGCGTGTATATGCGTCAGTCACTCAGCTGGACAGGCACAGTCACGGGGTCAGGCGTACCTCTGAGCCAGCAGATCGCCCGTAGAACGTCGCCCCTCCATCCTCCCTCACAGCCAGGGTCCCGAACGCGTCCAACGTCTCCGACTCCTCTGTCTCATTGATTGACCCATCCTCGTTGACCCTATGTCCGTCAGCAGGCGCCCCGTGTAGTTCCAAGCCAGATTTAATGGATAGAAGATCTCGTCGCAATAATGGATGCGGCTCGCGGGTAACCGTCCCTTGCAGGATGGCAAGGGCGTCTTCTAACTGACGTATCCGGTCGCCTGGAACCGAAAACGTTCCGGTCACTTACAGTTCAGCTAAAGAAAGAAGGGGGCATGGTACACACTCATTTCCGCTATCTTCTTATGCAGTTTCTCCGTGTCCGCTAGAACGAACCTAGAGCAGCCTATAAGCACGTACTCATTTCACCGGGGCCGGGAGAAGGGATCATACCGAGTGCCCTGCCCTGTTGTCAGGCTTCCTAGAGTTCATGTATGCGTTTAGCGCAACGTATCGCATTGTCGGTCAAGGACTCCCATAACTAAAGCATACCATTTGGACAAATGGAGGCGCAGCCTCTCCGTTTACACGAAGAACAGGGTATAGTCTTATCACACTTTAGCTTGAGCCTAACTCGAACGAACGCAGAGTCAGATACACGCGCAGCTACACTCTGCAAGAAACCGATCTTCACCGTCTACACTCCGCGCAGGATATAGCACCCCGTGCCCGCTTGAGCTCCTGTTCCTGGGAGCGTGCATTGCTCTTCATGTTTGTTCTATCGCCAGGTGCGCCAGCATAGGCTCGAGGACGCCAGACACGACAAAGAGGACGTCGCGGTCAACGAGAGAGAGCCGGTAGGCGCTGGCTTCAGTGGCATTGAGCCATAGATTTCATGTGGGGGATCACAGTCGCTCGGCATCACGCTTGACAGATCTCCAGCCAGTCCGCGAGAACTCCGCGTTGCCTTTTCGGGATAAAGCGGTCCCCCGGGTTTGCTTCCGTTGCCAGTTTGAGATCCATGGCCCCCTCATCTCGTAATTGAGATCCCAACGGCTCTTGCCGCCCCCTTCCGCAGGCAATACACCCTGAGGCAGCGCGGCCCCGGTATCGGAGGGGGAGGCGTCCGACGTGTTACAGACAGAACTGGGGCAGAAGTTTTCAAGAAGGAATGAAACAGAAATTTGACCGGCCGAGGGCTAGGAATGTCACAGCCAATGCAAGGGAACTCGGTGGTCGGGCGACGGTCAAAAAGTCATTGCAATGTCTAAACGCCCTCCTAATAGTGTACCCGCCGGTAACCTAATCATTCCATAGACGCAAGAACCCCTTTTACCGTGACTGGCTTCCAGTTCAGCAAGTCCTAGAATGCCATCACGACGTCGGCCAACTCGGGCATCGCACTGAGATCCTTTGGCTCTGCCACATAAACTCGGAATGGAGTCTGTTGATCTACACTTCCTAGCTGCGCAGCGCAGTCCAAGTCAAGAGAGACAGGCAATTGCGAAACCAGGGGGAAAATTGCGTACAATTGAGCCAGCCTCCCTATCGGCAGGATTGCTCGCCTATCTACTGGATATTCAGCCTGAGGAGGTGGCGTCTACAAGTCTAAAAACCACCTACCTCCGCGCAAGGATGACTACGCAAGGCACTTGCTAACCATCCCTTCCCGTCTGAAGATTGACCAAGACTCTCCCTAAAATAGTGATATTAAATCTAGCTCGTAGAACGACTAGCACAGGAAGATGTACGAAGGAATATCCCCTGACAATAACCTGCTGGCCCTAAAACCTGACGAAGCTAAGCGCCAATGCCCAAGACAACCGTCAAGCACGTTCATTCGCCATCTCCAGCCGCCCTCCTGCCAGGGGGGGCGGTAACCGACGTACACCTCATTGAACACCGAGCACAGACCAGAATTCCCATCAACCTCTCGAGATCGGCGCTAGCGAGGGGCAGGCCCGAACCTAAGATTTCCCTTACCAGGCCTAGTGGGCTCAGCGAGAACACACCGATGCAGTCGGCGTACCGCGCCTAGAGCGCCGAGTGTACGAGCATACGCGAAAGCGATGCACGACGCAAGACTCGATCACTTCCACCAACGCGCCCTCGGCCGGCTTTGATTGACCGGACTAACGACGCGGGCGAATTCGAAGTTCATGATCAGGCTCAGGCACTGGCGTCCGAACGCCCTCCCTGCAAATGCACCCCCCGCGATTCGCTGGGAGCTTTAGTCGTTGATCACTGGGTAGGGCATGACGTACCAAGAACATCGCGACGGCGTAAGCTCGGGCGCAGTACAGGCCATCTCGGACTTCCGCCGCCTAGCAGGAAGACAAGAGCGCGAGCGGGGAGGGACAGAAGCTTCAGAAGGGTTGGGAGGCCCAGAGGAGTCCAGAGTCTCTGAAGCATCGCGCAATGACATTACATGTAGTGTGCGCCGGAGGCTTTATGCTCAAGAGAGGAGTTATTTCAGGAGAGTCGGGAGTCCAGACTGCACGGTGGAATCCAATACCAATGATCTCCTCCGCGGTATAGCGGCGGGTCATGAGAAGATGAGAATGCAGATGGTATGAAGTCATAGTAGACGTACTTCTGGAGAGAATGAAAGAAGAGGGTACTCAATGAATATCAAGCAGGGCTCTGTGTTCGACACGGAAGAGAGCAGACGACCCTCGTTGAGGGTGTTGAATTAAGGGACAGGGCACCGGGTTCAGGACGGTCCGACTTCCAGCAATCGGCGAAACGATAGAGAAGCTTGGTATTTTCTGCACTCAGCAGCCGTTCCGCGGCTTACTTATTAGAGTAGGGTATCACCAATTTTGCTCCGCTAATGCTGTGTCCTGATCAACAAGAGTGGTGAGTCGTGGTGCACTGTGGCCCCGAGTGGGGTATAATTACCTTTCCGGGCTCGGCTGCCTGCGCGAAGAATTCTGAAAGTTCTCTATCGTTTCGCCGATTGCTGTCAATCCTGCCATGTTCCGCGAGTGGTCAGCGATATTTTGGAGCGACAGGCCAGAATGGCACACACCTTTATCTTAGTGCATTCGCCGATACCCGCGGCTCAGTGGCAAGCGCACCCTTATCAAAGCAAATAAATAATACAGTTACCTATGATACACGTCCAAATGTACAATATGCAATAACCAAAGGGATTGCTCGATCCAGAAACGAAGCAGCCGCCACTTAATCTACTCTAGAGGCCCTAGTCCGTCTTCACCCTTTCGTAGCCCTGCCCCTCGCCCGCCCCGCCCCATCCGAAGAACCAGCTGTTGCGCTTCTGCACCGGCGGCCGCGGGTAGGCGTGCCCCTGCTCGCCCTCGTAGTCGCTGGGCACTTCCACCTCCTCGAAGCGTCCCCCGCTCACGGTCCGCTCGCGCAAGTCCGAATCGGACGAACCGCGTGAAGGAGGCGCGTACGCAGGCATCGGCACCTCGGGCACGGGCATCTGCACGGGCGGAAGCGACGCCAGCTCGGCCTCGAGCTGCCGCCTTCTTTCCAGCACGGACTGCGAAGTAGACTCGGTCGACTGGGATGGAGCCATGGACGGCCGCAGCGGCGGGGAATTCAGCGCCCTGTTCGATGCAGAGGTGGTAGCCGCGCTGCTTTGCTTCATGAACGCCGCCCCGGTCGCGAGTATGCCGGGCCCGTACGACCGCCAGAAACTCGTCGCCATCTGCACGGGCCCGGACACCGGGTCGCTCAGCGTCGGGGGCGCGCCGGCGTTGATGTCTGCCTCCTGCGACACGCGCCCGACGGAGGTAAGGTCACCCTGCCCGACTGCATTGGTGACGTGGTTCCAGAGCATGCGCAGCTTCTCCTGCGCGAAGGCGTACACCCGCGTCTTGAGCGAGGCGATCCCCGCATCGATTTGGGTCTCGTGCTCGGTGAAGAAGGGCTTGATGTGGTGCAGGTAGAGGTATGAGGAGCCTTGCGTTTGGGGTAGGGCGAGGTAGAGCAGGAAGAGAGTCTTGATCGGGTAGTAGAACGGCAGCCTAGACCGGCATGTGAGCAATAGTGGTACTGCATCCGGGAGCGGGGGACGCACCAGGATATCAGCCATTCTGCAACGTACTCGACTCCGACAATACATCCCAGCACCGACCAGTACATCAACCATCGCTCAAGCTCTTCCTCCGAGGCAGGCCGCTGAGACAACGTCTTGAAGGATGCATAACCTGGGTACAGGAACGCCGACACAGAGCTACTGGCCTGTTACACCTTCGCTTTCATGCAATCCACAGCACTCACCTTATGAGACGGAACGTTAGGTAGAACAACATGCTGGTATTATCGATGGCAGAACCCAAGAGTGTTATGCCTTACAGCCCACGCCGCAGTGGCACGCACTGTACTCGCCGCAATTAGACATAATTGCTATAAATAGGTCCCGGCGGATGCCGAACCTTGTGTGTGGTATTAGGTATAAGTTCCAATCGACTCGAGATCGAGTCGACTTGGATTCGTTCCAGTTTTGCAATGCCCCGTAAATCACGACCTCGCTTTACTGTCCACAAGAAAAAGACTCCTAAGAAGGACCCCAATGGGGCACCTTCTGAGCGAGAGTGGGAAAATATGCAGCCCCATTCAGCCTTTAAAGGTAATTTCGTGATTTGTCCCGGACGTCTGGAGATCATGATTGGATTGCCTAGCGAAATGTAGTTTATGGTGCTGATGATGATGGATGCACTGTATTCAAAAAGGGTGGACAGTAATTATTCCAACAGTCGCTCTCGTGGCCCCGCTTACGGGTTTGTATATCCAAGTGCCATAGTTTTACCAGCAGGCACCGACCCCGATGTTGGGCGTCCTTTCATACACCAGTTCTGGGTGGTGAAGATAAGGGACATTCGCAGTCGCCAGGACAGCAGTGGAGAAGACGTTTGTCCTTAGTAATAGCAAGACCAATTTCTCTTCGTCACTGACAACTGAATCCTTCTAGGACGTGTGGATCCGTGTCCAATGGTACTATTCGCCGAAGGATGTAGCTGGTGTGATCAAATCATTGTATGGATCATTGGTCATACTGACATTCAATCACTCACATAGTCTGTAGTGATGCCTCAAAATGTGGAAGATACGAGCGCATCTTCTCTGACCACTATGACACACTCTCATCCACAACCTTCTCTGGTAGGGTTTAACCTTCCTTTAAACCCTCACTCATGAATCAATAATGATTCCAGACAATACTATGGTCAAGCGATACATAGAGAACGACATCGAACAAGAAGACATCAACGCTAATTGGAAGGACAACCACCCCGAATTCTACTGCCGGTACGACCTCGAGTGCCTATCACGGACCCTCTCTGTAAGTCCCCCCCCCGTCCCTCACCACCAATCACTTACCCCTGCCATGCAAGCCAAAACACAGAGGCACTTGTCTCTGCGGTGAGCCGTACAATCCCGACCAGGATGTCATGCACTTCTGTCCCCGCCCGAGCTGCCGGAAGGCCTACCACCGCGACTGTCTCGCCGAGAACAACTGCGTCGAGACGTCGCCGCGGGGGCGCGAGGACAGGCTGCTGGCATCCTCGCCGGACAGCGACGAGCCGTTCCCGCTTGCTTCGTACCAAGCTTCACCCGGCAAGCGTAAAAGAGGCGGTGGCAAAGGGAAGGAGGCGGTGCGCTCATCCCCGCTCGACGCTTTGCCGGAAGAGCTCCTTCGTGTTGCGAGGCTCCCGATTACCAAGGGCGTACGTGCCGGCGGACTTGTGGGTAATGTGCGCTCTGTGGTGACCGCCCGGCGTCTTGTATACGCTGCGTTAGAGAACCATGGTATTCTCCCTGAGGATTGGGAGGACCAGATCGTCTCGAAGGCCCTCAAGGATACCGTTCTTCCGGAAACTACTGATATACCCCCGCTGAGGTGCCCAGGATGTCAAGGGGCAATCTGAATCTTACGCTGCCTTTGAAGTTATGATCTACGCATTGATATCTCTTGGAATGCACATGTACTCTGCTTCTTGCTTTGTGTTTTGCTTTGACTTGCAGTGCAATCGTGTTTCTTGTTTAGACCCTTGAATCAACGCAATATCGGAATGAATGGGCAATGTACTCCGTTTCTTGCTTTACAACTTCGTTTTGAGTCGTGCTTTTACAGCTTTCTTCTTGACGGCCCCGAAACATTAGAATACCGCAACGACTGCGTATTCTTATTTACATGATGCCATTGCCGAACATTGCGACATAATGAGTCGGAGATAGCTTCTGCTGCAAGCAGCTGTGTGAATTCGAGCCCAATAAACAAGCCGAAATCACTGTCGCGGCCGAGAAGTAATGAGGAAACGTCCACGTTATAGATAAATACGCTTCGGCTTGGTTATTCCAACGCGAGACTGAATGTCCCCAGGACGGGAGAAGGTAGCACACGAGCACGAGGAGCATGCCACTAACGCAGGGACATGGATGATAACAGCGTCCGACGTGTTACGCCAGTCCCATGCTTCATCTCTACGATCAACGAGAAAGACGATTGGCCACAGCGGCTCGACAATACAACTGAATCACGCACCCTGAAAATGATATAAGGCCTAACGGCTGCCGCCCCTTCGGTCGTCCGATATGCGATGTTCATCCAGTGCGTGCCGTAAATCATCGGCACTGCTATCGCGATCGGTACTATCCCGCCTGCGAAATTTCCCTTTGTCCTTACGACCGCGGGAGGTGCTTCCGGAAGGCCTGCCCGATGCCGCAGCCTCTGCCTCGGCAGCGAGGATCTCGCTCTTCTTGCGGCGTTTTCGCTCGGTCTCTCGCAAATTTGTCCGGACGCCCCATAACGATATTTGCTGAGATGTGCATATATTATTCAGAGATGTTCGGAATCAGGAGGGATATCCGACTAACCTTAGTCAGAGCAGTAGAGGCTTGTAACCCGGGGAACTCCTTCGTCGAGTACACGCGGAATGGTCCCCCATAGCACTCAGCGAGGACGGCGAGATCCGTATGGTCGCGTGCTCTCGAGAATATATCGAAAAATCGATATCTCAGTATGAACATGCCTTCGCGTTTCACTGCTAGATCCTGAAAGATCAGAGTGGTCAAGTTCAGTTCGTCAACGGCTTTGAAGTATGAGCAAAAGGGTTTGCACAACGTCAAAAACGTGAGGAGGGCAAAAACGAGAGGGGAAATCGACGGACAGAGAAGACGAACATCAGCACTTTTCTGCCTATGTGAACGACTTCGTTTGCCTGCACGAACGTCGCGCCGGCGACCTCATGCGTGCACTTGGCGCTTTCTCGGATCGGATAGTCGCCGATATACGCAACGATATCCGACTCCGAATCCTGCGGCGCATACGAGAACGAGCTGGACAACGATGAGCTCCGTTCCTGCAGCTCTGGATCGGAGTCTGAATACCGCGTATGGGGCATCGAGGGACCGGCGAAATTCGGAAATACGCTTGTAGTGGTAAGGAAGGATACGGAAGGAGCATTAGGGTTGGGAAATGATGGGACCACTGAGTCGGGAAATGCTGTTGGCATCTGCGAGTCGGGAAGGGCGGAGCTCGTCGATACCGGCATCTGGTAAGAAGCCTGCTTAGCAGGCCTCTTCTTCTTGCGATCGGATCGTTGGTTGGGGCCAGGATCGTCCTCAGCCACATCATCTTCCATGTTGGGTATTTGGAAGAGGTCGATGTGGCACAGCAGACCAAAATTCTGCACTTCGCTGATTATACGGCCTCAGTTCTAGATGAAGAGGAGTGAGGGAGAACCTACTCGTAGTTTTGGATCTCTTCTTCGACCTCTCGGTCCGTATCAACATTGTATACGCGGAAGAGCTTCAGTTGCACAACCGGTGGAGGATCGAGGGGCCGTCGATCTTTTCTCGCGTACCTATATCGATTTCAATTAATTAGCATCAGGAATCACCGACCTAGCGGCTGGGAGAACCCACTTGCGCCCAAGATCAGCCTTCTGCAGTTCGTGTAACTCCGCGCGCATCGTCTGACCAGCGAACTGGCCTTGGACGAACTCCACCGGCTGGCCGACCGAGGAGGACCTGGGCCGGCGGGGTCTCGAGGCGTGGGGATGCATGGGTGTGGCAAGACGGAGGGCACAGGTACCTGCAATAACCAGCGTCCGTGAAGCAGAGAAGAATTTCCAAGAGGATCGCGGGGGACACTAAATACTATCGGCCTAGCCTATGGACGTGCTCGAATAACGAGTCCCGAATCGAACAGATAGTGGGAGCGCCTTCGACCCGGTAACTTGGGGCTAGTCGCTTTATATGAGTGGACGGCTACATCAACCGGGACCTAATGCAGGGTGATTTCAAATAGACTCGCTTAGATCAGTCCGGGGAACTGCATGGACGATTCTCAGATTAGATCCCGTCCCTTCTCCCACACGATCCTTGCATTCAACATCTTTCCTCTTTCGACGAGAAGACCTGGTGTGCCCAGGTCAGTCGACTGCTGTTACTTCATGATGTTCGGGGGATTTAGCACCTGCGGGGAGTCGGTAACGACGCTAATGCTAGCACGTACATCTGTCGTTCTCGGGTTGCAATCAGGACGCTAAGGACGTCTGCGACGCGACTCAATATATTTATTCACGGCAGGGGAGTTGGCGATGCCAGCGTCAGTACCGCTCAACCGCCATAGGCGGCTACATCCATACTTCTAGCCATAACGGGGCCGTGATGCCTGCTGAAGCTTCAGAAATTTGTCGCTGTCGCACCTTCGAGACGCTTCTCTGAGAGGCGCTGTTTGTCCCCTGGGGTTAGTAACGGCATGCAATGTCTTCCCTGTGAGTCAATCAGCGTCCGATTCGAACGAGGCGTGTACTATATGCATCGCGGCTGCCCTGGGACCGTGCAATTGAAAGAAGGTATGATCGAAGCATCTGACAATGGTTCAAAATGGCACGGAAGCAGGCGGCTACGAGAACATGCCTGGATTGATCTCGTTATTCTTCCGCCATTTTTTGTAATTCACGCCGCTAACGGCGAAAGAGCTTGGACGCACCCTTTCCACGGGAGATAGAGCATTTGCTCCGTCTGGCGCCTCAGAATCTCCTTTGCGTGGTGTTTAGGAATGCGTACAGCATGATCGTTGAAGAACGACTTCATCACAGCATTCGGCTAGGGCTAATTCGCGGGACCTACGAATACCGGCATGATTCCCTGCTTTCACGAGAATCCATGGACGCGAAGAGGATTGATGGGGCATAAAGTGCTTAGTACTCCATGCTGTAGAACGCTGTGCCACGCCGGTTACAACATCCCGACGGCTGCAGTGGTGTGTTCGGCGAGATGATCCTGTTCCTTATCAGGCCACAATACTGACAGAAAGCACCCAGTACTGATTACTGACAGGGCGTATCCAAGTGACTGACGTTCGGCCCTTGGCCCAGCGGCCAGCTGCCTCTGCGAGGCAGAATTAGTCGTATAACCTTCAATCACTGCGAATTGATTCTGTACATGTCTTACCTGCGAAAAGCCCTGAAATACATGTACTAGTATACCAACCGAGCAGTAGCATACAACGTCCACTCAAGACCTAGTCACTCGGGGCAATGGGAACACGTTGCCATGCTTCGTCGATGACTCGATGGTAGACTGCGCGTAGACTCAGCGGAAGCAAACGAGTAGTAGTACGTACACAGGTGCCGCACATATTACTAAATTAGGCAACTGTTTATGAAGGATGGGCCTCCACACTTGTCGGTCGACATCTACGAGTGCCCTCGTTCCGAACGGGACTGAACGCGCCGCCTACGGCTCGAACGTGGAGGGCGACTTTACTGATATTGGATGTAAGTACCTTGATGTCTTCAAGTTTCTCGGCATCCGGTTCCGCCTAAAGCCTGTTACTCCGACGTTGCATGACGTTGCTCTTCAAGACATTGTAATCAATTGACCATGCGGATAACGGTCTATGACTTACGGTATGACTGCGCGCCGCAGACCGCTTTAATACAAGATGTTACGGATTCTACCGGATCGATGGTCTCCTGATCTCTTGGACATGAGGGGGAAACAGCCTTGAAGTACCAGAAGCCTCAAGGTCGCTCGGATCATCTACATCGACGGTGAACGCGTCTAGATAGTCGGCCAAGCACGTTACGTTCGAATTTGCCGATCCCTTCATCTTACGGTACTCTGTGGCTCAGGGCTGTATCACAGATTCACAAGAGACGAGGCGCGAGTGAGCACCCGCTATTCGAAGCTATCGAGCACGGGCAGTACTCCGCGAGGTGCGCTGTCTCCGTCTCCTCTGCTGAAACTCTGGATTCATGTCAACCATGGTCGAAAGGGGCTGACGCTTCCCGCTTACTCTAGGCTTGGCATAGAGTGCTCCAACCCACGTCCGTTATCACGCACACACGATGCGAGCCAGTTTGCTAATCGATTGATAGATCTCCAGCATCCCTGACGTCCTTGGGACAAGTCTCAATTCTCACATCATGTTACCATCGGCACACGGCCCTCTCAAAAGACTCAATACCCATAATCTGATAACGCGTCCAAATCTCCCGGTACGGGCATAGTGTGTAGGCTCGACATTGGTCGTTCCGCCGAGCGGCGCAAGCGACCGATAATATTGACGGCGCTTCTTATGATCATCGGATGATCAATAGCTTTTTGAGTCCCATTGCACCCGCTGCGAGCATGAGCAGGGTTAAGGCTCTCTTTCCTGAGCTGTAGGGACCCATGATCATGCCCGGGAACTGCAAAAGCCACAAGGGCCTTCCTTTCTTCGATTTGCTGTGGTAGAGCCCCACCATCTAGCCACAACATCTATCCGCTCAAACTCACACCTCTCTTGCTTGGCACCTATCGGATCGGACTCCCGAGCGTGGCGAGTAGTCTCGTTTCCCTATAGCCCATAGGCACGGTACTCACCGCTCAACACGTTAGATCGGGCCGACAAAGCGTCTGAGGCACTGTTCTGCTCGTGTGCGGCTCCGGCACCTTCGAGGCCTACATGGCCTCGCTGCGTCTGTACACCCTTGGGAGCGCATCCCGAAATGTGTTCATTTCGGAGAAAACAACCGCTGTTGGTTAGTCACGCCGGATCTGGATTTACCTCGTATCTTAACCCCACTGATTGAAGCGGAGACTATCAGATAGCGGATGGTTATAAGGATGCCACATCCTTAGGCGTTAATTTCGCCTCGGTGTCCATCACGCTCGTTGCAGGCGTATGTATCGGGTGGTGCTGCGTGTACGAGGGAATCTTGATTTCCCAAGTCGAGGCATGTACTTCTGAATGGTGCACAATATAGAGACGTCTCATTCGTGAACAATTCTTGACACAGATTGACTTCCATAGTGCTACCGTGGCTACATCGAAAACGAGATCCCAGTGCATATAGAACCTAACATGCTATCTAGTGGGTCCACAGAATATCAGAAAAAGGCATCCAGTGTCAGAACAAGCAGCAGGTATGTCACCCAAGGCCTAGGCAAGGTCATTGTGCTGGATGACCCATTAGGTCTTGCCGGAGTCACTATAAGCCAAATGAAATCCACGCCCTCAGTCGTTCTCGTCAATGGGAGTTATGCTTATCACCTACCTGACGTTGTACTGGCTGACGCGGTAGATGCAGATGTCGAAACATTGGTGGCCGGTGCAACTGTGCCATTAGAGGACCTGAAAAGCGACCCAGTTAACTCATCGTCCCTGAAGGACGGCACCCCAGACAACACCGGGTCGATTGGCGGGGCTCGCCAAGAGTATCCCCGCTACAGAAAGGTAAGCAGTACTCACGGGCAGAATGTCAGGGTGTAGTCGGCGTTCAGACTAGAATTACACGTCCACAACGCAGTGTTGCTGCTCTCGTCATATGCATAAGCATACGAGTTCGGACAATTGCCCTCTGCCAACCGGAGCAGTCAGCACGGAGGATATAAAAATAGTACGCTGGACTGTCGCCCAGGTCCCGGACTTACTAAAGTATGAATAGTATGCGACGCCGGAGGAAGGACACGTCGCGGCCGTGCTATAGCTCCCGCTGCAGCAATTAGGAGAATCCTCTGCATCCGCAAGACAGGTGTCGCATCATATCATATCAGAACATGGCACATATGGCATTTAATTTCAGTAGGCTCGGGAGCTGGAGCGCGGGCGACGTACGTGGGTTCCCGTCCAGATTGGCTGCACATGCGCTCTTACACCCGACTGGATAACCGTTAGAGTCGAATGGTCCTTTGATCGCGGATGGGCCTGGGAAATGGGGAGCCAGTCAGAATACATGTACACGACGAGCTTCTTAGCGCGAGGGATGCGACTCACAATTCGGTCCGAGATCTATCGGACAATCGGCCACAGAACAGCCCGCCGAGTTCGTGATGCTCATCGGCAGATTGAAACCGTCGACGAGCGACACTGTTTTCGGGTGCAATGAGACCATCAGTGACGAGGGGCTCTGGACGATGTAAGGTTTGGCAGTTACTCACCATCGTAAAAATCTCTGTTGCCATCTCCTTGAAGAGTCCATTCAGCAACAGTGGCGGGAGGAACGCCCTGTTAGGTCAAACTTATTACTCAGCAGTATACGTATGGCAGCGTCCTACGTACTGTGCCGGTATGAGGGTCGCAGAGAAGTCCTCCGTTGCATCCTCCATCCAGACAAGAGTTTGGTCCAGGATTGGTGCTGAAGTCGCAGTCGCGGCGACCCTAAAAGCCACATTAATTCCGAGCGCTAGAAACGTCCACCATTGAACATAGAAGCATCAAAAACTCACCCAAATTCGGCCCGACTTCCAGTTGTCTGGAACGCTGAAGGTTACGGAAGAGCCAGCAGCTGCTTCCCACCTATTGCGAAGCTACGTTCAGTACCCCGGCTGCATCCTCGTGCAAACAGAGAAGACGCACCCAGTGGCCACATCTGGCACGGCTGTCCCAGCGTTAAGATCGGTGAATACCTAAGGATGGATCAGCTCACACCATCAACCGGCCGCCGTCAGAGCGCTTACCGCTGGCCTATTAAGCGAGCAGACGGACGGGTTAGTAGCAATTCCCGGCTCTGTCGGTACTTTCTCGACGATGGTTCTCACCATATTGTGAACGGGCAAGCATTGATGACGGTGAAAGTTCTCGCTAAACTTCCGGGCATGATGAACAACAATTCGAGGGACAATGCTGCAAGCAGGGCGCGGGTCGAGCGTCTCGCGGCGTACATGTCCGAGTCGCAAGTCGCTTGATACAATATCTCGCTGAATTCCACAGACGAAGTACTGAAACTAGGTGAGTGTCAAGTCTCAATAGCACTGGCGGCGAAAACTGTTCACCGTGCATTGTTCCTTCTGCTCCAAGTTGGACTTGCATAATTTGGAGTATGTTTGCTGCGCGAAAGACGCGTGTACGACACGTGACCGCATGCTAATTAGGGGTGCACTGCTTTGAGGCCGGAGGTTCTTCGTAACGACGTTGAATCCGCCTCCCACCAAGTCCTCTACTCAAAACAAATCGCCAAGGATGCCCTGTACCAGTAGTGTCGGCAGGGGGCTGTTTCAAAAACACAAGTGTCTCTGTCAGATCGGATTTGCAGTGCTTTTTAATCATTTCGAGCAGCAAGGAGGCGTTCGCCCTTCTTCCAAGTTCCATGGCTCATGCATGTTCCAGCACCGCCATGGATGATATGAAGACTGGACGCCCATTGACAAAATACCCGAGCCCACTTGGGTCTCTCAAGGGGAAGGTGCCGGGACCTTCTGGACTCCTCAGGATGCTATCGGACAGACTGCACTCGTTGATCATCCCATCACCGGTACCGCCACGAAGAATGCAGAGGTCGCAGACCAGCCACAGACAATACCGAAGTCCAATATCACACCGGATTTGGTACCAGGAACTGTTTTTCCCGGCTGATCATCTTCGTGGCATCAATGCACCCGGATGGAATGACCGCAGCTGGTCGTCGGAGCCGGACTGTGAATACTTCAACAAAGCTCTTTTGCTTGTCCGCTAAGGCATCCTCCCATCCTTTGGGTAGGGTGATAGAGTACTCGACCCTACTGTATCCTACAGGCGCTCCTCGCGTTGCGCTGCTGGACGGACCTTGGAGATACGGGCCCTAGTAAACTCAGCTGACTTCAAGAGATGGGTGGCCTTCTACCGTTGGCGGTTCTCTATGAAGTCTAGCGCACGCAGCAACGTCAGAACCATTTGCACAACTGGTTCTTTATGCTCAATCGCAGAAATAACAACAGTAACCAGGCATACACAGGCGGTGTACCGACTATGGCGACTGTTGGATACGTTGTGGGCTGGCCTTCTCTCTCGCCCAAGGTCAAATCGAACAAAACCTCTAGCTCTTGGTGCCTATGGTGTCAGTATCGTGTACGCTTTCCCCGTCTATCGCCTATATGCCGTCTGTCGGACGTCGAAGTATCATGACGGGGCGTCATCAAGATAAGTCTTGCACGCCGATTCCTTCCTGCCGACTACTGTTCCATATGATGTGCCTCATGCGGCACTCCGTTTCGTATTAGCCCTGCCGCCGTCGTCCTTCTCTTGGTCCAAGAACGGTGCCATTTTCAGTGCCCGTGTGCCAACAAGAGACCATTGTGTTGCTTTAATTATGCAATGTGGTTATCTTTGGCCGGGCTGCTCGGATAAACATATTTCTGCCCACGTCGGTATTGGGAGCAGCCAGGCAACAAAAGCTTCCATCGCCGAGTAAACCGCCGCAGGTGAGAATAGTTCAAGACTTGAAGTTGCAGGTGCAATCTCGTAGATATTGGCTTGGCGTATGTATGTCACCGATTTATCGTGCTCCTCTGTCGGCGAACGTTCAACATGACGTCTGCCAACGGATCGCTGTCGTCGGGGGCGCAGATAGCGCATCACGGCACCGGCCCAACGAGAGCAGCATGTGGGAGGGTATGCGAGCCGCCGGTGCCGGGACAAAAATAAAAGTGGAGCGTCGGTGAAATACCCTCGTATAGGTGAAGTCTGGCTACAAAAGTTGAAATACAGTGAGAACGGTCGCGCAGGAGCTCCTCTTCTGCAGCGTTATCGAGTGCTTGCGAGGGCGATAAGCCCGAGGTATATAGAGTTGCAGAGCGGCGCGGTATCGCATGGAAGCCGCTCGTTTTCAACGTGCATGGAAGAAAACGACGATAAAAGGACATGAATACTGAGAGAAAATCGCAGAATACGAGATAAAATGTATGAAGCTTGAACGATTCTCCTGACCCTTGAAACCCGCTGTCTAAAGGGGGGTACACTTGGAAGGGGCTCGACGGGTGCAGTGCATCAGCCAAAGTGAATGACGCAAAGACAGTAAGCCGCAGTCGGAGTTTGCCGGGCCCAGGAGGGCTGTTCTCAGGCGTTGTGCTCCTTCCACCGCATCCCTCCCTTTTTCAACGATCTCGCGCTCGTCGCGTTCGACGACCACCTCTCCTCCCTGCTCATCGCCGGCCATGGCGACGCCCAGGCATCCCGACAACATCTATCCTGGTTCCTCCCCGCCTTCCGACCCTCACGACCCCTTTGCCTCCAGCAACCAGAGGTACTACGACAACGACTCAGACCAGGCTGACCCATATCGTCGAAGAGATACCTACGCTTCCGACAGCAGCGACGCTGCCCTCAATGAGGACGATAGATATTATGACAACAACGGGAACTATGGGCGCTATGGTGGGTAACGCGTTCTGGGCGGGACAGCCACCCTTCTCAGCGACATATTCACTACTTGTTCTAGGCAACCCTGACACCGACTCCGACGTGGATGTCTATGGTCAGAAGTACGCCCCTTCCGCAGAATCATTAGGCCCTCCCCGCATGGAGTCCTCGACTCCCACATTCGTTGACTATGGAGGCCCGCCCGGCGCTAGAGAGCAGTACCCGGCGTGGACGTCCGAGCGCAGCATCCCTTTGTCAAAGGAGGAGATTGAAGACATTTTCCTCGACCTTACGCAGAAGTTTGGCTTCCAGCGGGATTCGATGAGAAACATGGTATGTAGCACATGCTTCCTCGTTTTCCGTAACCGGCCTTCTAACGCCGTAGTATTGTAGTTCGACTTCGTGATGCAGCTGCTCGACTCTAGAGCCTCACGGATGTCTCCAGACCAGGCCCTACTAACGCTACACGCTGACTACATTGGTGGCCAACATGCTAACTACCGTAAATGGTACTTCGCCGCTCAGCTCGATTTGGACGACGCCGTCGGGCAGACGCAGAATCCCGGGTTGCAGCGCCTCAAATCCACGAAGCGCCGGGGCGGAAGGGGTGCGGAGAAGTCGTTAAGCTCCGCTATGGAGCGCTGGCGGCAGGCAATGAATAACATGAGCCAGTATGACCGCCTGCGGCAGATTGCGCTGTACCTCCTGTGCTGGGGTGAGGCGGCGCAGGTGCGGTTCATGCCAGAGTGCTTGTGCTTCATCTTCAAGTGTGCGGATGACTACTATCGTTCGCCAGAATGCCAGAATCGGCTGGATCCTGTGCCGGAGGGGTTGTACTTGCGCGCGGTGATCAAGCCGTTGTACCGGTTCATCCGGGACCAAGGGTACGAGGTGGTCGATGGAAAGTTCGTACGGAGGGAGCGAGATCACGACAAGATCATTGGATATGATGATGTGAACCAGCTGTTCTGGTATCCCGAAGGGATTGCCAGGATCGTTCTCCAGGACAAGGTATGTGGCCTCCGTCACCTCCCTTTTCTCTCATCGCTCATTTCGTTTCTTAGACGCGACTTGTGGATGTTCCACCAGCACAGCGATTCATGAAGTTCGACCGCGTTGACTGGAATCGTGTCTTCTTCAAGACTTACTACGAGAAGCGCTCATTCGGTCACCTACTAGTTAACTTCAACCGGATATGGGTCATCCACATTGCTATGTATTGGTTTTACACGGCTTACAACTCGCCTACGGTGTATGGCGGAGATAAGTCGGCTGCTATGTCCTGGTCGGCGACGGCGCTCGGTGGCGCTGTGGCCACGACTATCATGATACTGGCCACAATCGCGGAATTCTCGTACATCCCCACGACTTGGAACAATACTTCGCACCTCACCCGTCGGTTACTCTTCCTATTCATCACCCTTGGTCTCACCGCCGGCCCGACGTTCTATGTCGCCATCGCGGTTAACAACAACAGCGGTGGTTCGCTCCCGCTTATCTTGGGTATCGTGCAGTTCTTCATCTCGGTGGTCGCGACGCTCCTGTTCGCGATTATGCCCTCTGGACGGATGTTCGGCGACCGTGTTGCTGGCAAGTCAAGGAAATACCTGGCCAGCCAGACGTTCACTGCCAGCTACCCCGACCTTCACCTTCAGGCTCGCATCGCGTCCATTGCGCTCTGGGTGCTCATCTTTGGGTGCAAGTTCGTGGAATCGTACTTTTTCTTGACCACGTCATTCAGCGTTTCCATACGCGTCATGGTCGGGATGAAGGTTCAGGGATGCAACGATCGGTACTTCGGCAACGCCCTCTGTCGCAACCAGGCTGCCTTCACTCTCACTATCATGTACATCATGGATCTTGTGCTGTTCTTCCTCGACACTTTCTTGTGGTATATTATCTGGAACACGGTATTCTCAATTGCGAGGAGTTTCATGTTGGGTCTCAGTATCTGGACGCCTTGGAAGGATATCTACACCCGGCTGCCCAAGAGGATTTACGCGAAGTTGTTAGCCACCGCTGACATGGAGGTCAAGTACAAACCCAAGGTATGTGTCATGCAATCTTGTTGTCTGCCCTGCCTAATAGGCTGTTCAGGTCCTGGTGTCGCAGATTTGGAACGCGATCATCATTTCCATGTACCGCGAGCACCTGCTCTCCATTGACCACGTCCAGCGGCTGCTGTATCACCAGATCGACGCAGGAGGAGATGGGCGCCGCAGTCTGCGTGCTCCGCCTTTCTTCATTTCCCAAAGCGACAAGGGCTACAAGGGCGAGTTCTTCCCGAGGGGAAGTGAGGCCGAGCGGCGTATCTCCTTCTTTGCCCAGTCTTTGACTACGGCCCTTCCGGAGCCCGTACCAGTTGACGCTATGCCCACATTCACTGTGTTGACTCCTCACTACAGCGAGAAGGTATGGTGATGGCATCAGCAGGGTTTGCACTGTGAGCTAACATTCGTCTTCTAGATCCTTTTGTCGCTTCGTGAGATCATCCGCGAGGAAGATCAGACCACGCGTGTCACACTGCTCGAATACTTGAAGCAGCTACACCCTGTTGAGTGGGACAACTTCGTCAAGGACACCAAAATCTTGGCCGAGGAATCCGCGATGTACAATGGGCCTAATCCGTTTGGCGCCGACGAGAAGGGACAGTCGAAGACTGACGACCTTCCGTTCTACTGCATCGGTTTCAAGAGCGCGGCTCCGGAATTCACTCTTCGGACTCGTATATGGGCGTCGCTCCGTGCGCAGACGCTCTACCGTACAGTCTCCGGCATGATGAACTACTCGAAGGCGATCAAGCTGCTCTACCGGGTGGAGAATCCGGAAGTCGTTCAGCTGTTCGGTGGCAACACAGACAAACTCGAGAGGGAGCTCGAACGGATGGCGCGCCGCAAGTTCAAATTCGTCGTGTCGATGCAGCGGTACTCGAAGTTCAACAAGGAGGAGCAGGAGAACGCGGAGTTCTTGCTGCGTGCATACCCGGATCTCCAGATTGCTTACCTGGACGAGGAACCCCCGCGGAAGGAAGGCGGCGACCCGCGCCTGTTCTCCGCGCTGATTGATGGTCACTCCGACTTCGTTCCTGAGACTGGCAGACGTCGGCCCAAGTTCCGCATCGAGTTGCCTGGTAATCCTATCTTGGGTGACGGTAAATCGGACAACCAGAACCATGCGATCATCTTCTACCGCGGTGAATACCTCCAGCTTATCGATGCCAACCAGGACAACTACCTCGAGGAATGTCTCAAGATCCGTAACGTCCTCGGGGAGTTCGAGGAGTATTCGGTCTCCACTCAAAGCCCCTATGCCACATGGGGTCAGAAGGAGTTCAGGAAGCCCCCGGTTGCCATTGTCGGTGCACGAGAGTACATCTTCTCGGAGAACATTGGTATTCTTGGTGATATCGCTGCTGGAAAGGAACAAACATTCGGTACCCTGGCTGCTCGTTCATTGGCTTGGATTGGCGGCAAGCTTCACTACGGTCACCCTGATTTCCTGAATGGTCTCTTCATGAACACGCGCGGTGGTGTGTCAAAGGCGCAGAAGGGTCTCCACTTGAACGAGGATATCTACGCTGGTATGACCGCCTTTGGTCGCGGTGGCCGTATCAAGCATACGGAATACTACCAGTGCGGTAAAGGACGTGACCTCGGCTTCGGTACGATTCTCAACTTCCAGACCAAGATCGGTACTGGTATGGGCGAGCAAATGCTTAGTCGAGAGTACTACTACCTGGGTACCCAGCTTCCCATGGACCGGTTCCTGACTTTCTACTATGGTCATCCTGGTTTCCATATCAACAACATGCTGGTTATCCTATCCGTGCAGCTCTTCATTGTGACCAGTACGTATTAGCTTGAACCTGAGGATGCCTTACTGACTTTCTGCGCAGTGGTGTTCTTGGGCACCCTGAACTCCGAGCTCACGATCTGTCAGTATACCTCGTCTGGTGGTCTAATTGGAGGTCAAGGAGGATGCTACAATCTCCATCCCGTCTTCGACTGGATTGACCGGTGCATCATCGGTATCCTCCTTGTGTTCATGATCAACTTCTTGCCACTGTTCCTGCAAGGTGGGGGTGATCTTCACTTCTTGTTCGACTGAGCTGACTTATATTGCAGAGCTTGTTGAAAGAGGTACCGGGCGTGCCATCTTCCGTCTTGGGAAGCAGTTCTTGTCGTTGGCGCCGGTCTTCGAAGTGTTCTCTACCCAGATCTACACCCATTCCATCTTGAGTAACCTGAACTTCGGCGGTGCTCGGTACATTGCGACTGGTCGTGGTTTCGCCACTTCTAGGATTTCCTTCAGCATCCTTCTGTCTCGTTTCGCTGGTCCTAGTATTTACCTTGGGATGCGAACCCTGCTAATGCTGCTCTACGTGACGATGTCGCTCTGGACGCCTTTCTTGATCTACTTCTGGATTTCGACGTTGGCTCTTTGTATCGCGCCGTTCCTTTTCAATCCTCATCAGTTCGCCCTGTCGGACTTCGTGATCGATTATCGGTGTGTTATACGTGTTCTTGCCCTTGGAAGCTATACTCACTTATTGCAGGGAATTCTTGCGGTGGATGTGCCGAGGCAACTCTCGTTCACACAACAACTCCTGGATTGGTTACTGCCGCTTGTCTCGCACGATGATTACGGGATACAAGAAGAAGAAATTGGGTCTTCCATCAGAGAAGCTCTCCGGTGACGTTCCTCGTGCGGGTTGGAGAGCGGTCATCATCTCCGAGATCGTCTTCCCGATTGTCATGGCGGTTCTCTTCGTTATTGCGTATATGTTCGTCAAGTCCTTCCCTGACAGGAACGGTGCCCAACCCCCGAGTCCCTTGATTCGCATCGCCGTCGTCTCCCTAGGTCCTATCGTCTGGAATGCTGGTGTACTGTTGGTTCTCTTCCTCATCTCGTTATTCATGGGCCCAATGTTGGATTCCGTCTTCCCTAAGTTCGGCTCTGTAATGGCGTTCATCGCTCATTTCTTGGGGACTGTCGGTACCATCGGAGCATTTGAGTTCTTGGTATGTATTCGCTATTCGTAGTCTGTTGTGTTCCTCTAACACTTTCCTATAGTGGTTCCTTGAGTTGTGGAACGCTGCGCACGCCGTCCTGGGTCTGATCGCTCTCATTGCCATCCAGCGCGCCGTCCACAAGGTCTTGATCTCTGTTTTCCTGTCACGAGAGTTCAAGCACGATGAGACTAACAGAGCTTGGTGGACGGGTAAGTGGTATGGGCGTGGCTTGGGCCACCACGCCATGTCGCAACCGGCTCGCGAGTTCATCGTCAAGATCGTGGAGTTGTCGCTCTGGAGTTCAGATCTTCTCATTGGGCATTTCCTCCTTTTCATGCTTGCACCTGCTGCTCTCATGCCGTTCATGGATAAGATCCATGCGACGATGCTGTGTATGTCACCACCTTCTCCTACTCTTCATGGCCACTGTTCTTACTTGTTCTGCAGTCTGGCTGAGGCCGTCGAAACAAATTCGTGCCCCCCTGTACTCTATTAAGCAAAAGAGACAGCGCCGTTGGATCGTAAGTAACTGCCTGACTGCGCATGCCTGTTCGTGGTCGCTCACGGCTGGTGCAGGTCATCAAATACGGCACTGTTTTCGTTGCTGCTCTCACTCTTTTCATTGCTCTCATTGCTCTCCGTAAGTTTCAGTCTTTATTCTGTAATTCCACGTCCTCACCTTACACTATCTAGCCGCGGCGTTCCGGGATCGGATACTCTTCAACTGCTCGGTATGCAACAGCCTGTAACGACCGACTAGTATTATTTCACCAATAGACTTTCATCTGTACGCTTTGATATCCTTACTACCACCTACTCCGTCGTTATGATCAGTTTGGTGCGGACACTTTTCCTACATCGATTAGTCGCAAAACGGACGTATGCCTGTAGTAATCCCCTTCGCATAGCAAAATCTTGATATCCTGACCGCACTCCATCTGGATGACAATTTGCATAATAATATACATCGTCATAGATTACACATTGTTAGCGTCTGAACTTCACTTCTGGCCGAATATCAAAGAACAAGGGCAAGCATTAGCATTCATCTTTCCCCTGCGAGTCATCCTGATGTGAGAGTTGCCGCGTCTGCCACTTTCTGTCCGCCACAATCCATCGCTGGTTACCAGACAAAATGTCAGTCTCCCAAAGGCGACCAATTAAATTGCGGACGGCACTGTAACTGTCCTGTGTGCACCGCACCATTGTCTCCGTCTTGCGAGACTTAATTGCAGCACTGGACGGATCAGTGCCGGAACTGACGTGAGGCTGCACTTGTTTGGATGTCGAAGACGACCCGGAAGATATGGAAGCGTTGCTGAATGTGGTGTATAATTGTTGTGTGAGTGTACAGAACATCATCGATCATCCTTACTAGCCACTGACTCGCTGACGGACCATGCGGTCATTTGAATGTAGCGGACAAAGTCGCAGTCGAGGACTTCCCGTTCATTTCCAGGGTTCTTCGGATGTGCACAAAGTATCGTGTAGCGCGCCCGCGCCTTCAGATACTGGAGCTATTCCGTGAGCAGTGGCCGTTCGCTCTCGAGGAACACGACAATGCACGCCATGCCTCTCGTAAAGTCGTGTATCGCCAGAACGGCACTGTTGTTGCAGGCGCTGCGAGCGTGCATCCAGTTGCAGTTATCTCTCCTCTCCGCCAGTGTGAGTACCGCTCTACCGACATTCTTGCGCCTCTATTTTATACTCTTTTCATGCGCGTCTGGCGGTTTGGAGATGCCAACCTCGGCCGCAATGTATCCTCCTGAATCCAGCCGACACCGAACGCCTCGTAGTAGGCCTTAATACTCTTCGGATGAAGCAAGTCATGATCCTCGCTGCAGGTCCCGAAGCGATTGTAGCCGTCCCTCACCGCGGCGATGGCAGCGGCAAAGGATATCTCCTCTACCTTGGGTCTCTGCGAGCCTTTTGGAAGAAGAAAGTCGTTGGCCCGATTGTATCGTCGCAGAATCCAGCACAGATGTGCCGGCCGATCGAGAGTCTGGGGGGATCTAATCTCGGCCGCTCCCAAGGATGCTGATGCTGTCGCTCTGTGCGGGGGATGTCGTGCTGGTCTTTTACAACATCTGAACAAGTCGCGAGAAAGCCTGTGGAATCTGAGGACTATCTTCAAGTTGGAAGTAGACAACGGCACTCGGGGGAACTGAGGGTCGATTGGTGCTCCTAATGCGAGCTCTATTCTACACTACGCCTGAACCCTACCAACAGTGTATGGTTTTTATAACTTGATGCTAGCCACTTGACTCTCCATTGGTCGAGCTCCGGACTCAGGGGCGCTTAGTCTTCACGATCGCCGTCGGCGTTAACAGAGTCAGGTAAACTGTCGGTGCCGCGAACACTAAGTACTTCCATGTTTGACTGAACCGGTGGTAAGCCACAATGGCATTTGTCATGGTAGGTCCTCTACTGTCTCAGGAATCCGAAAGGTTAATGCTCCGACATTCGTTTCACAGGGATCTCGCCCCGTATGTTCTAAACCAGCGCCGTTGAGGTCGCTGCCTCTACTCTATACTGAAAGTAATGGATCGTGACCTTCCCATCTATCGGAACCTTTAACTGTCAGTACTTTCGAATGCTCGCTGGAATGCTCGCTGCCAATTTGTACTCCTGGGGTCCGAGCCACAACCAGGGTGGAAGCGCACGTCTAGCATGTGTTAATCATTAGTATAGGTAGGTAGGTTCCCAGTCCGACCTTGCGTGCTAGGTCATATGGCCATAGCCATCGACAAAGTTCACGCAGAGATTGTCGCGCATCCAGCTAGGGCTTCCCGGCTGCTTGCACCACAAGAACTGCGGGACCTTTAGGACATAGACGTCTGTCTCTGATGAAGATATGGGCATCGCGCCTCGTCCCTCATCAGAGCCCTGGACCGGAGATAACAGAATGATTCGGGATATCATTCGCGGGACCGAGGTTCTGTGACCAGGTCTCCGGTGCAAAGTCAGAGAAGCTAAGGGGGTACCGCGTAGCCAAGACGCACACTTTATCACCTTGGTTTCCGCAATTGGCGGCTGTACTTCAATCTAGGGGTCGGCCGTCCTAACAGTCCATAGGCTCGAGGTGCCTGCATGGACCCGATGAATTGGCCTCCCTTACGGCAGACAGAGCGCACACGCGTCGATCGTCGGAACTCAGAAAGCGGGGGGCATATCAAGCTCGCCATAGACTTTTGATCAGTATTCAGTCAGTACGGAATGTTCTCGCAGTGATGCAAGACCTCCCGCTTGCTATTTGGACGCTGTACAGAGGTTCTGCGCTTTGCCCAGAAGGGCATGTGTGGGCGCCAGTATATCGCCACCATCAATCGCTGAGGTCACTATGTCTGCTATGACAGTGAACGAAGCACTGCGGAAGGGCTGGACCACCTCAACCATCGCGATCGCGAATTGATTTTACTCAGGAGCGACGTCACGATGAAGCGTACCGTACAGAAAGGACGCGACCCAAGCTCCTATAGTCAAGTAGCGGTGGCATACTAAGAGCGAGGTTCGCAAGGGCAGTCCTACCGTCAAGTTGGTATGACAAACGGAGACAGCCTCTCATTCATTCACAGTATAACATCTGGATCTGGGGCTCTTGAATGCTGCATGTCTTACGATAGCTTTGGCCGAGATTACTGTGATAAGTTCCTCCTATACGTCACGGAGAACTTAAGCCGATCAAGCATGCAATGACAGGTCTTTTGTTGCCTCGCCTCCCCCATTCCGCACATTGTCGGGCGAAAGCTATTCGCTGCTGACAGTACGATTGTCCTGACGTTTCACTATTATCGTTGCCTGTCGCAGATGGTCAGTCGACATCCTCTCCGGCATCATTATGGGACCGGCCATTGCAAAAGGGCCTCACCTTTTAGCCGACGGATGAAAACATTCAGTCACAGCTCAGCGTCCTTTAGGCCAATCCACAGTGAAAGCAGGCTAATACCATCCCGCAGAAACGGCTAACACGGCCGCAATATGTCTGCAATATAAATTCTCGCCTTAGTTGAGCACCAATGCCTGCCGCAGCCGTGGCTGCGGCTATTTCGAAGTGACAATCACATATGCCACACAGAACCCGCTCAATCCCGCGCGTCAAAGCGATCACCTTCAGATCTCGTCACTGGAACCCAGGGCACTGTCGAATCTCCTAGACCTTCCACGCGCACAGGTACCTTCGGGTACGACGGTGACTGAAGCGCAACATCTGATGGGTCAGACAACAATACACGAAGTGAGACATAAGTCCTCCCGGCTTGGTCATCACCTCGCCACGGACTCGGAATATTACAGCGGCCTGGCCGAGTATCGCAACTATCCCGCAGGCCCGGGGGTAGGTGGGCTGAGTGACTGGACATGTGTGGCCGGTGTAGCCCCTAACCCTGCCCGAGTGTCTCACTGACAAGACGCAGTGGACGAAATGACAATAAACTCGCCAGATAGGGAAGCTACTGCCGGTGGCTCGTCAAGCCACCACTCACTGTGTAGCGCTCACTGCCACAGTAGGTATAATGAGACACACCCCTGTCCTGACGGTATAAAAGCGGGCGCAATGGCCCTCAGAACTTCAGGTCGAATCCAACCCAGGAATTTGCCTACCTTCGCATTCAACAGCCCTCATCTCCATCCATAAGCCATGGACGCTTTCACCAACTACGCCGCCGACGCGGTCGAAGTCATCGTCACCACTGGCCCCGTCGACGAGGAGAACGGCGGCAGTGGAGGCAACAGCTACTGCATCGTCGCCTAATGAAGCAGCACTAGTGACTGGTAAGTCACTGTAGCGCCTAGCTTCCGATGAGGCTTTTGCTGACGGTGAGCCATTGTCAGACTGCGTCATGATCTGTGGATCTGGACAATGTGGTTCGCGGAGAATTCCTAAGCATGATGCGGAACAGTCATAGAGGAATCAAGATGGGGCATACTTTCGATCTTCATCGCCGCTGTCTTCGCAGGATTCTTGGGATTGTATTTTATGAATGCAATTTGTAACATTTTATGAATGCAGACCTGGGCCCATTCTCGCAGATATCCTGACAGGTGAATTATGTTCAGCGGGCCAGAGCATTCTTATAGCAGAGTTCAAGCCATCGGAGACAAATGAGAGGGATCACTCCGATGGATAACTTGCACATACAAAGGAAAAGGAACGTCATCATACAATATCCGTACTAGAGAAGGCGCCGACCTATCTTGCGTGTAGTCGTCCTATCCAATGTCGGTATATAGCGTACAAGAGTATACAGCCGAACAGAAGCAGACATGAAGTGGTCCGGAAAGACATAGTAGACATTTCGTGTTCGACCTTGATGCCACAGGGTCATGGGAATGATAACGGTGAGCGTGACGTCAGACGTACCACAGAAGTGAACGGCGATAAAATAGGAATCGTGAAGTGAGCGGGTGCCCGGCTGGGCTGTTGCTGGGTATCGGACTTGACCAAGAGGAATAAAAGCAGCGAGAAGCCGGTGAACAGTATTCCCAACAGTACGAGCTGAATACGAGGACATTATGAGGAGGGGAGTCAATGAATAAGCTGCATAGCCTACGATGAATATCTCAAGTTTCGTCTGGCCTTTCTTGTACATCTTCCTGAGGTCCGATATTTCGCGCTATAAAGGGTGGAAAGAATGAGCTTATGCCCAAAACTAAGTACGCACAGATTCTACGTGCCGAACGTTTGACCTCCTCTGAGGTGATTATCTGTCGCACTTCCTCATTGTGCGCTGCCTTGGTATATAGAAGAGTTTCTGCTACGAGTGCACGAGCGGCCCAATACTGCTCCGCTTCGGTCTGTGGCCTAACAAAGGCGACAGACTGGGCTGCCGAAGATTTTCTTGTACTGTCCAGTGTAGTGGCATACTGAAACGTTCTGGACTGCAATCATGTGCATTAGAATTACATCAGTATACTCCAAATTGTGAGAAACCGACAACTTACTGTGGTGGAAGTTACGGTCCAACTTGGTTGCTTCTTCGCACCTGTCGCGAACGTTTGATTCTCAGACGCCACAATCCCTTCAGGCCTAGGTTTCCTGAGCTTATTCATACAAAAGGTAGTACTTGAGCACGCGTGGGCTCAGGGAGAGTTGCGAAACTGCGAACTTGAACTTGCGAGAAGACCTCGAGGGGGCGGGGAAGCACCTCGGATCAACAGCGTGAATACCACGTGTAGCGGACTGGCCTTCCCCGACAAAGCTCCGTCATGGTCAACGTTCGGTCGTACTTGGCTTTCTCTCGCAGCTTTTCCGTTATCGACAGCGCCCACCTTTCCAGCAGAGATCACCCATGTTTTGAGGGTACCAGACTGTGTTTGAATGCCCCGTGAAGCTGCTATCTCAACCGTGGAAAGCTACCAAATGGACACTCGGTCTCGAAGTACTTTGGGGCGAGGACTAGACGAGGAGGGGGAGTCGGATGGAGGAACACTAGTTTGGGAGAGTGCACCCTTGACAGAGCCTGTTAGTAGCGACAAAGGTGAATATAACTTGCATTAAACTCCTGAGCGATCGATGGAGAATGCGTCTCGAGAGCTTCGGCGGCTGGGAGAACTCACGTACGACAGGCGTGCCAGACTGATACAGAGTAAGGCGCCTATGTGATTACGACCGGAGGATGGGAGCTCGCTCTCTTGGTCCTCGAAACATCCATACATATGCTAATCCCTGCCCGTTTAGACCAGACTCGCAACCTCAGGCTTAAGCTAGGAATTTCCTTCTTTCTATTCGGCCTCATCAATAACGGTAGCTTCCTCTATAATATGGTGATTGAATCTGCCTCTCAACCCATTCCCAGTGCTGTATGTTATCATACTCTCTGCTGCCTTGGACCTCGTGCCGCCGTCCACCCCCAAGGGCATAATAGCATTTTGTAACATCTTCCCAGCTCTCATAGCGAAGGTCGGTTGGCCATATGTATTGAAGGGCCAGATACGCTATGCCAGACGCTTAGTTGGCTGCTGTTTGCTCAGCGTACTGGGGATGGTGGTTCGTGTTCTCGCCTGAGACGAAGATGCCAGCGTCACTTATTGGCGTGTAGGTGGTTGCCTTATTCGATAGTCTATTCATGAGGCTCCTCGGTATCTCGTTAGCTTCGTTCTCCTCTGGTACGTGTACCTCGGCTGCGACCGTTGCCACTAGATGCTCATCCAACCTTTGACTGCAGGGTTGGGAGAACTGACTTTCCTGCAGCTGTCCACGACATACCCTTCTGGGGTCGCCGGACATGGCATTGGGTATGCGTGACCCTAACTTGGCCCACGTGAAGCTCATGCTTTTGACCAGGTATTTCGCCTCCGGGACTGGAGCGGCAGGTCTTGTGGGCGCCCTCATTTGGTGGGAGGTCCGCGGTCTCGGTGTCCGGACAGGTGTCGGCTTATCAGCTGTAAGTAACGAAGCGGGCACCAGCACCAACAATTAACCCCTCTATCCCTTGCAAGAATAGGTGATGCCATTCATTATTCCCATCACTTATTTCTTCCTTCTACCGCGGCGCGGGGTCTTTACTGGTACCGCCGAAGTCGCGTCCTCCCCAGCACTATACGTGCCTCTTCCCGACAGCGACGTCACTACTGAAGAAGAAGAAGAAGATAGGGTGGCCGTTCCCGGCGAGGCGATAATCGTAGCGCTCTCCCTCGACGATAAGTGGAGGCTGGTCAAGCCGCTCTTGGTCAACTACATGCTCCCGCTGTGTAAGGGATTTCTGGCTTTTACATGCCATGAGCATCGCTGACGGTGCTCTTCTGTAGTTTGCGTATATACAGTAAGTCTGTCTGTGTCAGAGCCTGGCGTTGACTCATTTATGGATGACGTCTCCGCGCAGTTCGAATACACTATCAACCAGGTGAGGTGGTATCCGTCGTGTAGAAGATATTGACCGACTCAAACCTGATTCACCAGGGCATAGCACCGACGTTACTGTATCCCGTCCCAGATCCGTCTAGTTACCCCTTGCTCAGCAAGATAATCCACTCTATCCGAGACTATTATCCTCTCTGGCAGGTGAGCGAGTTCAATTATCATGAAGTGACCTCGGCCGGAAACAAAGTGTTCGTAGTTAGTGTACCAGACAACCGTGTTCCTCTCCCGCTCGTCGATTTCACTCGGCATCTCTGCTCTCCCGAGAAGGCTCTTGCCACTACCGTCGATCATCCAATTCTTCATACTTTGTATTCTAGGTCTGGAATCCGCGAGAGGCATCTTCGGGGACTTGGAAGGCAGAAGCGTGTCCTTCGTCTTCGCGCTGATCAGTCTAGAGGGAATATGCGGTGGAATGGCATAGTAAGCGCGATAGCATCCTATATGCATATTCTCTCTGATCAGGCCTTTATTGCTTTCGATAGTGTGAACGTTTATCATCAGATAAACCAAGAAAGATCCGATCCCGGGGCAGACCCGGAGCGCGCCAAGCAGGAGAGGGAGTTCAAGATCGGTTCCGTGGGCTTCGCGGACTCGTTGGGGATACTGTGCGCCTCGATAGTGGCAGTACCTACTGAGGTGGAATTGTGCAAGGCCCAGGTGAGGAGGGGGAAGACTCTGTGCCAGGGTTTATAGTAACGTGAAGTGTCGTAAAACCATTGGTATTTATTTGTCTTGAACATATATTCTTGATGCCCTATATAATAGTAGATTTGTAGATATCCCGTTTGGGGCGGACGTCGCGCATATTGGTAGAGGGATTCCGTCTGCACACGTCCAGGTCGGGAAACGGCTCGAGTTCACCCTGGATCAGTCGGATATCTCTATAATTTCCGGCATGTGCATGTGCACATCCTGCTCCGTCGAGCGTGGCGTGCGAGATGAGATAGCTATACTCGAGAAGGCCCTTGCGACGTCGCTTCCAACAGAATTGGGAGGTCCCGCTGCCGAGTGTACCGGTGCAGGTTGGTAATCCATGTCAATATCTTCATCTTGGAAGAAGTCAACTGTGACATCTTTGGCAATACGGCCTTTCGGGCGAAGTGTGCCTATGTGAGTGGACATTTGTTGGGACGGTGTTGCCGCAACTGCCTCAGAGAAGCCTTTTCGTTTGGGACTGGTCGGCGGGTTCTTGTGTTGCCTGAGACCTGCATTTGGTCTCCCCTTCGTTGCGGTCGTAGGCATACGCTTTGACTTTGCTGGACCTGGTTCGCCGTCACTCTCGGAGGCCGCGCTGATTCCGCTCAAGTCAAAGAACTCTCGCTCATCGTCTTGCTCTCGTTGGGGCACCTTCTTAGGGCGTCCCCGCTTGGCGGGCTTTCCGGACGAGGTGCTAGCAAACGAAACCAAGGGAGGAGGACTTTGTCCGATACGCGTAGTATCTTTCGCTTTCGTTTTCTTACGTCCCCGCTCTGTCCCTGCTCTGGACTGAGGCTTCGTCCGGGGAGAAGGAACACCGTCCAGTTCGGACTGCTCGTCGATCTCACTCACTGCATCGATGTCGAAGAACTCCCCGACATCCTCGGCCGGTTCCTTCGTTTTGCCCCTTCCACGAGACCTGTTTGCCTTCTTCCTCGACACTTTCTGAGTTGTCCGCTTCCGAGGACTGGTCTGACTCGAATTCACTTGCTCGGCAGGTTCGTCGTCATCCTCACTGACATCCATCGCAGCCCCAGCCCTCTCTTCGTCGTCTTCGTCGGCCGGGAGAGGCCCCACACCTCCGGATTTGAGCCTGTAGCATCCCTTGATGATGTCGCCCCACAGAACGTAGGTGTGACAAGATCGGCATGTGCCCCCTCTGGGTATCATGGCGTGCCCCTCTGTCTGGGAAAGGAAGTCTTGCGCCAGGCAGGTAAGGTGTGCTACCGATGTGCATTCTCCATTCGGGCACAATGCAATTTCCGACGGATCCTACCAAAATCGGGCTTGAATGGCATACAGCGGTGCCAACGAACGATGTCACAAAGCTTACCAGCGGATCATGCAGTTTCGCACTGCATACCATACATCGCAGAGCTGCACCCGCGTTCAAGATACCCTTGTACTTTTCCAGGTGCAACGAAGTGAATGTATCTGTACGTTAGCGTTATTATACGAGTCTCGACGACAGTAGTCGTGAAGTTGCGACCCACCGTCTGTCACATCAATGGGACCTGTTCTGCCAGTTCCTTTAAGTCCGGACTTTCCATCTACGCCTTCCAACTCAGTGGCGTGGGTGAAACCGCGAGGTAAAGGCAGGCCATTCGCATCTATCTTACGAGATACTTCGTTCCATGCCTTTGCAGCTTCTTCGGTGAATAATTTAACGTGGAGAGGCCAAGATGAGTAGGGGTGCGATGCGAGCATTGTGCGCGCCACTCTTTGACGAGACGTAGCAAAATGAACATTAGGGTCTGTTTGAGTATAATAAGGAAGAGCAAATGCACACCCACAAGACACTTGTCTTGAAGTACTTCTGGGGACTTGTGAAGAGGTTAGCGCCTTTATCGTCTTTAAGATGTCGCGACAGATGCGGATGCTGCCACGCCCACTCGAATTGCAGAGCCGCTAGTTTGGAAGGAAATCCGTGGACTATCATTTGCATCACCCATGGTCGACTTCTTTGCGTCTTCCATGCGCCTTGGCTTATCTCTCCGTTGTGTTGTCTGCATGTGACGAACGATTAAATACAGAATAACCAAGGCCAAAGCGCAGGCTCACCGGATGCGTCTCGGAGGATTCGGGGTGCTTCCGATATATGTCCTGCCCATATTATGTCGGATGAGAAACTTCACACTGGGTAGACAGAGAATCGCACGCATTTGACCGCGGGGTACGGATCGATTTTAGCAAGTAGCAAGCGTAGAAAGGGGGAAATGTATGATCAGCCAAAGACGACCTGGCGTTGACCCTACGAGGTGCCATGTCTGTGTCTCGATTGCACTTAGTAAGCAGGTGACCGCGGGCATTTCTGAGGGGCCATAATAAGTCGTACCGCTTTAAATCCTTCGAATCGATGCGGGATACCAGCAACTGGCAGTAGGAAATCTAGAGACTTGATGAGGCCTGATCATGATGAGGCGCGCCCTTGGTGAGGTCACGTGGTGGAGAGCGTGTTTAGGAGTATTTCCCTTTCAAGTATGAGCGCTTGAGCAGTGCCCGACTTCCGACTCGGAGTCCGACTGCGAGTCGGAGTCATTGTCCGTAATTGTACTCTGTAGCTACCTCTGCTTCGCCCTCACTCATACTGCTGGGCTCGATGTGAAGATGCGGGCAAAGAATGTAAACGACCTTCCGCTGGAAATTATGTACGAAGTTCTCGCGGAAGTCCTTCTTGAATACTTTCATGAGATGTTTACACTGCGCGACGGCGCAGACTGGGACGCCCTGCGAAGTCTGTGGCTAGTGAACGCAAAGTTCAAGGACACTACTTCCTTGATTTTGTCGGACATATTTGGCGATCCGGGACTGGGTAGTGATCGGTCAGTAATAGAAGCTCGCCTGAGGTTCTCATTGACTGACACCTTTCGCTAGTCGTGTTTGCCGCTATCAAGCGCTCGTGAAGGCAGTGAGCGACCATTGTCGTGCTATGCGCTACAGCTCCGCTACAATGCCCAACGTCGCACACTCGAAGTCCGTCACGGCGCGATATGAGGACATATTGAAGACACCTTTCATCCCCCTCTACATCACAACAATCATGACGGCCGCCGGGCTTGGCGCAGTGAGAGGCATCGCAGACATGCTGCCCATGCCCGCTGATAAACTGGCATCTGTGTACAAGCATATCGCAACTACGATGCACAGTACTTGCCAAGCACTCAAAATATTACCGAGAGCGATCATGAGGCGCAAGCTCAGCATAATAGTGGAGCAAAACTGCAGGCTCATTACTCATGGTATGAATAATTGAGTTTTTAATGCGCTCAGTCGAGTATCATGCGGCGCCTTTAGCCCTCATCCTCTCGCAAGGCTGTACAGAGCTGCAACATGCTCTGGAAGAGTACGAAGAGGTGACCTTATCTGATTCAGAGTTCGTGGATGATGAAGATGCTTTTGTCCGAGCGAGTCTTCAGGTAAATCACCATACGTCTCAGATACCACAGAACTCATCGGAACCGCCGTGGCTAGGCTGTACACAAGAAAATCGACTATACTCTGCGATCAATGGAGCACGGGCAGTTCGCTGCGCCAGTCCCAGAGCACCTCAATAATCATATATGTGAGATGCATGAGCGTACTCCGCCTACAGACGACGAACTTCGTGAAGCCGCTAAGGTACGTTCATTCCGTTTACCCAAGGAATCAGTGGGATGCCGATCATACATGCTAGATGGTCCGGGTTTTCCGGAATCCGATACTTACCTTGACGAACCGCATGCCGACGGAAGGTGACCAGCTTAGCCTTCTCCCTCGTCTCCACCGGCTGGCGCGGATGTTTGACGAGGAAGCAGAGATTGTGGCAGACGATCAACTTCAAATCGTCGTATAATAGGACGAGAATGGATTTCGTAGACGGTAGCATCTGTCCTGTTTAATTGGTTCGTATCCCATTTCTCGCCCGCATTTGCCGGAATAATATCTCGTTGATTAGAAGGTTACTAACTCCAACCGTCGTCCTCCATAGTATCTACAGTATCGCATTCAATACACCAATACACTATTCCTCCAGCTTATGTGGCTGAACTTGTCTTCATCGCCAGATAGTGTCTTGCTAATGCACTGCTAAGTATCAGACTACTCTAGATTAAACTTGAACGACTGAATTTCACGTTAACCCTGCTATTGGTAACTAATGCCACCCACACATTGTGGCGAGGTTCCAAGCACACTTCGGCATGATGGCAGAGGTGCTGCTTAGTGGACAAAGCATATTGTCTTACCTAACGACGTATTGTTTGGGTTGCCTCGAACGGTCAAAGCAACTTGCCACTTAGGCTTTGCGAGCCACAGGGTATTTGCATAACTTTCACAGGCTCTAGCTTATATTCTGGACAGTCTCCATTCCTTTCCATTGCCACCACTTCTCGCTCCAAGATGGCTACATCCCAGCCACCACCACTTCCTCTGGCTCCGGAAATCCTTTATAGCATCATCGCCGACGCTGTACTGTCGTATTTACAAGGTCTGCTGAGCGATATGGATGCTCCTCAGCACAATACCTTGCTCGCCTTGACGCTCGCATGCAAATCATTCCAGGACCACGTTGACGTAGTTCTCTCGCATGCCCTTGGCTCGCCACAAATCGCCGCAGGAAGGAAAGTCGCTGAACGGATGTGCGAGCAGACCCGGATTTCTGACCTACAAATGCTCCAGTGACTTAAAGCTTACCTGGTTTATTCGTATTGCACGACAGCACATCGTGAAGGTATATGCCTTGAGCGACCAACCCGAGGCGGAACTGCCAGCGGAACCAGCACTGGTGGCATTTGAAGATACCTTTCTTGGAATCTGTATAGAGGCCACAAAAGTAAGGGTGAAACACCTGCAGGATCAGCTCACAGGGCTTCATAATGCGTTCCCTGCTTTATGCGACTACTGGCAGAAGATACTGGACAAGACGAACGTCATTTGCACACATGCTGCCAGGATTCCTCACAGTCTCTTGAGCAACCGAGCGCTCGGCGTTTCGGAGCCGGGCTGCAGGCTGTATAAACTCAGTAAGCACCCTACTCCAAGTCATTCTGGCGATATAATCTGATCACATTAGTCGCGGTGGCTGCTCTATCCGGGGAACTCTTGCGGAGGAGCAATGGTAGGTGGCGGGAGGCCCTAACTCAGGATGAAGGGAGAACGGTGCGAGATAGTCAAACATGCAAGGTGAGTATACAATTCCCGGTCGGGGTTCAGGATCTGATTGCTGTCTTCATATAGGACTTCATTGCCAGGACAGACCTGGCATTATCATTACTTGAGCTTGGACAGATGGCCGGCGACTTACTAGGCAGACCTGAGCCGATATACAACAACTTCGTCTGCCCTTACCATGAGCCAAGAGAACCCACAGACGAAGAACTTCGCGAAGCCTTGCAGGTATGCCTGTTCTACCCCTTTTCCTAGCTCTCGTTGAAACGGGCTCTGGCAGGGAATAGAGGACATATATGTGGAACTCTGCTATGTGTTCGAGACGTTGCCCTGTCCACCATTACTCGATGATCGTTGCATCCGCTGGCGCATCTCGGAGATACACAGGAGAACCGGGAGACGGGTGGGACAGATGTTCCTGATACCTCCGGTCTGGCCACTTCGTTAGATGTCGAGCGATGGACTTTGAATCATGTACGCTTTGTATTTGCAGTACAGTAGATCTAATGCATCGAACAGCCAATAAGGAGCCAAGCGTGGCCACTGTGAAGCATTGACGTCATTCATGCAATCCGGCAGACGGCCCGGTTCACCCGCATGCCTCACTTTATTCCCCCTGCTCACTCAGCGAAGAGATCTCTCTATATCTACTGTAAGTCTTCGACCAGCAGGCTTCCTCGAAGTAGGCACCTGTCGGTAGGCATGGCCGCTCAGAATCGCGAAATTACCATCATCGGCGGCGGCATCGTAGGCTGCTCAACCGCCTACTATCTCTCGCACCATCCGTCCTACTCGCCTGAGACGACCACAATCACCCTTCTCGAAGCATCCATCAACGGCGCTGCACAAGGGGCATCTGGAAAGGCCGGGGGACTCGTAGCAAAATGGGCCTATCCGCGGGAACTGGTGGATGTCTCTTTCGAAGAGCACAAACGCCTCGCTGAGACGCACGGCGGCACGGAGAGATGGGGCTGGCGTATGGTTGGGTGCGGGACATGGGAAGGTCGCGGGGAGGTACTGACTGAAGCGGACGAGCCAGGCACGGGCGTAGGGAAGGGTGGTGAGCGCAGGAGCTTGGAGAAGACGCTGGGGCTGGACGGCGGGAGTAAGAGTAAGGCTAGCAGAAGAGCGAAGGGTTTGCCAGATGATTTGACGTGGGTGAAGGAGAGTCTGACATCGTCGTACACCCCCATGGCACCTGCGGGTGACACCGCGCAAGTCCATCCGTACCTGTTCACCATGTCCATGCTCGAGCTGGCCAAGGAGAGGGGCGTGCAGTTCGTCTCCGGCAAGGTGACTTCGATCAACCACGACGGGGGCCAAGTGAAGTCCGTCACCTACACTGAAGTGACGGGCGAGAAACTAACCCGGACGATTCCCTCGACGCACGTCATCCTCACCGCCGGCGCCTGGTCTCCCAATATCCTCCCGTCCCTGCCTATCTCCGCGACGCGTGCACACAGCATCACCGTCATCACGCCCCCAGAAACCGAAATCGCGCCGTACGTCCTCTTCACCGAGATTGTCATGCCCGCCGACGGCCGGACGCGCTCCAAGGGCCGCCCCGAGATCGTCTCGCCCGAGATATACCCACGTCCACTTCCGACGAAAGAGATATACATATGCGGGCCTGGCGATTCCCTAAAGTTACCTGAGACCGTCGACGAGGTCGCGGTCGACCCCGAGGCGTGCGAGGCGATTTACAAGCAGGTTGCGAGCATCTCGCCAGAGGTGAAGAGCGGAACGGTTGATAAGAGGCAGGCGTGCTATTTGCCTGTGGTCAGGGGAGGTGGAGGTCCGATTGTGGGAGAGGTAAAGAGCCTTAAGGGCCTGATTCTTGGAGTTGGCCATACCTGCTGGGTGAGTATCCGTGCTGTCTCGTCGAGGATCATTAACTGAACGGGTGCTTGTCGTTGTAGGGAATCTGCAACGCGCCAGGTACCGCGAGAGCACTATCCGAACTCGTGATGGAGGGGGGGATTAAATGTGCAGACTTGAGGAGACTAGATCCAAGCCGATATTTCAAGTTGTAGAAAAGATCATTTTGCATCAGACCACATGGGAGCTACTAGAACGTCTGGATGGACTTACTGTATTCGTCAAATAGACAGTGGCATGCATCTCTCCCTCTCTGGGATGAAGCTTGGAAATCTAGAAAATGGCTCGAGAGTTTTCAGGCGATACAGATACCGTCACCATCCTTCACCAGTACTAGTCTAGCACCCTTCATCATCCTGATCTTGTTCGAAGGTCGGTGCGAGGCGCCTGGACCTGCATTGGAGCCAGGCGTGTAAGACCATAGATCAAGCACATTCCTGAGATACATCGACAAGTACGCCTCGTGGTAGACCTTGATATAGTCGACGTCGTCCAGTTCGTCACCGGATACCTCGTCGGTCTCAGAATCCAAGACAGGCTCGAAAGCAAGACCGATAGGACCGAACCTCCCGTTCTGGTGGAAGGTCAAGAGGAAATCCCAGACAGCACGAACAGCGTCCGGGTTCCAGCAGATGTACGGTTCCTTGGTCTCTGAATCAGTGGTTTCCACCGAGCGTACTCCGAGCTGACGTGGATCGTCCGAGTCGACGATTCGAGCGGGGGTGGAGCCTTCCCAAGGTGGGTGCCCTCTTACGGGTATGATCCAGGCGCACCGAGCATAGATGTTGCTCTCATGGAAGAATTCCGAGAGATCCACGTCGGATGCAAGTGGAATGGGAGGCTGCCTCGAGTAGGGCTTGAGTGGCAGGAGCTGGATCTGTTGAGGCTGGTGAGGGAGTTGTCCGCGATAGTGAGGCTATAAAAGCGGATGTGTTCCGATGTGAGTGCGTGTACATGAGAGTTGAAGAAGATGGGTGTCCAAGCTTGCTCAAAGAGTCGTCTGCTCGTTCGACTGCTCGAAATGCCCGAGAACAGTCACTCATTTCCTCAATAACACGCGCAACCAGCTCGAACGAGCCACCGAGCAATCCAACGGGCAGAGACCCATATCATCAGTCCCTCTGAGAAAAACATAACGTACAGCTGGTATAAGTCCGTACAGTGAAGGCACTCCAGCGTTGATGCGTCGTCTCCTTCGGGGTCTCGCTTGCCTCTCGCGTTCGCGGTCAGCTTGCTCCACCGCGTAACGTAGCAGGTATTCAAGATCTGTTGACTGAAACTCTTCTAAGTCATCGATTTCCAGCAGCTCATCTGAGGCAGCAGGTGCATTCCACTCCCTAAGTGTACGGAGAGCCTCAGTAGCGTGATCCTCCAGGGTCGGCGGGATTCTTGAGTGGATGTATACCTGAGGCGAGACGACTGTCGGCGGTTGGAGATACACCAGAGAGCCAGAGATGATGCTAACGCACAGGAGAAATCGTATCGAGTCGGATCCACATGACAGACCCTAGATGACCAGCCGTTCGCGTCAATTGCAGATCGAATAAGGCGTCTGCCAAGTTTCATGACAGTCCGATCGACTTGTCTAGAAGAACTCTGCGGAAAACCAGACAAGAAGTTATGCACAGTAATCTCGTCAGATATGGAGCTCATTTCCACGCCCATCGCAGCCTACGGTTTGGTGGTGAAGCAGGACAAACGAACATTCGGAACAAAGACAGTAACTGTGACACGACGCGTCAGTGTTCCCGTGATTGTCCTTGTCACGTAGAACGAACTCATTAACGCGGGAGGTGCCAGTGCTAGGACGCGCTCGGTGCTGAGTCGCACGACTCGCACTGCGGCCCGCGGGCAGAGACCGATGTCCCGCCCGTGGGCATGCCAGGAACATCTCCCGGTTGGGAGAACACTTTCTTAGAATGGTCCTTGCTGGAGCATAACCTGGACATGAAGAATGTCCTTTGAGTGAACAAAGAAAGGTCTACGGGACATTTGCTATTGTCCTCAAATATCAGGGGACATTTGATTAACAGTGTCATTTCATTCATTCTGTCTGTATCATGTTCTGCTCTGGAGCATCCTAGGAGAGGGTTCTCCCACCTGTGCCGTGAAAGACAAATGTCCGGTGGCGGGACACCGGTCCTTGCCCGCTGTGGTCGGCAGATACGCAGTTTTGGTTGGCTTGCTTCCGATCAAGGCGGCTACGGGAAAAACTCGAGGTCCGTATCGCATACATATAGACACGGACGACGGTGATCCTGCTAATCCACTTATGTTGCGTTCAACAGCCTACTCTGCTGCTGCTTGATGCTCGGGGTCGAGCTTCAGGGTATTCTGAACGTGGAACTAATTTGGACCTGAGCTCGTCCATCTCAGACGACAGTTTCATTGTTAGGAACTGCCTCACTTTATAACTTTCTAGCAGGAGGAAGAGACGCGGGAGCGCGCCTATAGAGCCTATAGAGGTATAGTGAGTATTCCAATCATTTAACGAGAATTGACCAAGTAGGGCGCCACCTGAAAACTGGAGACACCGGAATTACATGCAGTGGTTGACCCAGATGACCAAGCTCAGGGAGACTGCCCACTATCATAACTACGCCTTCCGGTGATATAAAGCGCTCGCAGATTTGAGAGACCCGTTTAGATTTTTGCAAGCAACGAGACATATATAAGGCTCGACTAATTAGTCGTCGACCTATCGACAAGACATTGTCAAAGCCGCACCCACAGCATGCTCACCGTGCGTCTGTCTGCACTCGTTCTCTTCGCGTTGGCCAGCCTTGCCATCGCAGCTCCCTCTCCGCAGGAGTGTGGATGTCACTGCCCGCCGACGGAAAGACCTCCCAATTGCGCTCCCATGGGGATATGCCCTATTTGCCTGCCACCTGGCGCGTGAACTGGTAAGTAGATATAACATCATATTTATCCTTGCCACTCACTGAACAGCTTATTCCCACAGGGGAAGATGTTTGCGTATCCGAGAATCAGATCGGTCTCGAGGAGGATCGGTCTTGAATGTTACGGGTAATTCTAGTACACAATTGTACATCTTCGTCGGTTTTGCCTGCGCCGCCTGGAAACGTGCTCTCAACATCGCGAATTTATCTTGGGTGCAAATATACACAGGGGCTGAAATTCTTGAACGCTTGTGCAGATCGACAGTTCACAATCAAGCTTGACTTGAGATGTGCCGATGAGTTTAGTATTTCAGTATGTAGAGTCGCCTGCATTTGTTAGGCAAAGAAATGTACACCGAGCTGCCAATCCCGGTGGAAACTGGTCAAACGGAGCCACGAAGTCCCCGCACATGAGCTTCAGCGTCAGTGGCTTGATGTGCCAGTGGGAGAATCCGAGAACCCCGATTTACAGAGGGAGTCATCTCTGCAAGTATATTCTCAAATTAGTGAGTTTTAGTGGTTTCTACCTGTCAGATAGTCGCAATCGGGACCCATGCTGGTCTGAAGCCTGATGAATGCCTTCGAGTCGTCGATGTGGCTGGTGGCTTGTGGCGGTGTAGCGCCAGCGAAGACTCGGGGTCGGCCGCTGAAGTCATTTTCCCACGCGATCGCCCCTCGAGCTGCAGCCACATTCACAGAAGAGGACTAGCTATACTCTGAGCTCGCGTTCATCCACCTCTGCGATGTGCTCAAAAATTATTAGCTCGAATAGATATTACGATTTTTAAGGTGTTCTGGATATGCTCTTGGTTGAGGCACATCCCTTGGCATATGTTACTCGCCATTCCATGGGTGGCGAATCTCACGCCTGGCGCCTGTTAGGAAGCAGACCCCGATGGTCTTAGTGCGATAGATTCACTGCTTGCTCAAGTGGTTATGCATAGTAATCGAAATTTTCTGATGTCTGTAATTGCTCGCGTACGCGTGCCTCTGATAGTCCTCGGCGTGGAGACGGCGTCCGTGTCCTCCTATCCACTCCATCAGGCCTCACGCTCTATCAGACATAGGTCATCTGCATGTACCTTTGGGGATAACTCATCTTATGGATGGAATTCAACTATCTATCTTCTTTCCCAGGACAGAATTATTCGTCCCATGACTCTGGGCACTGGCGTATTTAAGCAACGAGCTGCGCACTCACTTGTAACCCCAGTCATAGGAAACGCCCATATCCTGAGATGCGCTCACTCTATGTGATCTCTGCGAGTTTGCTTGCTGCATGCATCCTTGCCGCAGCCCAGACTTGCGTTACTTGTCCTCCGACAGTGGTCGATGACGGAGTGACCTATTACTTCGAAGATGATTCCACAGACCTCCACGGACTGACCTTCTGCATGTGAGCCCCATTCATTCCTTTACACCTGTAATGAGTTAAGATTCACTCACCGACTGCAGCTATCTTCCTGGCTCCGATGGCCCGCCCTTGACTCAACTAGCTTGTGACTACTATGTGAGTCGGTAAAAGTCGCAATTACAACGTCTGACATTCAGATGATCTCTCCAGGCCAATGGGACTGTGTCATCCTCGAGCCCGTCCTATTGCCCGTCCAGCACTGATCCCACGGAGCATTCGTGCTACTAACGTGCACACTGCGGTCGCCGATTTATGGAGTTGTTGGAAGTCGAACGATGTTTTCCCGAACGGAGAGATCTGATACTGGAGAGCATAGTTACGCTAAATTACACAAGGCGTTAAAATACACAATGATACCGAACAGTAAGCTACCCACAATGCGCGAAGGGTACTTATGAAGCATCATGAAAGAACATCTAAAGCGCGTAAATGAAATCCTCATTCTGCCTGTCCGTCAGGTCGTCAAAGGCCTTCTCATTGATCGCGGCCGCGTTCTCGTGCTGTGCCTCTTCTCCTCCTTTCTCTTCCAACGCCTTCTCCCTCATCTTCAACGCTGCCTTGGAACTCTCCAGGGAAGTGTCGATGACTTCGCCCTTCTTGCCCATACGCCTCCGCTTGGCGGCTTGCTTTCTGTTCAGGATGTGCAGGTAGAGAGCGGTCACCAGAGTAATAAGCGCGAGCGCAATCCAACATGTTAAGCTGAGATTGGCATGTCAGATTCGGCCATGTCGCAGAAAAAGTGCAATATTTACCTGCCAATGAGACCACGGTGGTAGTACGGAGATTCCTCAGTACGGTAAAGCTGTGGCCCAGCAATCTGCATGGCCGTCAGGTCAAATATCGACATAACTTGACGTAGCGATACTTACGTTCCCTGCGCATTGGGCTACAAAGATAACTGCGGTGATAGCTGTTTTCTTGGTATGCCCTGCAGTGTTCTGAGATGCCCCTGGATATCACGGACGTCAGTCCGGGTTTCGAGCGACCATTCACTGGACGTACAAGTGTACAACATAGGCTCTGGGAGAGCGGGTCAGAATGTGAAGCCAAGGCCTTTAAAGCAAATACGACTCACGAAGACCGGTAGAGAATGACAACTGCCCAGGAGAACCAGAAGAAATGACCGGTGAACGCGCGTCTTTACCGAGGGACCATGACAGGCACGTACAACATAATAGCATCCCAGCAGCGTATTCTTCAGCTCTGTACCCCTACCAAGGACCCTCAGCGCAGCTGCGCCAGCAATAGGCGGCAGGGACAAGAAAAAAATAACGGGCCATTTCAGCTTGATTCTCTGCGAGATCAAGGCTGAGAGGAGAGTGATGATAACCTGAAAAATCCCGAAGGGAGCGTTGAAGAGGATGGTGTCGAGGGTTCCGAATCCAAATCCTACGATGACATTTCTGAGATTCGTGAGGACTATGAGATTAGGTTAGGTTACGTACCTTTAATTATCAGTGGACCGAAGCTGCTCAGACCACCGCTCGGCAGCCTGTTCTCCGGATTAGATAGACTGAAGACAAAGATAGCTCTGCAGACATACGCGCAAAGGAATAGCAGCGAGAACCACAGGTAGGTCTTGAAGTCAGTGGCTAGGTCCCATACGTGGTCCCACTTCCACACTTTAGCTTCGGTGCCCTGCGGACATGATGCAATCAGAATCGAGGAGACGAGAGAACCGAACGAGTTAAATCACCTGATTGTTCGAGCGCAGCCGTTCGAGAGCAACGACCTTCTCTTCGTGACTGAAGAACCGCGCCTTCGTGGGGGAGTCCGGGAGGACAAACCTGTGTAACAGAGGACTGAGCATATATTCTACGCTTTTCAAAGAGCGACGGGAGCGTACAAGACAACGAAAGAGCAAGCAACAGTCAATAAACCAATGAATAGGAAGATCGTCTGGATAGAGCAGGAAGAGTGAATGCGGTGCGGTGCGCTGGCCACTAGCTATGAGACCTTACCTGATAGGGTTTCAACCTTCCATCAATCTGTCCCAGGCCATAGGCCAAGAGGGATCCAACAGCACCGGCAACGCCGTTCATGGCCATCCATGCCGAAAGCCGCAGGGTCTGTTCCCTCCGACGCCACCACATCTGCGTGATAATGATGAAGCATGGCGCTAGAACAGATGACAATAAAGAATCAATAAAGAATCACAGGCAGCTTGAAGACACGTACCGACAGTGGCTTCGAATATACCCAGTAGGAACCGCACGGCCAGAAGGCCACCGAAGTTCTTAGCGGCCGCCGTGCAAGCCACTAAGACACCCCACATGAAGACATGAACAAACACTAAGAAGTCTTTGAGAGCCAGTTCCTGGTTAAAAATGACCACTTACGGTACTTGGCTACCGGGAGCTTGACGAGGAGATAAGAGGAGACCGGCTGCCACACCAGCTGCGCAACATAGACGATACTACCCAGCCAGCTATACTGGCTGCCATGAAGGTCTACGCAAGGCGTGATAAGTGATATGAAACTCTGAGATGACAATATACTCACGAGTTTCTTGCACAATGTTGAACGCCGACGTGTACGACAGGGATGATCTACAAAGGATCCAACGCGGTCAGCAGAGTGGGTCACGCAGAACGGGGTGGACGTACTTGTCTAACTGCTGCAAGAAATAGACCATGAGGATCACGGGCATACACCACCTATCAATCTTCCGAAGAACGCGAGCATCCTGTTCTGCCGTAATATGGACAGGCGTGGAGGCGTCACCTAGCACATCCAGAGCTGCGTCTCCGACCCTCTTAGATGATCCGGTGGTAGAAGGCATGACTGGCGCAGCATTCTCAATGTACGTCGGGGCATCGACCTTCTTGTCCGTGTCGGACGCCATCGAGGAAGAGCGAGGGAGAGACATGGTCAAACGGCCACGGATGCTACCTGCAGCTCTTACTCGATTTTATCCCCGCGCTGGCAAAACCATATCGCTGGTCACGCGCTTCGTCTCATATTGAATCGAATTTCTTCGCGCTAAAGTCTCTCCAGGCCATCTCGTGGACGCTGCTGGATTGAACTGACGCCAGACAAGCCAATGAGCCTTGAAATCATAGGATGGCGAGCAGACAGCGCCGGTCCGTGCTCAGACACGTATTGTGCGACACCCACATGTGTCCATGCATCCTGCCTGAGCCGCGCTGATAGCCTGCGTCAGGAGGACGGTTAAGTGGACTTCAACTCTTATGTCTTGGATCAGGAACACGACGCGCCTGTGGATCTCGATCTGCTTCTCGTCGGGAAGGAGTGATCTCCTGCCCCGGGCCATCAATCGACCCCGCATTGAACGTGACGCGGCGCGGCCGGCCCGGCCGCGACACCTGATATTCGAGTTAACAGTTTCGATCTGTCCAAGTCCTTATATCAGTCTGAGTCGGTTTAGAGGATGGACGCATACCTTTGCACCCTTTGTTCCCCGGAATTACTGCATCAATGTCGTCCTCGAAGCCTCTTGGTGGACGCACCGCTATCGTCGGTACGGGCAGTCGCGCGGCGATGTTCGTCCGCGGCATCGTTGCTCGGCCAAAGAGCAGCGTCGTAGCCATCTGTGAACCGAATGCCGTGCGAGCAAGCTACTACAATGACCTCCTGACCTCGCTGGGTGCGCCGACGGTGCCTGTGTACAAGCCTGACCAATTCAAGGAGATGTTGGAGAAGGAGAATGTGGAGACGGTGGTTATTACCTGTGTTGATGCGTTGCACGATCTGTATATTGTACCTGCGTTGGAGGCGGGAGGTTCGTGTTCGCACAGAACGATGGTTAATGAAGCACTGACGATGATATAGTGCGGGTTCTCACCGAGAAGCCTATGACAACAGACGTCGCCAAATGTCGACGTATTCTGGAGACCGTGAATCGGACTGGCCGCCATTTGACCGTCACGTTCAATTATCGGTGAGTCTGTTAAGTGCATTCCGATCAAATACATCTGAGTCTCTCTTAGATACAACCCAGTTCACGAGTTAGTCAAGCGAACCATCGCAGCTGGGGAGATTGGCGAAGGTCAGTGCGACGCTCTTGAATCACATGCGCTGCTGAGGGACAACCTGTAGTGCTCTCCGTTCATTTCGAATGGCTCCTGGATACAGTCCATGGCGCAGACTATTTCCGACGCTGGCATCGCCAGAAGAGCAATTCCGGAGGTCTCATGGTGCACAAATCAGGGCATCATTTCGACCTGGTGAACTGGTGGATCGACGCTGAGCCTGAGACCGTGGCCGGGATGGGTCGCCTTGCCTTCTACGGAGAGGAAGCCGGCAAGAAGCACGGCTGGGCTAGATCGTACGAGCGAGCCCGCGGGTCAGCCGAGGCAAAGAATGATCCGTTCGCCATCGACCTCGAGGGAGATGAGACCCTGAAGAAGATCTACGCCGACGCTGAAGGGGAGGATGGCTACTATCGAGATCAGAACGTAAGTGCGCCTGTAAATCCGGGCCCTGACGAAAGTCTAAAGCTAAATCATCCAGGTCTTCGCGCCGGGTATCGGTATTGAGGATGACATGAGTCTCCTCGTGCGGTATAATACGGGTGCTGTCATGACATATCATCTGGTGAGTGACTCCATGTTTATCCACTGAAACTGACACGATATAACATCTGCCCAGACCGCGTATTCACCCTGGGAAGGATACCGCGTCATGTTCAACGGCTCACAAGGTCGCCTTGAACTTGAAGTGGTCGAGTCGGCATACCGACTGGCGGAAGATCCACAGCTCACCGGCGGACAGATCCACGGAAAGGCAGCGCTACCGAACGCCGGGGGTGCCACAGTGAAACTGCATAAACTGTGGCAAAAGCCGGTGCTACTGCCGGTGCAAGTCGAGCATGGGGAACACGGGGGTGGAGACCGCCGCATGCTCAGCGTCCTCTTTGGTCCCCAGCCGGGCGAGGAGGTGGATACGGGAGACGCGTCGAAGCAGGGCGCGAATGAGCGGGATGGGGCCATGGCTTTAGCTGTTGGACTAATGGCGAACGAGAGCTTCAGGACGAACCAATTCGTACACATAAAGAGCCTGGCACTGCCGCTTTAGTCCGCGAATTGCTTATGTGAAGTGTGTATCTTCTATGATGTTGCTTATACGACGTTAGGTGCTAGCATGCTGTTGCCTCGAGTTCGCTCGGCCAGACGCAGAGCGTGTTAGAGAAGCGCTAAGCCTAAAAATAACCCCTATCTATCCCGATTTCCCATGGCAGTGGCAGGTCCGACTCCCAGGAGGATCGCCAGAAGCAACGGCTTCAAGTTTCTGCACGCGATCAAATTCTAGATCTAAGCTAGATAAAGGTTCGAAGCAAGTCTCTCATAGACCAGCTAGGTGCGAAGTTTCAAGTCGTGCAAAGGGGAAAAATAAAGGGTTAAACCTTTCAAATGCTTCCAACACAGTCGGGCTTCATAATGAAACTGCTCTTCCGTTGCCCGATTTTTTCAACTACAGAGACAAGCCGCAGTCTGGATTTCCGAGGGGACAGGAATAGCGCAGGTCCGTAACGGGATTGGAAAGGACATCCGCACAACCGTAGCCGTTGACTTTGGTCGGTTCTCAGGACACCTCCGCCATGGCGGGAGTTAACAGAATATCGGAATTCCCACGGCGATTTCACTCTTGGCTCGATATTATTCACCGAACACGCTTCATAGCAGCCAGGGCTTCATAACTTTATTATCGATGATCCTCGAACTGCTGACCGCCCTTCATGGTGCGTGTCCTCGCCGTATTTTCGCAGATGGTCATGATGTTCTGATACGTCAAAGATTTCAGTGGCGTACCGATATACTTATAGGTCGTGGGTGGGCATAGCACAAGTACCGTGGACCTTCTTCACCTTGAGGTCCCCTACATAATCCGACAGCAAGCGAAGCGTCGCACCTCCTCCCCGAACTTCATCTCGGCTGCGGACCACATATACCCATGCAGCTTGCTCCGGTCAACATCCTTGATGTCCCTCCAGAGGTCTTGTACGACATCCTAGCGGACCCGATCGGCGAATTCTTCCATCAGTGGTTCACCCAGACCGACTGTACATCCAGTTGGGACGCTCTCTCAAATATCAGCCGAGTGAATTGCCTGTTCTCGGAAGTAGCCTCGCGCGTCCTCCAGCACGCACTCGGAGCGATACGCGAAGCGGATGGAAAGTGAGTGCGCCAAGCCAGCTCAGAACCCGATCCACCACCTGACTGACGTAGGTGGAACCCCCATCCTCGAATGGTTCTGCGCGACGTACGCCGATATGTGGAACTACTGCGCCTCGACTCCCATACCCACCCCTCACCGTTAGCACTGACTATACCAAAGACACCCTTCCTACGCGCGTATATAGGTACATTAGCCTTCTCCGATATCCTCGTTCGCATCCGACGCCTGTCTACGAAACTGGAGGTGCATGGTCTGGACGGTGCTTGCCGACAATTAGCCGTGATAGCGAGCAATTGCACTCAGGCGGCTCAAGAGGTAAGGCCCGCTGTCCTGCGGCAGCGAATCCTCTGTGCTGCCGTAGCAAACTATGAACAGACGTTAATGCGTACGTGGCGTCCTCCTGCACTGCTCGTCGGTCCTCATCCGCAACCCAGTGAGATTACTCTTAGACGGGTGGCAAACGATCAACTCCGTCCTGCTTAGGTACGATTCTCGGTGCCGGAAAGCAACCCCTATGAGCGAAATCGAGCTCCAGGTACGGAGCGCAGGATCTGTCCATCATTAGCTCTACAATCTAATGCTAGGGCAGTCCTTCGAACTTGACCTGGCACATGCATTGGTCATGCTCAGAAGTCACGATATAAGTTTCGCATGTCATTACGCCAAAATGGTGGAGAACACGACCCTGCGCTCCAGTTCGCCTGAAGAGCAATTACATCGGATTGCACATGCACAAGCCGTGGCAGCAGAAGCCGTCAAGGTTGGTGGTTTTTTCCATAGAACGGTGATATACAATGCTTACTATTTAATCAGATGGTTAGCAACCTTGTTCGCGACCTACGGTGTATATGGTCGATGAGCTTTCACGTAGACTCCGCCATTCCGGACATCGTGGAAAGTCTCCTCTGGCGACTGGACCCGGACCATCCAATCCATTATCCTCACTTCACAACGGCGCAGGCACTCGATGGGTGGCTGTAGGAATGGCCTTGGCCACCGAAGCGGCCAAGAACTACCAGCCACATACAGCCTGAGGCGTCCGATGGGTCCCGTAATAAATCGTGCGGCAGCTCCGCTAACTCTTATTGACCAGGCCACACTATGCATCATTAATATCGTATACCGTTACAACCTCTAACTATTTCTAATCCTCTCGTGGTGATCGCTCCCGGCCAAGAGTCGAAGATGTACACCGGGATGCATACCGCGAGGAAAACCCTACTTTCCAGGACATGGTGATGGGTTCCGAGCTGGCCCTGAGGTCGTCGGAAGCAAGGCACAAGCACCACATGATGCAATACAGTTGCAGTGATGCCGGAGAGCACTGGAGGCGTTATCAATCGGTCTGGGTCTTGAAGATGCGCAATAATCCGAAGGATGGCCATAACTGCCTGGGGAAGGGATCACTTCCAGAGCGCATCCGCAACCCGAACAACGTCTCCTAATTCCAGCACATCATGCACTCTCACCACTGTCGCGCCCTGCTGCACCGCACTGCTTACTGCTGCGGCCGTAGCCCAACCTCTTTGCACCGGGGTGGTTGATCGTCCCCGATATGTCCCCTCTGCATCGGGCCGCTCCAATACCTTGCCGAGGAAGGATTTCCTAGATGTCCCGATCAATTGTGGATATCCGGCAAGAGGGTTCCGCCCCCGTCGGCCGCGATACTCGGAGACGATCTTTCCACCCTCACGCAGGACAGCCAAATTGCCTTCGACGGGTTTGCTAAATCCAACTCCAGGGTCCACTATGACCAACCACCGGCGCAGCCCTCTCGGGCCTCTCACAGCTGCACGTACCCTCTCGCCGAGTTCTACCCGAATACCTTCGAGCACCTTGTCATCATGTGCGTCGTCGTAATTGGAGTAATCCTTGTTCGTCCCCGCATCGCCCCTGGAATGCATGAGGATTACCGGTACTGCCAAACTCCTCGCGACTTTTCGCATTTCCAAGAAATGCTCTGCCGAGGACCGATTTAGTGGGTACTCTGGGCCGGCAAAAGCATAAACATCGTTTATACAGTTTGCGCCGGCACGTACAGCGGCTTCCGCAACATCGGGGCGGAAGGTGTCGACGCTAATGAGGGCGTTCCTAAGGTGCTGTATATCAACGGCATTTCCATCGATATCTTCTGCGCGCAATGTCCGCATTGCGTGTATTACGGGAACAACGCGGTCAGTCTCCTCCTGCGGGGATACGTAAGCTGCTCCGGGCCTAGTAGAGTATCCACCGATGTCCAGGATATCCATTCCAGCTTGTACAGAGGACGTTGTGTATTTCAGAGCGGCATCGAGCGTGTTATGCTTGGACCCATCCGAGAATGAATCGGGAGTCACGTTCAGCGTCGCCATTATGTAAGTCTTTGTATGACCACGATTTGTAGTTTTGCGGTGCTTGCATGGGTGCTTCCAGTATTTTGCGGTAGCGGGGACCACAGGTAGTCTGAATCCACCCGGAGATGAGGGAGTAGCGGGTCGGCTCTCCGATATCGGGTATTTGGGGAAGGGTATGACTCTGTACATGGCAGACGCGTCCTCGTGTTCGGAGGCTTCCAGCTCGTCCAGCATGCGTCCGACTGATTTACCAGACTCGGGCAATATGTAGTCTGGTATCATACTGCACTGCAATTCGATCCGTGGTGACTGAAGAACGAGCGAAGACACTCACTCTGCAAGTGGCCTCAGAACGAACTCACGTTCCGCGATACGAGGATGGGGGACGACTAACTGGCCATCAAGGTTGCTGAGATCTCCCCTTGCTTCTGTCGGTCTAGTATCGATGATTTCGGAACCATAAGTCAAGATGTCCAGATCAACGGCTCTGGGTCCGTTCCGTATAGACGGGACCCGGCCCACCGCTTTTTCGATCCACTTGAGCACAGCCAAGAGACTTTCAGGCCTAATATTTGTCTCGATCTGATTTCAAAGCATGATTTACTTCCGGACACAGGTCTTACTGAGGCAGGTGGACTCACGAGGCATGCACAGTTGATAAAATCTGGTTGATCGGTCACATACATTGGCGCTGTTTCATACATGAAGCTGGTGTCTATAATTGATATCTGCGGATCATCGACTAGGTTGGGGATGGTTTGTGGATCGAAGATGTCGGACGTCTCCAGAAGTCGCAAAGCCAGCTCAATGTTGGCAAATCGGTCTCCAAGGTTAGACCCTAATGCGATGGCGACAGTGTACATGCCTGGTCTCGTGGCAAACAGGTCAGGCGCAACCTGTTCCAGGAGCCCTGATAATTTGGTATCTGGAGTTTGGAATGAGAGTACTGAAGTTTCTTCCCTATCGACGGAGATAGAATTGATCTCCTGCTGGAAGTCAGCTAACGTCCGCGAGATTTCTACTTCGGAAGATTTAGCATAGAGCAGAGCGTTCGGCTTTTGCCCCCGAACGGTCACCCTATCGATGTTTTGCTGGCATGACTGCAGAACAGTGCGCGCCACGTGTGATGCTAATGCCTCCAAGGTAAAAAATGATGAATCTTCTATAGCCTTTGAGGACGAAGGTTTATCAGGAGTCCGACGAGAGTTCGGGATAGTCGATCAAGTCCACGTACTTGGTGTATTTGGTGCGTCAATTGACGGAGATTAACCGGCCTCGAGTCTGAGGGCGACCTGGACATTGAGAGGTGGAAATGGACAGCTTGCTTCACCTCCCTTTCACATAGATTGATACCGATGGTGGTGGAGCATTGCAGGCCTTCGATGAAGTATCTATCCGAGCAAATAAAGTGGCTGTCCTTGGATCTGGAGCGTTCGATGCCTACGGCCTCGGCATGCAAGACGGCCTTCGTCTTCTTCGCTAAGAGATACAATTCCTGCGCATGTGATGCTTCAAAACAGGATTCTGCAACGCCGTCGAGTAGCGCTTCAAGGGATGGCAATGCAACGCTACTCTGATTGTACTTGGACATCAGGAGTGTTGACAGGGAGTCGTAGTCGATGGTGCTCTTGATATCATCATCTTGCGCCGCTTTACTCGTGTCGTGCAGTACGGATACACTGAGAAGCACGGGCTGCGGTTGCGGGTCCCGAGGAGATGGCCAACGCGACCCATCTTGCAGTGGAACGTGAAGCAGCAGGTCGTTGACGCGAACAAAGTCCCGGAGATTTTGCCTGGACATCTTACGTGACTGCCTTGTGGCCAGGTGGATAATGCTTTGTAGAACGGCCCGAGGTTTAGCTGTATTTGAAAACTCAGTGGGAGAGTGCGAAATTTACTTTGAAGTATCTATATTCCTTCTGACTGCAGAAGTTCCGCAGGCTCGAAGAGATGTACCGAGCTGGCTGTACACCCGGCCTTTAAGAACGTTTAGCATACGTTTCCAAGGCGTCCAGGAGCAGAGGCATGTGTAGCAGGTATCCGAGCTCGGATACGGTCCAAGGCAAGTCGACGGCGTGGGAATGTCGACTTCAGACGGTTTCCTCCATCAGTGGCATCACTGATTCACTCTCAGCCACATCTTGCTGGAGCTCCTCTCTGCTGCCTCTATACACCTGCAACAGCTCGTCGTGTCTGATTGTTGGCGCTATGTAGTTGGCTACTCTCGGAAATATGAGGATATATGTTCTGTATATGTACGTGCTGTACCGCAACGTCGCTGACGGTATCCTTGAACTCCATTCGCTGAACGTTGAGTCATTACTAGTACGTTCACAAGGCTGTCGGAGGGAGCGCGAGCAGCGTGGAGTGCTGAGGTCGCATTCTATGCAGGAGTATACTGGATATCAGACGCAGCGTCCTGATGAAGTTTCCTATTTATCGGACTAATGTACAAGGTTGATCTCAGCGACACCTGCCTCGCAAATCCGTCACTTCCAGAGCGCATCCGCAACCCGGAATACTTCCGCTATTCCCTGCACGTTATGCGCTCTCACCGCGATTGCTCCCTGCAGCACAGCACTGCTCACTGCCGCTGCCGTGGCCCAATCTCTTTCCCCAGGGGTGGTTTGTCGTCCGGGGTGCGCTCCATCTCGGTCCGGTTGCTCCAGCACATGTCCTAGGACCCCTTTCCTGGACGTTCCTATCAATAGTGGATAGCCAGCGAGGGGGTTCCGCTCCCGTCGACCACGATACTCGGAGACGATGTTGGCATAATTCCTCAGGATCGCCAGATCTTCTTCCCAACTTTTGCTGAACGCAACTCCAGGGTCCACTATGACCATCCAGCGGCGCAGCCCACCCTTGCCTCTCACAGCCGCCTCTACCTTCTCGCCCAATTCGACCCGAATTCCTTCGAGTACCTTGTGATCATGCGCGTAGTCGTAGTCGGAGTAGTCCTTCTTGTTCCCCGAATCGCCTGCGGAATGCACAAGAACCACCGGTACCGCTAAGTTCCTCGCAAGTTTTCGCATTCTCAGGAAATGCTCTGCCGATGATTCTTTCACGGGGTATTCTTGACCGACGAAAGCGTAAACGTCGTTTATGCAGTTAGCACCTGCACGAATAGCGACCTCTGCAACATCGGGGCGGAAGGTGTCAATGCTGACCAGTGCGTTCCGAAGGTTCTCGAAGTCATCGGCATTTCCATCTGCCGCTCCTGCGTTCACAGACCGCACGGCGCGTATTGCAGGAAGAACGCGGTCAATCTCCTCTTGTGGGGAGACGAAGGGAGCGTTGGGCTTAGCAGAGTATCCCTTTATATCCAAGATATCCATTCCAGCTTGAACGGACGACATTGCATACTTCAATGCGGCCTCGGGCGTATTATGCGTGTCTCCGTCAGAGAATGAATCAGGAGTCGCATTTAATATCGCCATAATGTAAGTCTTGCTGCGACCCAATTTGGAGCCTGGACTATACGTGGACGGGTACTTCCAAGACCTCTCCGTGGCCGGGACCGCCGGTAGCTTCACTCCATCTGAAGACGAGGAAGTGGGCGGTTCGGTGTCGGAGCCCGCGTACCTGGGGAATGGTATAACTTTATACATGTGAGCAGCATCCTCACGACTGGAGGCTTCCAGCTCCTTGAGCAACCGTGCGATCGATTTGGTGGACGTCGGCAATTTATAGTCTGGTATCATACTGGGCCATAACTCAATTCTCAGTGATGGACGGACGGAAGAATGCACTCACTCTGCAAGCGGTCGCAGGACAAATTCCCGTTCCGCGATGCGAGGGTGGAGAATGAAATGACCTTCGAGATTGCTCAGATCACCCTTCGCTTGGGCGGGTTTAGTGTCGATAACTCCCGAATCGTACGTCAGGATGTCTAAGTCAACAGCTTTGGGTCCGTTCAGTGTCGACGGGACACGGCCAACAGCTTGTTCGATCTTCTTAAGCACCGCGAGAAGGCTTTCAGGCTCGAGATTGGTTTCGATCTAGGCGAAAAGCATGGTTACTTCTGGATGTAGGTCATACTGAGGTGAGTGGACTCACCAGACTTGCGCAGTTGATAAACTTGGGTCGATCCGCGACATACATGGGTGCCGTCTCATACATGAAGCTGGTGTCGGTGATTGATATCTGCGGATTATCGACTAGGTTCGGGATGGTTTGGGGATCGAGAACGTCTGGCGTCTCCAGTAGTCGCAAAGCCAACTCGATGTTGGCAAATCGCTCTCCGAGATTGGAACCTAATCCGAGAGCAACAGTGTGCGTAACTTGGCTTCTAGTGTATAGCTCAGGCGCTACCTGTCGCAACAGTCCCGATAGCGTGGCGTGTGGACTGTAAGGTGAGAGCAATGATTTCGTTTCCGCGTCGATGACGCTAGATTCGCTCTCCTGCCGGTAGTCGGCCAACGACTGGCTAATCTCGATCTCTGGAGCTTCAGCATGGATCAACGCATTAGGCTTTTGCGCCCGGACAGTCACCGAATCGATGCCTTAGTGGGAGGACAGTAGGACGGTGCGCGCCAGGTGCGATGTCAGTGCCTCCAAGGCCAAAAAGGACGAAGTCTCTACAACCTTCAAGAAGAATGATTCATCCAGAGTGCAAGCAAAAACTGACTGTCAGCGATCTCCACGTACATTGCGTATGGAATGCGCCAATTCCCGGAAATTGAGTGGCTTCAAGACCGAGGGTGGCCTGGACATCGATATCTGGAAACGGACGGACTGTCTCACCTTCCTTTCCAATGGTTGCGGCCCGATGATGGTTGAGCACTGCAGGCCTTCAATGAAATACCTGTCCTCTGACAAGGAACGACCGTCCTTGAATCGCAAGGATTCGATGCCGACAGCCGAATCTACGGCACCCTTTGTCTTCTTCGCCACGATATGTAGTTCTTCCGCTGGCGTCGCTTCGAAGCATGTCTCCGCAATTCTGTCGATTAGAGCTTCAAGGGACGGCAGTATGGCGATGCTCTGGCTGTACTTGGACAGTAGCAGGGTCGACAGGGCGTCATAGTCTATGTTGTCCTTTACACAGTCGACTTCTGCCGCCCTCCTGGTATCATGAACCAGGGATACGCTGAGAAGCACGGGCTGAGGCTGCGGGTCCTGAGGGGATGGCCAGCGCGTCCCGTCTTCCAGTCGAGCGTGAAGCAGCAGATCGTTAACGCGGACAAAGTCTCTCGGACTGTGGGTGGCCATCGTGCTTGGTCGGGTATAAAGCAGGCGGGGCAGGCTCTGAAAACCCAACATTGCCAGTCTCAGCTTATATGCCAGTAGGCGGGGAGGATGCGATATCGACTTCAGGATATTGGAATTTCTTGTCGCTCCAGCACTTCCGCTATGGCAGCGGCCGCCCCCATGTCCCATTTAATCTGCGCAGCTGATGGGCACCTGAACTCTAGGTATCTCCAGCATACGCTTCCTTCAATAGCGAGAGACAGGTACTACAGCGCCGCAAACGGATAAACTTCTGGCTTCGACTCGGAGTACTCAAGTCAGGAGCGTGGGAACATGGACTTGGAAAACGGTTTCCTCCGCGGTACATACTCTTGAGGCTTCTACTCTATTTCGTGTCTACGTCTGCTGCCTGTCCGCGGTAAGAGAATCTGGCTCGAATCACATACCAAAAACTGAGGTCATTGTATTATCATACAGTGGTTGTCCTATTAGTCGGCTCCTACGACTATTGGATATAAGCATCGCATACCCAACCCGTCACAAACGCAAAGACGCCTTTATGGACTATGTCCACAATCTGCTCATTCACGGGCCATGTCCACGGCGGCGCGCCGACGCCCGTCCAATTCTCCAGCGTCTGGTCAATCAGCAACCGGATCCCCGTGAACATGAAGTCAGCAAAAGGCCCCCGGATGCCGTAGACGGACATGGTGGCGCGTATGACAGCGGCGAGGGCACCCTGGCCGTAGTGCATCGCCCAGTTGAGGTGCGTTATTTGGCTGTCGGGCCGCCACGGATACCCGAGCAGCTTCTCGAGGGTGTGCCCTGGGACGTAGCTGCTTGGGCGTTTTGTGAACGCCTGTTCGAGCCTCTCTCCGAGTGTCATACTACGAGAAGGAATTAGTGAGCTTGAGATAAGTATAGTCTGATGGGTTTGAAGCTGACCATGCAACGCCGACCAGACCAGCACCGAGGCCGATCACGACCACAGTCCCGAACCCCATCGATGGACGGGGCCGGTCGTAGAGGGTTGTTCTGCGCGACATCCTAAGCGTATATGACGGTTTCTGTTGATTGGCTGAGATCAAGGAACGATATGAAGCCCTCACTAAGTCGAGTATACGTATATATTGTCTTCAGTGACGTCAGTGGGTGTGGAGTCCCATACTATGGTACATATACCGCCAAGACTTCCACTGCTGTCATTGCGATCGTCACCAGTCATTGAGACGGGAAGACGGCGAACTCATTATCCTGAAATCATAGCTGGGAGCAGCTGAGCTTAGGAGTAGGAGGACTAACGCGAGTAAGTTGATAATCGACGGCGCACCAGAATAATGAGGGGCAAAGCACAGTGGCTGGCACGACGCCCTTGTATGGACTCTCAGAAACCGAGTTACTTCGGCTTTTGAGCTTGCAAAGAGAATCAGAGCGCTTGGACTCAAGTATGTACATTGGGGATATGAGGAGATAAGTAGAAGGACGTCTAGAAAAGCAGAGGATGCGCATGCTTTACAAGGTCACATATATTTGAACTTGCCGTACCATCGTGGAGTCGTGATCATTGTCAAGGCGAAGAGTGCAATGACCGTGACCGGACCCTGTGGCCCGCCGCCACATTCGTCCGGAATACGCCGACGCCACACCTCATTCGAGCCGTGACCACTGACTATTCAGCAAGGCGAAGACCTCCATTATACCCAGGGCCGCTATCTGCCTAGAAGTAGGCTCTCGTAAGATTTCGAGCTTCTTCGCCGGGACAGGTGCCTAACGATCTCTAAGGATAGGTCAAGGTCAAGAATAACTTACTACTTTTCGAGGCGAACAATGGCTCGGGCTGCGAGCGCTGAATCACACACTCACTGGCGTCTAGAGGCAACTTATGACGATGCACTCCCTTACCCTTAGGTGAGTGGTGGTCGCGATTGTGGAAGACTAAGACAAAGGCTAGTGCTTATCAGGACCACTAAAGCCTGTTCCTCTGGCTGGGCTTCGATTTCGAACCTCGGGCAGTAACTACTGTCCCTGCCCGACGTGCTTCCGCGGACTTTGAAGCTGCTGATGCTGGTCGTATCTTCTGGTGACGCCGTCGGCATATGGCCCTATCTTCGAGCTCTGGATGGATGTGGATGTGCCCATGCCAGGAACTTGTTGGCAGCTCGACGGGATCTTAGAGGAGCGTTCTGAAGGTCCGTGACCCGTCTGGGTTGTGTGGGTTTCGCGGGAACTTGTTCCGAGTCGAGTGGCGGCCACAACGTCCCTACCAGGTATTTCCTCAGGCTGGTTCACGTAAATCGTTCCCCCCTTCATTCCGGATTCGCGCGGGGCTCCATCAAATTAAATGGGCGGCACCGTGGAATTGCAAGGTGAGGACACGGATCCTGACTCTTGTTCGCAAGGATCACGATCGGTGTCACTGTTCTACTCTCACGCGGAATGGAAGTCAATGCAGATTGTACGTCCCAATCTCTCTGGCAGGCTGCATCATGGGATCGCATGATAGATATGACACCAGGCAGCCCTATACCTGGCTGCGCAGCGGGTAGGAGAAATATCGGTGAGGTAAGGCTCTCCGCTCTGAGTCAGGGGGGCGCTGTGTCAGGCGTCCCGCCTCGTTCTCACCCGCTTTCGAGGAGAATTTCTGCAGGGGCGTGGGACGCGCGCGAGCAGTGTCTATGGTCTGCGCGCCAGGCTGGGTCTTCTCCCGCGATGCGGGGTTGTCAGGTGTGGCGGTTCCCGTACTCAGACAGCACTCCGCACACCGGCACCTGCGGCTGATGGATCAATTTGGTGCTTAGAAAGGGGATCCCATGCTTCGTTGAGATCCATGGTGTCGCGAAGAATGCAAGAACCGGCTGATCGACTGGGAAGACAAGAGCCTGATTCCCCTAGGGACTGACATTCGTATTCAGTCATGATAGGAGTCGGATGTTGCGATCGACGCGTACAGCAGTCTTTTGTTTCATTGTACCGTCCATTGTATGGTTCAATGTACGGTGGCGGGCTGCAGAGCGGGCGGTTAGAAAATGAATTCGCCGTTGGTATGCTACGTCAATGGGCCTGGCCAGAGCGGGATCAAATCACAGCAGACAGAAAGTTGCCGTGCCGAGCGTCGCGCCATGCACCCGTGCATTCCTATTTCGAGTGCATTCCCCGTTCTGAGCCCGACGCGCGATGCCTGATTAACTTGCGCCTGATTGCCAGGGGGAGCCAGTACTTCCGCGTAGCAGAACAGCAGAAAAACATACAGAAATGTGCCAGGAAATGGAGGGCGCCGGCGTGCACAGCGGCGAGGGAGTTAATTATGGCTGTCATAAGTCGCCGGTAATCTTGTAAAGAACACATGGAAATAAAATGCCGGCGCGTCGATGGATCTTCGGGGTCCGCTCGCTTAGCAGGCCAACCCACGCTTAACCTAATTTTCCTACCGACCCAAGTGCTAGCCGTTGACGTCCCCGTCCTCTGTCCCTGTCCTCTCTTTTGCTTCCGTCCTCCCTGTCCCTCCCCTCTCCTAGGCGTCGACGTCGTCGACGGCGGCCCCCCTTACAGCATCTGCGACGGCGACCGCGCAGATTCTGCCTTGGCTATACCGATGGAGACGTCAGCCGCATCACACTCGCCCGTCAAAAGCGCGGCGGTCTCGTCTAACGGAGGAGCACAGCCGCCAGCTATGCACAATAGCTCGTCCGCGCACGGTGGTGGATCGTACGCCTTTCCTCTCGTATTCCTACCTCCACCTCCTGTTGACTTGGAAGTGATGCTTGCGGATAGACAACTGCGGTCCCGGATAACAGTCGTGTGTGCCGAGGTGGGTCCAGTGGTGACTAGCGGCGTTTGCTCAACTCAAACTGGGTGTATGCGCTATTATATGCGCCGTCTCTGGCTGTAGTGCAAGCGTCTCAAGCTCAAATGTGACCGCCGCACCCCGTGCGGCTCGTGTACGAAGCGGGACTGCATAGAGAAATGCGTGTACTCGCCAGCCGCAGCAGAGAAAATGTGAGTCCCCTCGGCGCCACGTCCTCTTCAGGTTCACGGCCATTAATCCCTGCTCTTATCTCGCATTCCCTATTTCTTATCCTATGCCTCTCCCCAGCGATGTCCAGTCCCTACACAACCGACTTCTCGCCACCGAAGCGCAGCTCTCCCAAGTACTCTCCGGGCGCATTCCTATTCCCCACTCTATCTCCTCCTCGTCCTCCCTTCCGTCGTATAATGATCGTGCTTTACTAGCGGTAGGTGTCTCGGGTTCCAGTGTAGTCATTAGCTTGGAAGACGTTGCGGGTCTATGGCTAGAAGAGCTCGATATCAGCGCCGATGGACTCACTCATCACTCTTCTCCATCGGCATCAGACGTCCAGCAGGAGCAGTCGAGCGTATCCTCGCCAAGCCAGCCGCACCCTCGCGTCAAGCTAGAACCCGCGCCGCCGACCCTCCCCTCGCTACCGCCATTCTCCACGCCGTCGTCAATTTCCTCCATCCTCTTATCGCTCCCTCCCTACCAGTCCTATTTCCGCCAACCCAGTACCACCTCCCCCGATGCCCTTCCCGCACCCGACCTCCCAACAGTCACCCCCGCGATCTTCGCGCACCTCCCCGCGCACCCGCGCCTGCGCGAGGCGCTGCTCGGCAAGTGCGAGCACATGCACCGGCTGCACCCGTCGTTCAACTGGTTCCACTTCAAGCGGCGCGTGCGCGCGCTGTTCGACACGAACATCAGCACGGGGATCGACCGGGCCGCCGCGCACGAAATCCTCTTTGGCAAGGGCCCGGGCTCCCCTGCGCGGAAGGCGGAGGCGCCGCGGCATACCCTGAGCTTCTTCGCGGCTGTGGCGGCGGCGCTGGAACTCGGCGCGCTCGCGTGGAAGGAGGAGGGGTACGAGGGCCTCGAGGCGATGCGTGAGGACGGGGACGCCGAGCCTCAAGTGGGTAAGGACGGGAAGCGGCCTAGAAAGGCCAAGGCTGGTAAGGCGTCTTCAGGACCGGCGAGTGAAGGCGGGCGGGAGGCGCTCCAGCACCCAGACCCGGCGGCGCTGTATGCGCTCTCGCGGCAGGCGCTGGATATTTTCGAGATGTTCCACCCGCATGATTTGGATTTCCTCGTCGCGATGGATATGCAGGTGCTCTTCCTGCTGCATGATGGGATTCCGAATATCAGCAGCGTTGTTTTCCCCATGGTGCGCGTTTTTCTTTTCCGTTTGGTGCGGCGCATATAGTAGATAGAATTGCCATTTGTTTTCGTGTCCTTGTCATCACTTTCTGCCATTCTTCTATCTTACTGCGTTATATGCCCATATACGACGGCTACTGACTCAGATTTCTTCGCCCTCGTTTCGGCAGGTTGGGAAGATGGTGAACGTCGCGCGGGCGATGGGCTTAGCCATGGACCCAGACGAGTTTCCCTCCAGATACAGTCTTTTCGAAGCGGAGACAAGACGGCGGATATGGTGGGATGTCTTCTACTACGACCTGTATGCCATTTCCCTTCTTACTGGTGTGCCATGGTGTGTTCAACGGCTTCGCCAGATTCGTGTCAGACTGCATGGGGCACCCTCCTTTGATCGCTGACAACTCGCACACTACCAAAATCCCGGTGTCGGATGTGGACGAGGAACGATTCGTCCCAGAGTCGATAGAAATCCCGACGTGCAAGGAGGAAGACTCGAGCGAGAGCGCCGTCAACTCATCCACGTATCTGGTGCTGAAGTGCCGGTGAGTCCGTCAAGCACTAACTGGTGGTATGTGTCATGAGATGGTGCGACCAGGCTCGCGCAGCTAGTCAAGAGCGTGAAGAAGCGGTCGTTCCGCGACCCGCTGGCCGACGCGTCGAGGCCGACCATGGCGCTGGAGCAGGTCGCGGGTTTCGAGGCGGAGGTGGCTGCCTGGCTGCGGACGATGCCGGCGCCGTACCATATGAGCGCGGACGTCGAGTCGTGCGTGGATAGCACGGTCTCCTCGCCGCTGTCGCCGGGATCCGTGTCCACGTCCCCTGCAGACTCGCCGTATCTTGTGGCGCAGCGTTGCGAGTTGTCTATCGTTGCGCATAGGCTGCTGCTGAAGATATACGTGCCGTTCCTGCGGAATCGCGTGCACGGGGATACGACGGCCAGGAGTCCCCATTGGCACCAGGCGTCGTTCGGTGCAGTGAATGCTGCCCACAATATTGTCCAGGCATGCCGTGCGCTACATACTGTGTGGCAGCAGAACAAACGTCCGGCGGCGTTCGTATTCTATTCCTTCGGCCGTACTCTATTCGACGCCGCTGTATGTGTTGCGCACGCCCTGATCCAACAACCGACGGCAATGTGGGCGAAGACCGCCATGGAGGATGCGAAGCAAGTCCTGGAGATTCTCAAGGATCCCAAGGTAGCGACCGGCCGCGGTCCCGTGAACGGTGGGGTGGAGGGCAGCGTCAGCGAGGCTGTGACCATCGTCGAGAAGATGCTCAAGAAGGCGCAGCAAGCGGTGAAGGCGAATACCCCGGGCAGCGGCGTTCATGCTGGCGTGAAGAGGAAGCATGAGGAGGTCGACATTGATCACACGTTGGCGCCCGGCTTCCACCTCCCGTACGTGGGTGCGGGTGTGCAGGTTGCGAATGCGGTCTCGCCGCCTGAACCGGTCGTAGCATCGTCGCCGGTTGTTGCACATCCGCGGCCGTCGTCTTCGAGATCCTCCAGACGTGGTAGCACCGCGATCCCGCCTGCAGTCCTGAACAGCAAGACGTCTACGCCAGATCCTGATGGCGAGAACAGGAAGTCAGGGAAATCGAGTAAAAGCGGTCGTCCGAATGTCGGCATCCGCGTCCGGGGTGGCAAGGAGGGCCCGCCGTTCAATAAGGCTCGACATGATCATGGATCTTCGTCGCCAGCGAGCGCCAGGCCTTATTCTCCGGCGTCGCATCGTGTGACGGCCTTTGAGCTAACTCCTTTCCCGGAGTCGGGCTTCACTGCTGAAAGTCCTATATACCTCGATGCTCCCGAGGATAAGGACTTCAACATGACGTTCGCCGGCAACACCGAGCCACGGACGGAGGCGATGGAGAAGGGCCCGAGTAATGCGCAGACCCGGTCTCGCGAACCGAGCGGAGCCGACAATTACGACGTGCAGCCCAGCCCGGCTTTCAATCCAATGTCGGGATCCTACAACACCTTCGCTGTTAGCCCGGCGTATAGTAACGAAGCGAGTAATCGACCTCCTTCGAGTCGTAGCGATCAGCCGCCACCGTTCTCCAGTGGCTACCCTCAGAATGCTGGGTCTCCCTACCCACCGCCGGGCTCATCGCATGGTGCACCTCAACAATCCAGCCCTCCATCGTACAGTCCAGCAGGTCCTACGGGCGGCTACAATGCCCTGACGCCTCACAATCCGTTCCCGCCAACGCCCGAGACCATCTATACCTCCAATGCTGGGTCCGCTTCATACAGTCATGACGTGCTACATTCACATCACATGCGCATCATGAATGGCGGTGTCGACCCACGGGCGATGAGCATGGCTCCAGACATGAGCGCGGCGATGCCGCAGAGCAATCATGGCCAACGTAATATGAGGCCGCCGTCTCTACCCAGTGATCATAGAATGGGGACGATACCGGTACAACCATACAGTATCCAAAGTGCGAAACCGATGCACCCGGGACCGCAGCACTATATGGACGCGCCAACGCCTGGACATGTGGCATCTCAATCGCAGTCTATGATGGGGACCGAGGCCTGGACCTCTGAGGAGGGCATGCAGACCGCCACCCAGTACTGGAATCAAGGTCAAAACTATCATGAGATGAAGCTCGACAATTACTCATGACATCCCCCACCTTGCTTGTTGCCTGGCTGAATTCATTGTATCCCAGAACCTGATACAACCCGTCTTCATGTATCGTCACGAATATACGCCTTTCACGACTCTCGTTTCACCTCGTCGCCAACACACGAGTATCACTGGAAATCCCCATGCCTTCCTTTGCTATGCATACCATCCCACTTCATCTGTCCTTTCTGGTGCGAATGTCTCGTGTCGTAGGACGCGGGCTGTTCGACATTTACGTTCCGTGAGCGTCTCACCAGTTGTAAGCATGAACAAGTATTGATTCCTCAACAGTTAGACCATGTTATTGTTCACCATATCTTATTTTACGGCTGTCTTCTGGGTTCAGAGGACGGAAATTTGTGTATTATATATACTTGCGTATATACCCCTGATGTATTACTCCTTAGACTACCTCCCTTGTTTCGTCTTCATAGCGGAGGCCTGGCATCTTATTCCAGAATTGATGTATCCGCATTTCTTTCCGGTTGCATATCGACTGAGGCTATCAGGCCCGCATTCAATGAACAGAAAAGAGCGCCGCCAGTATGTATAAATCTTCGAGTACAGATACGAATCAGTAAGGCGTTCAACCCCTAGATAACCACTCCAGTATCTCGTGGGCCTCCTTGTCACTCTTATCCCGTCCTGCGTAAACAGTCTTCAAGCGCTCCGTTGCAAGCTCGTCGATTAACTGCAGATGCTCGGGCACGGGAGTTTGAGACGGGGAAGGTAACCGTCTTTCTTGTAGTAAACGGCGGGAGCACTGTAAATACTGAGAATCAACGCGTACTCGTGACGGGATGGACAGGTCATGATTTACGAGTTTGATACCGAGCCATGCTCGCACTTGGAACCCTGACGGTACTTGTTCGATGGGAGCATCCTCATCACTGTCCGCCATGTCGATTACGTTTAGGAAGCTCTTGATGGCGAGAGGGACGTCTCCCGCGGTGTAAGCCGTCTCTGCAAACCGCAGCACGTAGAAGGGGTTCTGCGGCGCCAGCAGCAGGACATGAGATAAGGATTGTAAGGAGGACGTATACCTGGACACAATGAGTCCAGGGCGTCTGCGCCATCGACATCGATAACTCACTGATGACACGACGAGTATATGTCGGCTAGCTCGAGCCAACCTTCCACGTCGGTGTAGAAGGTGTCTAGCAACTCGATCAGCTCGTCCACAGCCTCGTCGATCCTGCCTATTCGTCGCAGCACAGATATCTTTCGTTTCCAGAATGCCTACGCGAATGTCTCTTCAGTACGATTCCGCTCCTGGGCAACGATGCCTACTTACGACATTGACGGGGTCGGCTTCAAGTAGCTGGTTGTAGTATGCAAGGGCAGCTTCAGGCGACTCTGTCACTTCTTTCCGGATTCCATTTAAGCAATCCACGCGCGGAGACCCAGGGAACTTCTCCGTCAAAAGTTGCAGACAGCGCTATGCGGGTGACGAGTCGCACCTGCGTTCAAGACTCCAGATACTTCAGGTACTCACGTCAGCGATGTCCAGCCGGCCCACATCGATTGCGGCGAGAGCGAGTTGCTCTAAGAAAGCCCAGCCTGCCGCTAGCTTGAGTCCCCGCATGTCACTCTATCAGTTGGAGCCTTACCTTCGTCTCCAAGCTTTTTCAAGCCATTTCCCTTCAGTACAAGTAGCCCTTTGTCGAACGTTTCCTGCGACGCGCGGGTGTTGCGAGACCGGTATATGGAGAGCTTCTGCAGAGCGGAGGGCAGATCCATTATAGCGACGTGCCCCAGCGAACGCGGTTACACCGCGTCGGCCAATGCCGAGCCCTTCCTTTCGATCTTCGTGGATGGCGAGTTGGGGCGGTCATGAAAAGTATGTTTACGAACGATGCATTATGGTAAAACAATCACATTAAATGGGTCTACTCTATCCAGGTTCTCTTTGTTATTTTACATAAATTAGCAATAAAGATGCACCCCCAACGAACCAGCAACGTCAGCGGTATAAAGCAGGTTTCTCTCTTCAGGACGACGATCCGGCACTATCTATACGATACCGAGTCGTCATTTAGGTGTTCAAAAGGCCGACCGCTGACGGACTCACGTTCATTCTCCGTCATCAACAATAGTCAGAGCACGGACGTCGTAGGTCTCCGGCAGTAAAGGTTCGAGCTCGTCTAGCAGATCTTTGGCACTCTCGTTGATACCGTGCTTGTCGTGCCAGTCCCATTCCGCCAGCGGAACCAGGATCAAGCAAATATCCGTTGTCTATAGGGCGTTGGATGAACAGATGCCACCCTGACAGAAGGTACATACCAGCAACGCGGTCCTGACGACTTCCGGTGAGCCGTTCTTCTCGATAAAGCAGATACTGCCGCCTTGACGGCGTAGGGCTGAGGCCTTGGAACACTCCAGCCCGATGTCACGATCCTTCAGGGCCTTGAGACCTTTGTTGATTTGCGTAAAGCAACTCTGGAAAGGCTTATTGGTTTCAAAGAACATTCTTAAAGCGACGATCCGCACCTCCCACTCCTGCTCCTCTGCTGGAAGGCCCTTGTAGTCGAGCTCGTCCCACTGGTATAGTGCCTTGTCCAGAAGCTCGTACATATCTAGGAACAGAGATACTGCACCGCATTCGGTAAGTCAAAGCGTTCTGCCATGCCAGCCACATCACTCACCGTAAAAGACCAAGGAGTAGACATCAGTCGCAGCTTCGGTCATAACATCCCGGAGGAATGGCTGCGTCAACCGAGCAGCGAGGGTGCACGTCTTTCTCGCCAGCAGCGTAATGCTACCACGGGTGCTCTTCCAAACAGGTAGCCGCAGCGCCGGGTCGATGCCGTCGCAGTACGTGCGTAGGCGCGTGAACATGGAGTGGATGGAGAATATCGCCTCGTAGACGAACAGTGGCGTCAGGTCATACTCCTTGCTGTTCGTGGACTCGAGGATTTCAAGAATGGACTCGACATATTTGACCGAATCGTGGCGCGAGTAGTGTCCCCGCTTCCGCATCGCCTGCAGAATGTCGCGGGGGTTCTTCTCCCAGCTGTAGACCGCGTAAGAACCGAGGTGGCGTACATAGGTGGCATGCCACAGAACGCACCTTCCGTCTGCGTGCTGCTTCAGCCTGAGCGCATGCGAAACAACCTTGGCCGCGACATCGCGGAAGATACGGCAGACGAGCATGAGGTTCTCGAGAGCGTGCCAGCTCGGCTCCTCGTCGTCCATGAAGAGAGAATGGAAATAGTCGGCTAAAAGAGCGGCGCATATGTTGTACAGGAGTTCCGGGGGCAAGTTAACGAGAGTCTTGCGTCGGAATAGCATGTTGCTTGAGGCATTCGAGAGCAAGGAGGGTGGGCGGTTGGTTTGGTCGGCTCAAGTCTCAGACAAACGCGTCTGGAGCGCGAAGCCAGTAAACAAACCCCTAACCGAGACTAACGGACTTCGGATGATATCAGGCCCCAGGGCGGGCGTTGTGGGTCCCACGCCGCGCACGCTTCTCGAAGCCACATGGAGGCTTTCTGTCTCGGCAAGGCCCCGGCAATCACAAAATGAACTCGAAATTAACTGCTTCTCTTCGTTGCCCATCGCTCAGTAAACTTCTGTGAATCCTGCGGTGCCGCTCGTACGTGTACCACAATCTGCAGCAGTGCAACGAATAGCGTGACTTGTTACTGGAAAATGAGGCTTTGAAAGGCCCGCTTAGAACGCGATGGATGGAACTTTCAGGCCAGGCTTTTCGACGCGTACCGGGAAAAAGTGTAATCACGCGGGCTCTGCGCACGCAAGCGGGCCAGGGATTTTCGAGCAGCTTCCTCGCTGAAATCCCGGGGTTTTCAGTGCTGCCTACCGTTGCCGAGCAGGACCAGGTCGACTTTGAGCGTCGCGAGTTCGGATTGTGGTGTTGGGGTCTCTGTGGCGTGGTTCTGTGACATGCAGTCACATTTCCAGTAGCTAGACGTCTACCATATATAGTGTGACTACCGCCATACTTGGGTGGTACTGAAGTCAACTTCGAGGCCCAAGCGGGAAGTGAATCTGATCATAGGAAAGTTTACGGTCTTAATCGGATTACATAAGCAACTCCCGCCACCGCTGCAAGTCAAGCTCGGGAGGCGGGCAGATGCAGCCTCCTCCATGAGGGTACGGTAGGGTAGAAAATTCGGAATAAAATTTCTTTGAACTATAGTACATGTGCAGCTACGGTACAGTGCAGCTAAGTAAGGAATAAATACCAGGAGCAAGCAAGTAGGTCAGCTAAAGCTCGGGGCAAGCCACAGATCTGGGTGCCGAGTGGACTGTGATGCCGCGGTTGGGACTGTGAATTTCCCGACCCGAACCTAGCTGAGGAGGGGGTCGATTTCGGCGCGCGCCCGCGCCAAATCGCGTCACGACGCGATTTCCGCTGACGAAATTCACAGTCCATAGCCTTGGCATTTACAGTCCCTCGGGTAGATATCTGGTACCTCACCCGCGCGTTTGTAGGGTTCCCGAGCGCCTGATGTG